CTTCTGAAGTCATCTGATGGTATCCAGGCACAGGTTCATCTCCATCTTGAAAGACTCCACCGTGATGAATGACCGGTGACAAGTGACTCTGGTCTCATCTCAAACTTATCTGCGGCCAATGACCGTTGGCTCCGTCACACCCACCAACGGCCCGCTGCAGTGTTCCGTGTTAGTGCACGTTTGGTTCTACCCATATTTTCGACACGAACACCATCAATGTGATCGGTTCGCGATATCAAAATGCGACCAGAAGCCTGGTGTCGTAGTCCCTTATGACCTGATGCTTATCACGTCTTCAGGTCCGTGGGTTGCTGTTCCTCCCCAGCCATCCCAGCCACGGGTGATGCGTTGGCCTTGATAAATGATGGCAGTCCTTGAATTACGGGAACTCAAGTATACATATCTTTCACTCGAATCTTGACGGCCAAGGTTCCATCCCTCGATCTCTCAAAGACCCTTGTCGAGATCAGAGTACCGAGACGACTGCCGAAGCCCACCATGTCGAAACCTCTCCCCTCCCGCCCAAGTGACGATCACAACGACGAGAACTCCCCGCTTCTACCCCGCGATGCCTCCCCCTCCTCTCCCCACAACGAAGCCGACGCCGACCCCAACCCCTCGACGCTGCTCCTCTTCCGCCGCGCCGTCGGCATAAACACTCACCTCCAGCCCGCCGACGACTGCGACCTCGAAGCAGGCCGCACCTCCGCCCTCGGCATCTACGCCTCAACCATCGCCGCCCACCGCCGCTTCCGCACCCTCCGCATTCTCGCCACCGTGCTCATCTACAGCTGCCATGCAACGCAGATCGTCGTCGGCGGCGTGCTCACGTGCCTGGGCCCCAAGGCGGGCGTTCACCGGACGAGTATCACGGTGCTCGGCGGGGTGAATACCGTTGTCGCGGGTGTGTTGACGTGGATGAAGGGGCAGGGGATGCCGGATAAGTTGAAGGGTAAAGAGATTGAGTTCCGGAGGTTGCAGAATTGGATCGAGGAGACGGAGGCGTTGATGGTTCTTGGGACGGTGGGCGGGACGAGGGAGGAGGTTGGAGGTTTGGTTGAGGCGGCGTATCGGAGGTGGAATGCGGCGAACGAGCGGGGAGAGGACGGAGGGCCCGGGGAGGAGTACGAGGATGAGGGTAGGAAGGGGAAGGGGTCGACGATGAGATGGCTTCGGGGGCGATGACACCCAGGTTTGAGACGCCGAAATTCATTTGGTTCGTGCGAGTTGTGAGCTGTTCATTGAGCTTATGCAGAGCGCGGTCCTTGAATCCTATCCAACTTCAATTTACATCTCATACCAACTTATCAAATTTCACAGCTTAGCCTTCACTACGACAGCATCACTGCCATTCTGTTGATTCCTCTGTCCTCTCCTCAACATGGGAATATCATCTGTCACGCCAGGTATCTCATTCTCACACCATTCATGCCCACCCAAACCACTAGCCAGTATCGCACCAAACCCTCCCTTCTGGCCCTTTTCCCCAATGAGAGCCTCCTGGTCAAGCGTCCCAAGACAGATACTACCCCACTCCTCCCCCTCGCTATGGTAGTAAAGCCACGAGCCGCATTCTGTGCAGAATCCTCGCTTTGCCATGGGTGTGATGCTGAACTCGCGTAGCGTTGATGTGCCTTTGGGAGACGTCCACTTCATGGGCCAGGGGACACGCTGAAAGGCGACGAAGAGGGCGCCGGATTGCTTGCGGCACTGGGTGCATTGGCACGTCTGGGCGTTGGCGTTAAAGTCATGTGTGTCTGAGAAGGTGGCTTCGTAGCGAAGGGCGCCGCATAAGCAGCCTCCTGCTACCGTCGCGGGTTTTGGTCCAGATGAAGAGGCTGAAGTCATCGTTGTGTAGTGGTGGGGGGTCTTGAAAGGATATCGTGATGTTGAGTTGTTGAGTGAGATGTGAGTGAGTTGCGACCGGTGAATGATGAGGTCTCAGACTCTAGACGCTCCAGATTTTGCAGTGAATCGGGGTCATTGAAATCTTCCAAACGAAAAGATGAGAGTCGAAGTTTACATGCTGAAAATTCTCAAAGGGCGTGAGTTTTGTGTCGTGTTTTGTCAGCGTCTACGTCAGAGTTGTCATTGACGCCCTTGCGATGCGGGAGCCGAAAACAAGCCATAGTGAAGCCCCGCCACGACTTGACATCGCCAAAACCTCAGCGCAAACTTGATTGGACTAGAGATTTGAGTATCATTGAATCGTGAATTGCATGTACAGTCTGTCTATGAAGTCTCTCGTACCTCTATATCGTACCTCTTTTGTACCTGTTCTACCCAGCCATAACCCTAGAATCGTACCTTGTCCTAGTTTAGTGTGCCATTTCCAAGTGTCAATGTCTTCATCTCAATCCCAATAGACAACACAATTCACCGGTCCTCCTCATCTTCGGCAACCCAGTACGCCTCAATCTCAACAATACACGTCCGCGCCGGGACCGTAACAGCAATGGGGAACCCACCATAGTCCGGGTCGTCATTAGGCATGATCAAAAACTCTCCGCTGCGCGTCTCATCACCGTTGAACACCCGCAGCGTCCGTAGCTCTCCCTTCTCATCAACTTCCTTCTCAGCAGCCGCAAGAATTCCAGTAAACGTCGCTTCCGGCCGCACGCTCTTGAAGTGGACGTTGAAGCCGCGGCCCACGGCCAGGAACTTGGCGTCACCGAGGTGAATAACCATGCCGCCACCCGGACCAGGCTTGCCAAACACAAAAGCGCGCTCGACGATAACCTCAACGTCGCCAATCACCTTCGTCCACCGCTCGCCCTTGCCCGCCGTGTTAATCTCCTCGTCAAAGAAGAAGCCAAACCTGTCCTCGGGCTTCGCGGCGAGCAGGTACGGCGCCACCTGCGCGAGCAGCTTGAACTCGCGCCCGACGATCTCTGGGCCGGTATCGATGCCAAAGGGGCTTGCGCCCAGGGCGCCGTAGGTGCCGTAGGATAGCCACACCCGCCGTGCGCCGTTCTCATCGCGGCGCTGCTCGGGGATGAAGAGCGGGTTGCCCTGGGCCGTGTAGTCTTTGCACACGGTCTCGTAGTTGTGGAAGTAGAGGTCCGGCGCGAGAAAATCGAGGGACTTTTGGGCTGTGAAGATTGTGTTGTGTCGCCAGATGTCGAGGACGTGCGGACAGGGTCCGCCGGAGGGGTAGACTCCCGGTTCCGCGCCGCCGCCGACGACGATGGGAACGCCACGGAGGTCGAGGTCGGAGGGGTCATCGAAGTTGAGCCAGGTGTTTGTGTAGAGGGGGATATCGTATTCCTTCTTTCCTGCGGCGGCGACACGGCCGACATAGGAGGAGATGTGGTAGGCCATGAAGGCCTCGTCTGCTGATGAGCCAGAGCCGAAGATGGACGTCCACGAGTGCGAGCCCGAGGCTGGGGGATCGGCGAAGCGGGCCTTGAACTTGGGGTGTAGGTCGGCTGATTTCTCGTTGAGGTGACGGAGGAGCGCCTCGGGTACGGGCGTGGCAAAGGCCTTGTCGGCGCGACGGGAGCGGTCGCGGGAGTCGCCCAGAAGACCCGTCTCGTTCTCGACCTGGATCATGAGAACCGTGTTGTGCTCGGCGTCGACCTGGGCGAGGTGCTTGCACAGCGCAGCAAAGGCCCTCGAGTCCGCGGCGCAACCCTCCTCGCTGAGCGGCGTGACCATCTCAATGGTCCTCTTGACGCCCCCCTTCTCGAGAACCTGCACGCGCGGGAAGCGCTTGGTGTCTCGTTTTACCCAGTGCGGCGCGTACGTCGAGATGCCGTTCTTGTAGGTGCCGAACCACAGGAGGACGAGGTGCATATCGTGTTCCCGCGCGCCGGCGAGCACGGCGTCGAGCTCGGAGAAATTGAAGTTCCCCTCGGTGGGCTCAATGTCCTCCCATGTCACGGCGCCGAGGAGGGTGTTGATGTGGTTTGACTTCATGGCGGGCCAGACCTCGGACATGAAGCGGGCGGAGGAGAGGGAGGAGTTGTGAAGCTCGGCGGAGAGCATGAGGAAGGGCTTGCCCTTGAGGTAGAGCTGGGTGTTGCCATTGGTGCGGCGGAGGTGAGGGAGTTGCGTGGCGGGGGATTCTGATGCTGTCATGATGGGCAATTGAGAGAGAGAGAGAGAGAGAGTGTGTGTGTGTGTTTGCAGGCAGCTGTGAAAGAGACAGCGTGAGATCAGAGAAGAGTGTGAAGGGAGAGGGCAGAGAGCTGAAGGCCACGGATTAGAAACTCTCGTCGCTCGTCGTCAGGTTGAAATAATGCCAGAATGATTTCGAGTCTACATTATCCCGAGGAGCTTTCTCTATCAACGAACCGCTTTTTGGAGGGTCTCTCGCCGGCGCCAGCTCCGTCTCGGAGAATCCGAAGATGACTTGCTGAATGGTTGTCCGGTGTGGGCTTCTATCTGCTTCCGGCAGTCGAAACGTCCGCCATTCGTCCGCTTCAAGACGTTTGAATGGGGAAGAGGATCCATTACTGCCGCGGGACGTCAGACGGGAGTTTGCAGATCGCCTGATGGGACGTGTTCGATCCCGTTAGATGGCTCCGGATATTCTTCGCAACTCGACTTACAGCTTCGGATATACTCTAACCTGCCACTATTGTCCCATGTATTAGTCCATGTCAAAGTGGGTTAACATACAAGCCTTAAGACCATTTCCCCGCACTTCTGATGACGCATGTTAGTTGGAGAAATAAAAGTCGAAAGAAGGCTCTTTAATCCGAGTTCCAGGAACTGAACATGCGTTGGCTTCGGAAATATTTCGCATCTGTTAAGGCTCTGAGTCTCCTCACAACCCACAGTCTCCAGAAATAAAGTCTCCGCAACCACGCCGGATGGATTGTGGATGTGTGGAGTCCAACGTTGCGTTCGGGCTGCCGCCGAGGAGAGTTCCCGCCCATCCTTACATCCTCTGGGGAATAGTGAACATCATTGGATGCTTCGGTTCATGCATGAGGCAGTTGAACTAGTTCGCGGGTTAAGTAAGTACTTTGGGTCATTTAACTTGTCTATTATTTTCATTGCCTACTACTCTGCGGACTCTCGATCCCAGGTAAGCCAGGCCAGCAGTCAATATCATCCAGCTTCCGCAGTAACTTCTCCAGCTTCAGCCTAGCGCCCTCACTCACCAGCGCGCCGTCGCCGACATCCATCTGCTCCATGTACGCCGCCCCGCAGTCCCTCAATTTCGGGATCAGGCTGTTGCCGTTTTGCTCCAGAACGTGCTGCGGCATATGGTACAGAATCTCAAGCAGGTCGTCGACAATGCGCTGGTGCTCCTCCGCGCGCGTCTTGACCGTCGATCCGAACTTTTGCAGTAGGTTGGAGCGGATGTTGAGGCTCGTGATGAAGAGGTTGGCGATTTGCGTGTCGTGACCCTCTGTTATGTGAGAGGGGCGCGAGAGACCCCCGCGCCAACGTAGTTCGGGCGGGAAGTTGTCAATAATTGTTTGGATTTTGGCGAGCCAGTGCTTGAGGGCCTCTTCTTGGCCGCCGTAGAGGCTTATGGGCGCGGTTTGCGCCTCGTGCCATATCAGGAAGAGGTCGCTTAGCTGGTTTAAACCCGGTACGTAGGAAGTTGTATCGCCATGCCACGGCGGTAATTCCGCGTGGGACAGTTGTGGCCCCGTCTCGAGTTGCGAGTCTGTCAGGGGTAAAGGGCGCAGGTGCGCGCGGTTCTCTTGATGAGAGACGATACTTACGGACAGTCTCCCGAATATGTCCGCACTACTGTTCAGATGAAGGAAAACGTCAACCGAAGACTGTTCATCATCTCGACTTTTTCAAGGTTGTGATTGTGTTTGTGTGGGGGGTAAAGACAGGGGTTACTGCATTCATTAATGGGGGCAACGTACCAATATGCCGCAAAGATCAGCCAAAAGAGCCTCTTCAGCAGCTGCTGCTCGGACATATCCAGGTCCGCCATGCGGTAGTACGCAAGGAACCTCGCCCCCGCCGCCGCCTCGGACATACCATGGAACGACCCCATGTCCCCCAACCCGTCCTCGTTCATCGAACTGGCCGACGTGCCAATGTTGTACATCGCGACGCACCAGTCCAGCGAGTAAACGGGCTTCCTGAGGCCATGGTCGAGCAGGTGCTGCTCCTCGATGAAGTCCAGGCACCGCTCGACCGTGACAGGGCTGTAATCGGCCCTTCGCAACGTCGCCACCGTCGCGGCGCAGACGCTCACGACGAGGGCGCAAAAGGTGCGGTCGGTGTTGGCCTCGCCGGCTTTAAGGCGGTGCAGGAAGCGCCGCCGGTGAAGGACGGGGGCGAGGGCGTGGACTTTTTTGAACCAGTCGTGTAACATCCGCTGGACGAGGTCTTCGGGGGCGAAGAGGGCGAGGCGGTTGCTGTGGTGGGAGCCCGTGGTGGTGTTGGGACTCGGCGCGCCTGCGATGATGGCGCGCAGGTCTGTTGCTGAGTGAGTCGTGGCAGTTGTGTGCGACTGAGAGTGAGAGTAATGGTGAGATTCAGTGTGAGTGTGAGACTGGGGTGTCTGTGTGTGGGTCGACGATGAGGCGGCAGGTGAGGTTTGGTAGGCGAGGCCTACGCTTGGTGAGGTGATGTCTGATACTGAGGGACTCCTCTGGCTGGCAGCTGATGCGGGAGCATTTGCTCGCTGTTGGTCGTATTGTTGCTGCCGGTGTTGCTGTGCGTGTCTGTTATGGTTGGTTAGTATGTGAGCTCTCAGCTGGACATCATCCTATGAGATGAGATGCAGGGCCGGGGCTTGGACGGACTTGTTTGGTGGTCCTCTCCTCCGCCTAGGCCGTTCATGAGTGCATTGGATGTCGAGGAATGTACAGCCTTGGCATCGACCCTCTCCCGAGCCGTAGAGACACTGCCGGTCCAGTCAGTCCAACAGAGTCTGGGGTGAGATGGTTGAACCTCGGGACGAAAGAAACATGGGATAGAATTAACCAATCTCATCCATGGTCAGAGGTTTACAAAAGTCTCTGTACGAGGTACCCAACGATGAAAACTAGTCATCATGGGTAGAGGCCTCGTGAGACATCAAGGGCTAGGCTTTCTTGCTGCTCACTCTGACTTTGCGGGACCGACATGCGTCGCAGGCGTTCTGGTTCCTGATAATCTTGGCCCTCGGCCGCCCACTGGCTGGTGAGGCGGGAGACGTCGAAAGTGGGGAGTGAGCCCCGTTTCCGTCCGGTGGTGGCCCAGTTACTCGGTCGATCTCCATGATGTGTGGCTTGGGTGGTTGGTTAGTAGATGGCAGTAGTCTTTGTCAGACCGTACCAAAAGACCCGAGTCCGCTCACACTGATGAGTACCAGATTAGATCAGATCAGACAAGTTGCTTCCGCTCATCAAACATGCAAGCTGCGGGTGTGTTCGATTCCCCGGATAAACCTCTCAGAATCCGGGGAGGGGGCTGGTGATCCAATGGTGGAGAATACAGCTTTCAGCTCTTTTGCCCGTTTAGGTGGTGTTGGAACATGAAGCTTCCAAACTGATGATGTGGTAGGCTGAAATGCGGAGAGGATGGATCACTGTCAAAACGTGGCCGCAAGGGTCATGATTGTCCGGCGATATTCCCGCGTTTGTTCTGCCCAGAAGGAGACCCAATGGAGCAGAGATGTTGGAGAGTTGGAGTAGTATGGGGAAGAGAGAGTGTGTGAGAGAGGCAACGGTGGGAGGGCAGAGGGATATCCGAGGAGAATTGTCGGGAGTTGTGTATTTTGAACCTTCTTGCAGGGCGCTCTGCGTCGCAATAACGTCGGATTTACTTTCTCTTTGCTCCCCTCTGCTCCTCTTTACGCTCGTTAGCCTCCATGTGCTCGGGAGAAACTTGCAGGGAAAAGCCCCGCACTGGGGCGTTACGAATCGAGTCAGGCCCAGACTCTGAAGGGCATAGCTCCAGACCTTCCAGGAACTTTAATGTTCCCTGCCTTCTCCTGCTCTTTGCTGGTATTCGTACAGAAAGAAAGGAGTACCTATGATGTGGATCTCTTCTGCAGATGCTTGTCGCTCGCCGGGTACGAAGCCCAAGTCTGTTATTTGGTTGGTTGATTGAGGTTACCTTTTCCCCCAGATAATCCATTCTTCAGTCATTTTCATCGGGCTGGCCCATCCGGACCGCTGGGTTGGAGGAACTTGAACGAATTTCTTGTCCCTGACTAACTAATTGACCACGCCATGCCTACCTAACCTTACACCAGGATCTGCCAAATACCAGACCTTAACATGAACAGGCGGCGAACAGCTTTTCCCGGAACCTAAATGTGGAGAAATAATACTGGATCTTGTACTTCCCGTTCTCTTCTCTTCGTCCAGTCTTTTCCTGAGATTCCCGCAATCCACCCCCATGGGGACTTGTCGCTCCAATGAACATCTAGTGTCTCGTGCTCCTGTTTCTCGGTACTGGCAAAAACTTGGATACCCGCTTTCTCTCAGTGACGCCTCATAGGGAGAGGAGTAGTCCATCTCCTTGAGTTGTGTGGCCTGTTTGCTTGGCCGCTTTCGAGCCGTCATCGGATACAGCACCCTCGGTCTTCGCCTCGAGGGTGGGCTGTTCAGTTCGAAAGCGGGAAGGGGTCACGGTGCGGTTAGTGGGCGTTGAGCAATATCGAGATGCCACTTACCCAGAACCATCTACCGATTTATTATAAGTACACTTGCCCCGGTCCCATTACCCAAGAATCATGGGATGCAGCAAGCCGGCATCTCGGTAGCGACAACCAGGCCCTCCAATCTTTTTCGAGTGTTGCACATTCTTTTCTGACTCATACTATACCTAACTTGCAACGAAGTCATGGATCTGAAGCAGAAGGAGAGTCACGGCGTTGATCACGTCGATGTTGCAACTATGGACGATCCACATCTACAGCCACCCGAAGCATCGACGCTGCCGTGGTTCAAGCAGACAGAGTTGAGGAAGCTCTACTTCATGATGGTCTTCCTCTTTCTGGGATCGACGACACTGGGTTACGACGGAAGCTTGTTAAACGGACTTCAAACCATGCAGTCATGGCAGACCTGTAAGTTGGGTGTTATGGTTGTGGCATGTTGTGATCCCGCATCTCACAATCTTCACCCATTATCTGTGTTTCCAAACGTCTGTTTGCTGACAAACTCCCGTACAGTCTTCGATCACCCCTCAGGAAGTCGACTCGGAATCTTCGGTGCCATGCCAGGCTTTGGCGGCCTCTTCGTCCTCCTCTTCGCACCCTACATCGCCGACGGCCTCGGCCGAAAATGGGGCACCGCCATCGGCTGTCTCCTCGTCATCCTCGGCGCACTGCTGCAATCTTTCCCCTTTGGATCCAGTAGGGATGCCATGTACCTCATCGGTCGCTTCATCATGGGCGCTGGATCCAACATTTCCAATGGCACATGCCCCCTTCTCATCACCGAAGTGGCACATCCTCAGCATCGTGGCAAGGTTACGACGCTCTATAATACGCTGTGGTACTTAGGCAGTATCATTGCAGCCTGGTCGTGTGCGTATTCCTATCCCTCGAACTCGAACCAAATTTGTTGATAATCTTTTGACATTCGGCTAATGATTGGTGTGAAATACAGGCTTCGGAACACTCACGAAACAGTCCGGCGATCTACAATGGCGACTCCCCACCGGATTGCAGTGCATGATGCCAGGTATCCAGTTGATGGCCATCTGGTTCCTTCCCGAGAGCCCGAGATGGCTGATCAGCAAGGGCAAGGAGGCCGAGGCGAAGAAGGTTCTCATCAAATACCATGGTAACAACAACGAAAACGACGAATTTGCGCATTGGGAGTTTGCCGAGATTACTAGCACTCTGCGGCTTGAGAAGGAAGCCTCGGCTCAGAGCGGTTGGATGGAACTCGTCCGGACTCCAGGAAACCGCAAGCGTTGCGGGCTCATTATTGCAACCGCCATCTTTTCCCAGTGCAGTGGTAACGGCCTGGTGTCATACTATGTGAGTTTTTTGGTATTCCAATCCAGCCCACAGCGGTTCTCAAAGTTTGTGGACTCTGGACTTGCGGAGACCTTCTACACAAGTTGAAGAATGTTGCATCTAATGGAATTGTACAGCTCGCCGTTATTCTGGGCACTATTGGCATTAAGGAGTAAGTTTTGCGTCTCTACAACGGTTGTAGCCAACGAAGTATCTAATGGCGGTTTTCAGCTCCATCACACAATCATACATCAACGGTGGCCTTACCATTTGGTGCTGGCTTGTCTCGCTCACTGCCGCCTTCTTCGTCGACCGAATCGGACGCCGAGTCCTCTTCCTCTTCGCCGGCGTCGGCATGCTCATCTCATTCTCCATTTGGACAGCCTGCAGCGCAGTTTACGCCCAAACTCAGTCTTCGTCGGCCGGCATCGCCGTTGTGGCCATGATCTTCGTCTTTTACGGTGTTGCGGGAGCGGCTTGGCCGGGGTTGACAGTTTCCTACACCGTTGAGATCCTGCCGTACAATATTCGCGCCAAGGGTCTCACTCTGTGTTTCTGCTTCACTGCACTGAGTGGTGTTTTCAACCAGTGGGTCAACCCGCTGGGACTTGAGCAGCTGGAGTGGCACTTTTACTTCGTCTACATCGCCATGTAAGTGCCCTTGATGGATTTTGCTGTCATGTTTGGAGACTAATGATGCGGTATCTACAGTCTGGTAATCGAGTGTCTGGTCATATACTTCTTTTTCGTGGAGACGAGGGGTCCCACGTTGGAGGAGATTTCGATGCTCTTTGACGGCAAAGATTCTGCGGCTGGAGTTGCGAGGGTTCACGCTCAGGCAAAGGTTGAGGAAGTTGAGAAGAGAGAAAACGCATAAGCATAAGCCGTCATTTTTATAGAGCAAGCAAAAACCGAGTGTCAGTGAAAGCCAGCATTCACGTTGGCTTAGAATCTACTGCTATAGTTTGAAGACGTTTCATAGTCCGGCATCGCCGCCGGGCCAATTGGCGTGGGCGTGACTAGAACCACACATACTTCCTGTTCTACAGTGTTCAATTCCACTCAATTAGGAATTCTGCATAATTGATACAGGGCTTCTCATCTGCGAGTTGTGACTTTCAGTCAAAGCATGCAATGGCGATCATACTCTGACCACTCATGATTCACTGCATGGCCCTAGCCGGTGGTGAGAGCTTTGAGGAAGTAGGCGCGGGGTTGTTTAGACTCTTAAGGCTAGTCTCGGAACCTTATTCCAGGATTGCAGCATGCTTGTAGTACCTTAATTGTGTATTGATGACTAGGTCAATACAATGTCACCTTGAATCTTACAGCTGTACCTGACGATCTTTACGATCGCTGAGGTCTAGGTCGACCTTGTGGGAGGTTAGCCACTATCTACTGTTAATGAGGTGTATCACGCTAATTTGGCTTCATCCTTACTTGCGAAAAGCACGATCAAACACCACTCGGCGGAGGGATATTGAGCATACGTGTGCGTTCATGATATAAGCGCAAGCCATACCATTGTTACTCCTTCCCAGGTACTCTCGGTCTACCGTCTTCGTCCCTCGGCGTTCGACGCATATGTGCAGAAAGAGGCAGCAGAAACTTATAGAGATTCCAAATACTACACGATTTATGCTTTGTGGAATATTGTCTACTTACGTACTTACAGCTATTTAATTCACAGGAAGATGATCTATCTCGTACCCTGTCCACACCTAAGGTAGTCACTCATTGAAGCTTGATACGGCTCATGCTCTGCACTCCAGCTGAATTCAATGCCAACTTGCTCTCTATGATACACTATTGGAGGGAATTGTTTTGCCTGGTCAGTCTTGGCAGCGGTGGAGTGGTAGGGCTCCCCAAGAAGTGTCCTGATTGACCTGATGTAGGAGTTCGCGATGCTAAAAGACTGGGGCAACGACGCGCCAGCGTGACCGAGACTTGGCTTGCAGGCTGCCAAGTTCCGTTGAACTGTCTCTAGTGGTGGTAATGAGGAAAGTGAGTACCTGCGCCACTTGGAACACATGTAGTCAATGGCTTGGCAAGCAACCATTATTTCACATCACGACGCCACATTCTCCCACTTTCGTCTGTAACATTTATTAGTTCTTGCTTTCTTCACAGATAATAGTCCTCATGCCTTCAACCTTGTCAAGTTTGTTGGCTGAGAATACGTGTACATTATCCTAATGATTCTCTGCTTGAGCTATAGTACGAAAACTAATATCCTTCTGTAAAGAAAATCAAGGGTCTTGCATCCAGACGGGGCCTTTGAAGATATAATAAACAACTCTTGATACTGGAACTAAATCCCTAAACATTGAACAATATTTTCTGATGCAAAGAAACAATGTACTACTGGTCACGGCCAAATCCTTCATGTTATCATCTCTGCCCCCGCATCCCCAACGACGTCAATCGTTTCCTTCCCCGCAAGGTCGCCAGCCTCGCCTGAAGGCATCCAGACTTCGACCCATGAAGCCAAGCTCTTCTTTTCCCAGGGAAAATCCCACCCCTCTCGTTTCCCCAATGATAATGAGCGGGGTGTGGGTCCGGGGTCGCGCCGGCCGGCTGGGACACAGCCTGGCGTTCACCAGGCCGCTCAAGCGTAGGCATCTCAACAAACGCCAAGCTTTGCCAAGGGGCTTGTAAGCCCATTCTCGAGCAGTGATTCATGGGAATTTTGAGCTTCAATCCTCCGCTGCATCCTTTTTTACATGTTGCCTCTCCCATGCGTGTTTTGACGATCTAGTAGGGTAGCACCAATGACGGGGTTGGATGTGAGCTCTTGAAGCTATGTCATCCATCGACTACGCAGCTTGGAGAGCTCTGGGAGCTTCGGATTGAGAGCCAGAAGATGCGAAAAAAATAGGTATAAAAGGAGCTCGAGGATCTGCATGAGATTCGGGTTACATCGAGTAGTGAAAATCGTTCTCTCAGGTTCTTAATGGTACGCAGAAAGTCTGGTTAGACCCTTGGACGCTCTCGACACTACCTGCAATCTTCACCGAGATCCTCATATATCGTAGTCACCATGAAGGTCGCTAGCGCCTCAGCTTGCTTTGTCCTGTTTGCTCTGGCTCAATCTGCTGCCATTGAGCGTCGCCAGCAAGGCGATGGCCCAGGCGGATCCGCAGATGCAACGCAAGGCGACCTCGGTGAACGGCCACCACCGCGATTCCCGTTTCCCATTACCAAGTTTCCGGTTCCGAACGAGACTGTTGTCTTTAAGGAAGCCATGTACATCCTTCCTGGACAAGTCTTCGACGGAGGCATGAAGCGTTACGAACGCGTTGAAGGCAGCTGCAACGAACAAGCTGGTATGTTTGAAGCGGGTGTGATGTTCCTGCTATAAATAAAGAATCATCTCCTAACTCTACTCACCACTTCAGAGGGCACGGATGCCGACGCGGTTTTCAATCTCCTCCCTGGCTCGACAATCCGCAACGTGGTTATCGGCAAACACCAAGCTGAGGGTATCCATGCATTGGGCGACGCATGGGTCGAGAACGGTGGGACAGCATCCTTAACTTAGAAGTGCGAAACTAATTGTGTGACAGTCTGGTGGGAGGATGTTTGCGAGGACGCACTCACCTCGAAGGGTTTGAACACCCAACTGAGAGTGATTGGTGGCGGTGCTCGCAATGCCACTGACAAGGTTGGTACTTCGACCTGCATCGTAGCCCGTGAGAAGATTGCTGACTTTTCTCCAAGATCTTCCAAGACAACTCTCTTGGCGGGAAGTACAACATCACTGGCTTTTATGCCGATGGATTCGGAGTTCGTCAAGCTTCACTCTATGCTTACTATGATTAGACATCCTACTAATGCTATACCTCAGACTTTCTACCAATCCTGCGGTAATTGCCTGAACCAGTCAAAGCGGAATGCAACCATTCAGAACGTGGTCGCACTCAATGGCAACAGGATGGGCATCGTAAGTTCCCGATTGTGATGCGTTGGTCGTTGACATGCGGCTAATCTCCTCTCATCAACAGATCAACCCCAACTACGGCGATGAGATTCGCATCAAGAACACTCAGCTGAAAGACCTGAAGGTGATGGTGGACAAAGAGATCGCAAACAACATGCAAACCGTTCCAATCACGGTTGGCACCGGCCCAGACCAGAAGTACGCCCTGTACAACGAGACGAGAGACGCTATCACCGAGTGGGAGGGAACCGTAGAGAACGCATACGAGCCCGAGGAGCCATATGAGTGGCTTGAGGCTTACTGGCCGGATGGATTCAACTGATTGCCTCAGATGTGACATGGCTTAAGGCCGACTCCGATGTGGTGCTGAAGGCATGGCACTGCTGACCAATATCCTTACTGATTTCCCCAAAAGTTTCGATATACAATATCAAGACGATAAGCTTATCAGATTTATTCTCTGATCACGTTGGGGTGTGGCCATCGGATTTCCTCGATCCTCTCTGGAGACCAAATCTCGTTGCCGGGGCCCGGAAGCCCGACCGCCCCGGCCCCGAGTGGCCCACTGAACCCGATACCCACCTCGCCGGCACGGCCCTCGGGCTATTTCAACATCGACGAACTTGGATGTCATACGAAGCCAACAGAGAACAGGAGAAGATGGAAAAGTCTCAGTTGGCTCTCATCATTGCGCCTTGTCATGCATTCATTCTGAATAGAACCTAGTCTGTCGGGGAGATAGCCATTCAACCACCTTTCACGCGTGCCGACTTCCGGTACAATCCGGAAACCATGCATGTTCTCCCCTGCAACCACGTTGTTGGTCTTTGTGACCCCCCAAACGTCAAAAATCGATTGTTCCTTGCGGACACCGAGGTCAGTCCGGATGGGCATTGAGTTGGCGCGTCGAACCCAAGCCCTGCTAGCCTCCCTTGCTCCCGGGACAACACGCCACTGTATCGCAATGTCTCACTCAGCCGTGAGCCTTCAAAGCAGCCCGCGTCAATGGACGCATCTGTGCATTTCACGGGCAGTCTCATGCAGGTCGCACCGGTTGGCCTCGCTTACCGTCAACGGCGGAGGAGACCGAGCAACGACGCATCTTGAAGCTGCGCTGGCCCCATGGGACGAGACTGTCGCTGAGAATTTGGAAGGCAAACGAATTTGCAATAAATCCCTGCTGAGTTGTAATTTTCGGAGGAGGCGCAGTATGCAACGGTTAGCTGCGTGCAGGAGCTGAGCGTGGCACCATGCCAAACCAACAGAGTTGTTCGCTCGAAACCGTCAAACGGTTCGTCCCTTGGGAGGTGGGAGGACTTCATTCCCCACTAGTGAAAACGGCGTTTGGCATCATTGGCTGCATTCCAGAGAAACCTCAGTTGGTCGGATAAAGCCCAAAAGTCTAGAGTTAAAACGCATCAAAGCTGGCAGGGCTCGTATTGACAGCAGCCGTGACAAGTCTCGGCTTCGGACAGACTCAGCTCCAAGGGGGGTTAGAAAGTTGATCATTTTCTTTTTTGGGGTGATGATGCACAAAGTGTTCGTTCACGGGACCGGATGCATCTCTTTGCACCAACACGCCTTGGCAATCTGCCCTGGCAAACAGTCCAACCAGCCAACCTAAGACATGGCCCACGCCGTCATAACTAGGAGCGCAAGGGATATAGCTACCAACGCCTTTCCACCCTTTCCCTCCCGCATTGTTCGTCACCGTCCCAGCCATTCCTTTTCTCCGTGGCGAGTGAAAACCGAATTGTTGCCCCTCACGAACCTCTCTCATCACCACAAGAGCACATCCGCGAAAGTCTACCGGTGGACTGTGACGACAACGAAGGAAATCACTTGTTGACGGGGGAGGAATGTGGGACAGGAAAACATCATGAGCTCGTCAAATCCCTACATCAGCAATGGTACATGCTACCACGGGCCAGGAGATGAGGTGGGAGAATGGTTTCCGTGTGGAAATGCAGACCTTGGATACAAGACCTGTTGCCAGGGCGGCGACATGTGCTTGTCCAGCCATGCTTGCTACAATGGTCGGTTCGGAATCACATATCTCGCAGGCTGCAGCGACCCAGACTATCGAGACGCGAGTTGTCCCGATAAAGGAGCCATGAGTGGTAAGTTACAGTCACGATGATGAGAGAGATGTACCTTTGGGCATAAAACTAACAGTTTGATATCAAGATCAACCATGGGCAGGTCTAGTTTACTGCAACGGCACTTCAGAACAATGGGTGGCTTGCGAACAGTCGGCGAAGCCCACGACTTTGACATCAGCAGACGCGTGCTGGTGCCCACAAACATCTCGAACCGTCGCTTTCACCGATTCCTCGATCCTCCAAAACGTTGTACAGCTTCCGACCTCAATTGGAGGAAGTGTCATCTGGCAGCCTGGCTATGTCCCAATTCTTACACAGCCCAATACAACCCCGACTCAAACTTCAACTGCCTCGACGACCGCTCAAGCTCAGCCTCCCACAATGACAGCATCAAGCACAACATCACAGCCGACTGCGACACAAACCTCTTCATCAGACGATACGGCGGGTCTGACGACAACTACCAAGGTCGGGCTCGGCATTGGTATCGCGGGAGGGTGCTTGGTTCTCATGGCTGCTTTGATATACATATGGTACTCCAGAAGGAGATTGCGACAAACGGGGGTGGCAGAGATGGATAATGCAACTGAAAAGGGACATGGGTACGAAGGCGGTATGGCAAAGCCATATGAAGCGAATTCGGCGCGGCCAGAGTCCGAAGCAACTGAGTTGGACGGCACCTCCCGGCCCTTCAAATTCGAACCAGCGGGCTTCGGATACAGGGGCAGTCCGAAATTGGAACCAGATAAAGGATGGGCACAATCGCCGAAGACTCCAGTGGCTGAGTTGCCTGGATAGGGCTGGGATGGAAAGTGCTTGGATATACCAGAGTAGATTAAATAGGATTGTTAAAAAATAGGTATCGTTTGGGAATCCACCGTGTAATTCTAGTTCTCGGTCGATCCGGCAGGTCGCTTAATCTCGCCCTCTGTGGCCGAGCCGGATGATTCTTGGACGTTCAACATTGTAGCGGCGGGGTTGTTGGTCTCTGAGACGTGGTTCGCCATGCCGTACCAGCAAACCACGCAGATGCCCAGAACGCCTGAGATAATGCTGAAAACAAACGCGACAATTCCCTTGGTTGTGAATCTGGGCTCTTGTTAGAGGTACAGCCTAGCCGTGAAGAGCTTGATACTTGTACTTACCCAGCTGGGAGCGGGTCGGGAGGCGCGTTCTGCCCGTTAAGGTCCAGAAGATCCTTGGTGTTGCCGGCAGCATTACCTGCAACGGGCACGTTTCCAGCTGCACAAACATCGAGATGGTTCTGCGGCAGAGTGAGGGACTTCTGGATCTCCAGCGGTGCCTCAACAAAGGTTGCCAGCAATCCCGAGGTAACATGCCACTCAATATGGCAATGGAACAGCCAGATACCTAGATGGAAAGAGGATTAGTATGGATTCCGGCCTTTGCCATATCGCAAGGACATACCTGGGTTGTCTGCCTTGAAGCGAAGGACGATGTTTCCATCGGGCCAGAGGACGAGAGTATCCCGGCGCATAGGCACGGCGGGGAAGTCACTCTCGGTCATGTTTGAGTCTGCAAAAGTACCGCTCTCCTCTTCACCACGGTACAGAGACTGGAAGTGATGGCCGTGGAGATGGAACGGGTGGCGACCGGAATCCAGGTTGTTGACCACGATTTGAACGATTTGGTCCTTCTTCAGAACAAAGCTGTGGGTGTAGTCGCCGTAGACTTCGGCATTTTCCGCGTCAGCACCGGTTGTGAGTGCAGTATACAATGACGGGACCACTGGTGCCTTGTAACTGATGTTGTTGAAGAACGCATAGTTGGCACCATCGCCCAAGTTGTCCATGATAACGTTGAGCTCAACGGTCTGGTCTGGCTCTCCGAAACGCGCCAACTCGTCATGGGGTACCAGCGTCATATCGTCAAAAGGATTGAGCTCATCGATCAATGCCGGCTCCGGAAGTGAGTTGCTCTCATTGTACACCAACCAACCTGTGACATTCCAGTTCAGATCATCGGGCAAGGTGTCAAACAATGTCTGGAGGTGGAGAAATCGACATTAGCAGTTGAGGTGGTTTCTTCACGAACGGACTTATGTGTCCGCATTCTTTTAGAAGATTTAAGCTTACCGTGTCCATGCTACCGACGATGGCAAAGTTCTCGGCCGTGGAGTTCTTGGTTGTGAGAAGGAAGCTGCAGCGCTGGGCGACGGACAGGTAGATCATCTCAGCAGTCGCCTGCTGGGTGTAAACACCATCAACTTCGATGATAGACATGTTGTGCCCCTCAAACCAGAGATATTGTCCTGCAAAAGCCCCAATATTGATGACGCGCATCAAGTAGGTCTTGCCAGCTGAATCGAGATCGTGAGATTCTGCGTCTCATTCATCAAAGCTGCCTTTGGCACAGGCTCCGCACCGGTGGGGTTCGTCTTGCTCATGAACGGCGGGATGAGATTCTGCATCTGCTCATGGTACCAATCCGAAAGCGTCAAGACAATCTCTTCGTCGTAGTCCCCAGCATAAGAATTGTCCGGATCATGGATGATGAGACTGCCGCGGAGTCCGTCTGGGTACTGGGACATGGTGTGTGAGTGATACCAGTATGTGCCCGGTTGGGTGATCTGGAGCACCGTGAAGATTGGCATTAGTAAACACCCCGTTGCTAGAATTCGTAGTCATGCGAACTCTAACGTTATAAAGTGGGAATACCTACCGTGAAGTTGTAGAGGAATGATGAGCCTGGAGGGATGGGGCATTGCGATACCTGGGCCGGACCATCCATGTGCGTGGTGCCGTTCATGAACAGCCCATGAAAGTGCAGCGAAGTGGACTGATTGCCCAAGTCGTTGTGCACGTTGATCACAATGTTGTCGCCAATGTTGGCCTCAATCTGGGGAATGGGCCATTTTCCATTGATACCAATGACGGGGCGGTCGAAAGCACCGTCAGGATTGGCAGTGACCCAGCCGACAGTGAAGTCGTAGTTGACTGTCGCTGCGGCAGCGAGCCGCGAGGCCAGGCACGCGAGCGCCAGAGACAGAGTCATGACCATGGCGACCTCAATTCACTCTATGGTCCAGTGAAGATGGTTGTTGGCGTGTCTTTCGCGGGCTGTCTCGAATGACAGAAGTAGCCGCGATGGGGGTTGGCGAGGAGTGCGGTGTCCTGGCTGTCCTCCGATGAGAGGAAGACGAGAACTTATCTCTGGCTCTTCAAAAGGAAACGAGGTGGGTGGCACCCTACTGTAAGGAAAAGAAGGGAAGATAGGAGGAGCAACCGTTGCCGCCGATATCAGTCTTCGATCCTCTCAAGTCGAACGGGGTAGAGTATCGGGCGACATATCAGAGTCATCTGATTTTTCTTCCCTCCCGGAGGCTGGCCGACTCTAGACGAACAGGGTCTCTCAGAGGCAACATTTCCGTGACGCCACTTTCCATGGAAGTAAAACCAAATCCATGTCGGTACAAAAATCACTCAATTATCTTATCCATCTGATCAGCAAGCACCGGGGTTAGACTAGTAGGGCAGAAATGCTTAGCACCGGGAGACCCTTCGGGGCCTCCTCCACCCGTCGCCCCCCACCACCACACGACCGGCCTGCGTTTGTGGAGCCCTCTTCGGTTCGAGCTTGCATCTAGATCCATCTTGTAGCGGTACAATTGAGATACATTCAACGACATGGCCTCCAGGATTGTGTTCGACCGCCGCTGCGTTGGATGTGGAAGCAATTCCAACAGCGTAGTACGAGTGTTACGACTCACGTTGAGCACCAACGATCATCGCAAGTGTTTGGAGAAGAAAATACCTGATAGGACTAGCCGATAAACACCCGCTCTTCTCGGTCTCTTTCCTCCCCAGCTCGGACCTGGTAATCCAATCCAATCGATCCATCAACCACCCCTGAGGTGATGGGAAGAATGAGCACACCTCCAAGATCCGCAGAGTTTTACGATGTCGACCTCCCATGTATTGGTGGGTTCATCTGGATTCTTTGCCCTCCGATGGCTGCCGCGTCGACATACCTAGACCCCTCCGATTCCGAGCTCGGCTTAGAGAAGCACCAGACTCGATCCGATAGGCACGACTACTCCCCTTCGATCAGCAAGTCAGATTGATAAAGTCTTTCATCGCCTCATCGATCCCGGCTGAGAGACCTCCCACCTTCGTTCCGAACTAGACTTTTGCCCAATAGATTCACACTGATACCATCACCACGAGCAAGATGGCCGTCAACGTGTTTTCGGTTCCCGTCTTCCTCGTCGTTTTCCGCGAGTCCTTGGAGACTGGCATCATTGTCTCTGTCCTTCTCGCTTTCTTGAAGCAGACTCTCGGAGGCCCCGGACGCGATGTCACTGTCTACAAAGCTCTTCGTAAACAGGTAAAGTCCTTACCTAGCTTTTGTCCTTTTGCGAGATTCGTCGCGTTACGCTAACTCGTCACGCGACGCAGGTCTGGATGGGAACCGCCCTCGGCCTCACCCTCTGCATTGTAGTCGCGGCCGCCATCATCGGAGTCTTCTACGGAGTCGGTCGAGACAGCTGGCAAGCGCACGAATACTACTACGAAGGCTCGTTTGCGCTTTTTGCATCCATTATCATTACACTCATGGGAGTTGCTCTCCTTCGAGTTGGCAAGCTGCAAGACAAATGGCGCGCGAAACTTGCCAAGGCCATGGAGCCTCAAGCAAAGACAGCGACCTCGACATTCAGCTCTCGATTCAAGCGGAACCAGGAGAAATACGTCATGTTCTTCCTACCCCTCATCACCATTTTGCGTGAGGGAATTGAGATGATTGTATTCATCTTCGGCGTCACTTTCGCAGCACCTGCTACTGCCGTACCCCTCCCGGTCGTTGTTGGCTTGATCGTTGGTGTTTTCGCGAGCTACCTCCTCTACAAGTAAGAATTAATATTACACCAGAACTGTCGACCGGATGGCTCTAACGCGGAATCCTCAGGAGTGGATCTACTTCCAAGATTCAAATCTTCCTCGTCGCCTCTACCTGCTTACTCTATATCGTCGCTGCCGGTCTATTTTCGCGCGCCGTGTGGTTCTTCGAAGCACAGGAATGGAACACAGCCGTCGGTGGTGATGCGGCTGAGGTTGGCGCGGGCCCTGGATCCTACGATATCGACAGAAGCGTTTGGCACGTTAACGTAAGTACTCAAATCCGCGCTGAATAGGGACATGTGATCGCGAGACTGACTTCTTGCAGTGCTGCAGCCCTCAATTGAACGGTGGCGGTGGCTGGGGTCTCCTGAATGCCATTTTCGGCTGGAACAACTCTGCCACCTACGGATCTGTCATCTCGTACAACGTCTACTGGATCTTTGTCATTTGCTGGCTTGTCCTTCTGAGATTCCACGAAGTCAATGGTCACTGGCCCCTCATGAAGCCAAAGGCTGCTGGCAAGGTCGAGTCCACTGAGGAAATGCCAGGAATATCTACGCCTACTGAACACCCTGTCAACGAACCCAAGAAGGATATGTCAACCACCACAAACGCACTGAGATAATCAGTCACGATGGCGGGCTCGGGGTTTATTCGGTTTGGAGATCTTATTGTTGCCGGATCTCATTCATGGAGGGGACGAGGATTTAATGGAGGGGCACACACATTATCAAGACTTCGGTCCCGATACCAATACCCTGCCTTTCTCGTTCAATTACCTGGTAATTCGAATGAATATCTGAATAGTCATCAGCCCTGCACCTTTCACTAGCCTCAAACCTTCGACGATTTTCAGTCCAAGTCTACGGCAATAAACCATGTGGCGAACCCACTCTTATGTTAGATAATGTTTGTTTACCCAGTCTTCATCCTCTCTTTGGACGTGTCAATGATTTTGATCCCTAACAATTTACTTGGAGCATGTTCTACAATGCCCTTCGTGGACCAGCTAAGGATTTGGACCCCGCTCCTTATTGCCCCATGAACACGCGAGCAATCGTACGGGGCCGTGGTATGAAATGTTTTCACATCGCCTCACTCGGTGAAGAATACAGCCACACCTGCATGAGGCATAGGTTTAGATCTACTAGCCCCTATTTAGACCCAACGGCCCACCATCCTTCGAATAGTAGCGTTCTACACGATAGGAAGACTGCAGCGTGTGACTGGGCGGATTCTGTGAGGGGAGCTGCAGAAATGCAGAAAAAGTAACTTCAGGGGGATATTTACCCAACCTCCACTAGCATCAGAAGACTTTTTGAGGCCGAAGCGATATGGTTCCACGGGCATGCAGAGACACTGCTTCATATCAAACGCGCCTGGGTGGCGCGGGCTTCCTTCCGAGTGGGACTTTCTCAACGGGCAGACCAGAACGTGGCGTGGGCAGTAGCTACGATCCCTCGGCCTTCCGAGCTGCCAACTCGGTGATAGATACCAGGCTACTTTGGACTTAGCAAGCCACGCTCAACTCAGACCACTGGAATTTTCTTGGGTTTCATTGCCTATTCTGTAAACCATGACAAAGACACATAATAAGTTATGTGCGATTAGGTCGACGACAATATGGGCGGTCGGTGTCCACAGTCGGGCACCTGGTCACTATCTTCCTGACATCTCCCCGCAAGCCAAGGCGGACGGTTTGCCGGGACTATGCGGCAGCCAGCCTTCTTGCTCCCACTACAGGTCTTCCCAAGAACTTGGTAACCAGAGTCCCCCTGTAGTGTCCGTCTCCCTCATAACACCCCCACGATTGTCAGCAAATCCATATCTACTGGCATTGGCTTGGGCAAACTCCACCGGAATCGCACTTCTAACCCCTGATCCTTACCCGCTTTCATTGGGAGTCTGGGAGCCACAAGAGGGTGCGTACAACAACACGAGCCGTCTCAAAGGAGGCATCGATTCGAGGTCGAACCATTATAGTCACAGCTTGGGAAAGGCGCCCACGGCTATTACGCTGTAGGTCTCCACGATTTCATTTATTTTTGCCTACTCTTCATGTTTGTCGAGATTCTGGGGCGAACGACATGCTTTCTAACACCGAATATCCGCGTTTGCCCGAGGCACGCGGTGTGGCCTCAGTTGACTTATACCACACAGCTTTTCAAGTGGATTAGACTTAGAAAGCCACATACATTAGGTGGCAGGATTGCTGGGACGCGTGGTCATGTCAGCCATGAGCATGGCAAATTCTGCGTACGGTCCGTCCATGAACGAGCACACTTTGCCTCGTGGTATCCACGGAGCCACAGGCCTCATGTCCCTAGAACTCCGCCCTACCCCAAAACTATTATCAACTTCACAGGAAGTAAATAAGCAGGCATCGAAAGATTCTCCTGTACACGTGTGCTCGATCTCTCTTGTAATTGGTTAAAAACGAGGATTTAGTCGGCTTTGAACGATCTTCTCGTGGGTCATTGTTTAGGAATCCAGAATAATGGCCCAATTTTGTCCCGCTGTGTAGCCGTATGTCTGTGATCGTTGACTTCAAGTACGCGGAATAGCCTACTCGTGTGTTATTAAAAAAAAAAAAAAAAAAAGTGGTCCAGGGAAGGTTACCCGAGGCTCTCTATCTCATGCATCCAAAGTGCGTTCCGCCCGGTTTCAACGAGACGCTGTGAGGTCACGGCGGATTACAATAACACCGTCGCTCTGAGAAAGTGAGATATGAGCCTTCGTGGCCCAGAACTAGCTAGAACATGTTGAATTCTTGCAAGCGACTTTTACACATGGCGGGGACCTTGCCACTCTATTCCAAAATCTAAACTTATTGCAACCGCCAGTGTGAGGTAATGTCAGACATGATTAAGAAACATGGTTGCGACTAACAGACAGGGCTCGGTCGTACGAGCTCAAAAATGCTCGGAGTTGCGATCTCGGAGATATGGTCAAAAAAGCTTGTCAAGTGGTGCCCCCCAAAAGCCAAGTCGGACAGACCCGAAGCATCGGTTGGGGCTGAAGCCAGGACGATTTCCTGATTAGCAAGACTAAAACATGGGCTGAAAAGTTTTGTTCCCGATCCCACTTTCGCACGGCTGTTAAATGCTTTGTCGATTGGTTGAGTCGAATGGGTATCCGTAGCGCCTGTCCACAAGTTCGTGTCTGTCCACCCCCCCAGATGCCTTTCTCAGACGTAGTTTCGAGTATCCACGTGGAGCGGAGAGCTGTACCCGCTTTTTAAAACTATGACAAGCAACTTCCTGATTCATTCCTTCGCTTGGCCATGATTCGTTCTTTTCTACGGTAAGTGTTGCCGCGCCCGGCGTCCTAATACGCAACCGAGACGGCTCTAAACGACCGTCGTCCATTCAGTAGTCGTTCACTACAAAGGAGCGTTCAGGTCAACTGTTGTTTGACGGGAATGCGTGATGGAATTGAAGTCCTTCAAATGGTGTCTACATTAATCTATGTTTTGGGAAATACTAGGATACTAAACAAGGTCACTTTAGGCCTCGTTTGTCGTGACAACCTGCCGAATTTAGGCTTCGGACCCTGCAAAAAGTCTCCTCTGACGTACGAGGTCCCAAGCGGCGGCCCAACAGACTTTTTACTAGCCTGTTGTATCCGTCGCAACTCCTCCGATGAACCCGGTAGAGTTAGGATCGTGGTCTGCTCAAGGACGGAATCAGAAATATTTGAGAATTCCACAAGGCGAGATATCATTCCGTGGTCCAGTCGCCTAAGGTAAGAATTTTATCGAGCCCACTAAAGCCGCGGGAACCTTTGAAATTGTTGGGGGCGTACGTGAAGAAAGTCTTCAAGTGGGTATCAGATAGCAATAGAATTCGTAAGCGTAGAGTCCTCGAACCTACCAACCTCACACATTGCAACTGGTTGGACAATTCGTGGGTCCTCATGGTCTCTTGGATACCCACTGGCACCTACCCGAAGAGTTCAAATATCCTTTCTCGCGTCAAGAAGTCAACAAGTCACACAAGTCACTGGCAAGTAGATCGACAGCGAAAGCGAGTCATTTCTTTTCAAGATACGATCCAGGCCAGAACCTAACCCACCGGCGTGTGTGGCTCTAGCGCCAAAGATTATCTAGACATCTGATTAGATCCAATCAGGGTCATCGTGAAGCTAATGATTGACTTTTCCATGTCACATTCAGCCGCCCAATGTTCGCAGTCTCGCAAGCGATGCGGTATTTTCGGTGGGGACATGATACGAAAATGAGGTTCTCAACCAAGGAAGCTGTCCGTGATTGAAATCAGTGCATCTGATAGTGGAACAAGGGATGAACGTCCCGCACTTTGACCATTTTGCTGGAGCTAGATTGATACGTAGGCAAAGCTTTATTTTCTTATGTTCTTTACGGAGATCTGATATAAGTGTATGAGGAGACTCGCCAAATCCCCTTAAGGTACGGTGGTTTGGTCCGAAGGAGAGCCTGCCACTTTTGCTTATACCAATATCGCTGTCGACTGGACGCCCTGTCCAGCACTCAACGTTGGCAAACATGATCGAGCCCCGTGCAGCCAAGCAACCGAAGCCACCGAACGCACGACAGCTCTTGAATGAGTGGAATGTCAAGGTATATGCGGGTGTAGTCGCAGGAGTCATTGCGGCTCTTATTATCTATCATTGGGCGCAATGGATCAAACGCAGAACATCAAAGTCGCCAAGAACTGGCTCGTCATCGCCCTTTGCCAAGGCTTCTAGGTAAGACTATCGTCAGAAATCACTTGGCGCTCGATCAGCCCTAACAGCCCGCAGGAAAATACGCAGCCTACTGGTTCGCAAGGCCCCGGGGTTTCCAACGGGAGGCCATGCCTTGCTGACTATTGCTTTCGTCGGTGTCAATGTTGTTATGTCTTTTCATCACGTTGACAAGGTAAAGATGAGCAATTTTGCTGCAAGATTTGGATGGTCAGTTTTTAAGGGTCCCTCTGCCATCTTCTTGGGTGCTGACACAATATGCACAGGATGTCGACGGCAAACATGGCGCTCTGCGTCTTCTTCGGTCTGAAAAATACTCCCCTCGGTGTCTTGACCGGACATTCCTACGAAAGGCTTAACTTCTTCCACCGTCTAGCCGGGTACGTGGCCGTGCTTCAGATGCTCCTTCATGCCATTTTCTACATGGTGTACTACGGAATGCAGGACCGGTGGAGCACCCTACTCGAAGTGCAAAATTGGGAGGGCATTGGCGCTGGTTCCGCCATGCTCCTCCTGCTCATGGGCTTGGCAAGGAATCTTGGCTACGAGTGGTTTTACGTGAGCCACCTGGCGGGATTTCTGCTGGCCGTTATTTTCACTGGGCTTCACAGGCCCTATTGGATATGGAAGATCCCTGTGGCAATGATATTCATCGCCGCAATTTGGGGACTTGACCGTCTGATTCGAGGGTCGAGGATGTTGTACAACCTTGTCAACAACAGCGCCACCATTTACCGGTTGCCAGACAATGGTGTTCGTCTGGTCATCAAGAAGCCTCTGTCAGGTGCCACTCCTGGCTCGCACTGCTTCGTTTGGATTCCCGGTGTTCGCCCGCTCCAAACACACCCCTTTACCATCGTGTCCAACACTCCTCACGGGGGGCTGGAGCTGGTCCTCAGCTCCTATGATGGTTTCACCAAGGCTTTGCATGATCTAGCTAATACCGAGGCTGGGACGACTGTGTGGGCTTCGGTTGACGGACCCTATGGAGCATTCCCTAACCCGAAGAACTACGACAAGGTGGTCTTGATTGCCGGTGGCAGCGGGGCGACGTTTACCTTCGGTCTGGCAACCAGCCTCTTACAGCACTTGGAATCTGAATCCCACAAACGTGTTGACTTTATCTGGGCCGTCAGAAAGAGGGGTTTGTCTAGTCCGATCAATAACACGTGTGGAGTGAACGCTGACGTGTGACAGAGAATCTAGAATGGTTCACGGATCACCTTCAGTCACTGAGCCAACACGGCGCAGGGGTGAACGTGTTACTGCACGTTACCCGGGAGGGCTCCACGGCCTCCTTGAGCGAGTCGTCCGAAAATGTCTCATCGCCCACTTCCCTGAAGTCACCGAACGAGAAGGTTAAAGCTCTTTTCCCTGAGTCTGGCACGGAGCAGAATAAGGAAGCTCTCCCTTCGACTGCGGCAGTACCACGGGGAGATAGATCGGCGGGTCTTGAGGGGCTGTGTGATATCAAGTTCGACAAGTTGCGAGCTGGGGAGGCTATCACTCAAACACTGCAGTCAGCTGCACCTGGTCAACGGGTATTGATTGCTGCTTGCGGCCCGCAATCACTGACCGAGATTGTCCAGAACGCTGCTGCACACTGTATCGCCACTGGCGAAATAAGCATCGAGGTACACTGCGAGAACTTCGGATGGTAGCCGGAGCGGTTAGAGTATATACGTCGAGACCATGGCTCGAGAGAAAGGCGTGGACTTTCATCACAACGAATGGCTTTCATGACTGGCCAAGAAACCAGCATGACAGAAGTCTTCATCGCAGCGGCTTTAGTGTAGTGCAATACTTTTCACTAGTCACTCACTCATGGAGGTGACCATTAAATCTGTGAAATCTTTGCCTGTAAGCCTCATCCTCAATCCCAGTGAGATTCACATTCTTTCGGAACTGCACGATGCAAAGACCCGGGCATCGGATGGAAAACGGTATACCATCTTCCGGCATAGAGCACGTGGGCAACCTGGCCAGCTTTGAAAACACTATGAAATTATCGATGACCTCTAACGTAGCAAAGAAACGGCTTCCCATAATTCCATGGCTAGTCGATACCCTAGCATGGGTCTAAATTTAGCTGGTGTGAGCGGAGAGCTCGGTCGTTGTGGTGGCAGGATTGACAATCCAGACATGACAAGTGCCCCCTCGCTCGGTCTCCGGGCACCTAGGAGCTAAATCCGAGCCCCTTGACAGCTTCGAGATTCCACATTCAAACGATCAGCTAGTACGAATACTCTTTAGGTCGAATATCTCAACAAATCGGCACCTGCTTGGGCAGATTCCTGGAAAGAGGCCTTGGATTGTGACGTGTGACACGGTAGATTCAAACTATCAACGCTACGACTGACTCTCCGAATAGGTATTCGCTTTTGGTCCCCTGACCACGAAATGAGAAGCTATCTCTACTGTACATCAATGCGTGCTAGTCTGCGCCATTACTTGTAATGCAAATGTGATGATTGGTGGGTTCGGCTGAAATCTTCTGGCCCGAATGTACTAAACGGGGAATGTCTTTCAGCATACAGAATCTTGCCGAAGCTTGGTCGAACTGTGGCGATATCCTTGTTTGCCCACACCTGCCCAGAACGCGGAATCTTCGCTTCGAGGGGCCCAAGCCCAACCAGCGCCTCCACTAATAGGTAGATGGTAGAAGCGGAACGCAACGTAAGATGAGGTAGCGCCGATAGCGAAAGCGAACAAGATATCGAAGCCGTGGTGTTGGAAGTCGTACCATCTGGAAGCGCAGATAAAGATGCACAACGCAAACGGAACAAGGGTGAGGACCACTAGATAGACGGGTGGAGCTGCTGCTTGTCTTCGAAACGGTATGACCTGCTCAGGGAGCCTGCCAGCCTGGCCGTCTCCCGCCAAGCTCTCCCCATCGATGCGCGAAGGGAAAGCAGAGTGATGGGTAGCTCCCAGGTGTACCCCTTGAGGTGCCCACGGCGCGGCTACCCCAAGTTTGCTCGCCAAGAAGAGCATGAGATAGATCAGTCCTGAAGCTGCGACGGATGAGTGTCCGGACGGAAAGCTGCGGAACCCCTCATCAATAACACTCTTGTCAGGGTTGGTGCAGATGTCGGCCGATACGAGCTGTCCCATGGCGACGGTGGTGGTGTTTGATATGCCACCAACAATGTACCGGGCCAGATTGTCGAGATCGGGCTGGCAGCGGGCCAACGCATTCGGTCGAGGTTTCCCGAGTAGGTTCTTTGTTGTGCTCACGATGAACCAGGTCGTCACGACCGAGAGAATGAGCCCCAGCCATCCTGCGTGTACCTCCCAAATCTTCCTACTCCAGACAAGGGACCTTGGCGTATCTCTGGGAACTGTTCCCCCGGGTACGAACAGTATGACTACTCCAAAGATCACCACTATTGGTAATGCGACGCTTAGGAGTAGTAGATTCGTCACAGAAACGGTATCGCTGTGGAGCGGAAAGCTAATATCTGGGTTCTCCAGGTTGAAAGGCCGTTTTTGTGGCGACAGATTGCCAAGCAGTAGGCCTGCCACGGCAAATGCGATGAGTAAAACCCAATCGATGGCATAGGATAGAATCAAGATGAGATTCCCCATTGTCTGGCGTTTGCGATGTGCGCCGCTGGGATCCGAAATCGATGAATAGGGTCGACGGGATTCGAAGGGACCACGATTCTGGAGGTCCTCAAGGGGAATATCGAGCATTCTGTTGTCCAAGCCGAAACGCAATGAGCTAAATATTGTTCAAGTTCATAATATTGAAGGCGGAATTCAACATCTATATATATGTGCAGCTCACAATGACTGCGTTCGAATGTGACTTAGACCTGGATGCAGGGACAGCGCCTCTTCCCTAGACTCGCCCGGTTGAGTCGCCGTCTCATTCCCCGCCACATGACAGGTGCACTCTACTCCAACCTCACATACGCGTAGCTTAGCAAGCCAAAATACGGCCTAATACTAGACCGCACCCAGTGAGGCTGTGTCCTGCTCTGGACAAGGTCTTAATTTTGTATCAGTTGGGGAAAGGGGCTACAAGAGCGGCACAGATCGTCGGGGCCTAAAAATGGCCAGTGACCCCTCTGTACTGGACGGACCTCTCATCTCCCCGACAGCGAGAGTTTTGACTTGACTGCCGATACTTTATTTATCTTTCAAATTTGGTCCAGAAACCTGTACCGCCAACTTCTCCTATACTTTTACTCCCTTCATCAACAACTACCAGACACTTCCTGGAATCGAAGCTTGCTTTGAATGATACCCACATAACCAATGCTAATCGGCTGACGCGTCCCATAAGCCACTTGCCATTGGGAATTCCAGGTTGTAGATGCCTGGATGTGTAACTCCTACCTTGATCGGTGGATATCATCGCGTGAACATTGAAGGTTCACGTTGCCTCAAATGCCCCTGGAGTCATATCAACGACTGTAGAGGCTTCGCATGGAACACTCGAGAGTCCAGGCCTTTTGCAGTGCCAACGCCTTTCTCCTGTCGACATAAGATCCGTATAAAACGGAGGCGGTTACACCTAGAGCGTACGGTATTAGAAGCGAGGCAACGTATCACAGCCCCTGACATAGATGATGACTCGGTGCGTAAGAAAGTTGCTATCCTGCCACTCTAGGCTCAAGTCTCACAGGGTGGGCAGTGATGGGCGGGCGGGTGGCGCTGGTTCCTCGTATCAAACGCTGCGATGAATGATGCTTCTTTGAAGTGTCTCATAGTCTCAGGGACTCGCTCTATCCCAGCCTTCTTTCCGGCACGGGACTTCGATGAAGCATAGAGAAATACCATGTTCGTCAGAATTTAACTTTCAGAAAGACTGAAAGCCATCTCTCACAGCCTCTGCCTTGGCCAACGTGCGGAAGCTTGGTCAAGTTCTAGTAACGTATTCTTGAAGAGTTACTGTGTACATGTACTTTCGGAAACTTCTCAGTAAGCAATCTATCGTGGTCTAGGTTTCCAACGGACGAACTAGTCAAAACAGGGTGTGTGGAAATATCTAGCTCGATGTTGCGGGTGGCTGTCCGGGGCGTGTGGGCACATTGCGTTGAGAAGGGAAGCACGTGGTCAGAGAACCAACCACCTCTTGGCAGGGCAGTTCCGCTACCAGATCTTTCTAACTACTGCAAGTCCTCAGATCATCCTGTCTTTTGAAACTGCTTGGAATCTAGATGTTTGCTGCTGTTTTGCCAAAAGTATGATTCTTCGCAAAAGAAAACAAGCCTACACCCATTCTTCCTTACAGGTAGGTAGCCAGGATGGTGAGTCCATCCCCTTTTGTCGCCATCCCAGACGTCCCCAAACATCCACATGCTCCCAGATAGAGACTAATTGTGCTGAGGTCTTAAATCTCGTTCAGGTATCTTTTCAATTGCACTGTCGATGCGACCTATTGCATATTGCCATCCAGAACTCTTTGGCGAACAAATCGGTGTGGTAGCAGACTTTGCCATTGACAAGATCAAACAGAGACCATCCATACCTTCGCTACCCGACCGCTCGTTTCTATTTGACAGCCTAACTTTGATCACAATCGTTAGAACAGTCCACCGAGCCGATTATCGAACCTCGAATAGGGAATATTCAAGTATCCTATGGCACCCGTCACGTCAAGACGAAGCATCGTCAGCTATGGCATCATCATATGAGTCTCTTTTATTTACTCTAAACGATGATCCGACTGAATTCGGCCACGAGCTTTTCGCCGATGCAGGTGATGGAGAGTATGAAGGAGAAGTATAGGACCAAACTGTTGCTGAGATGGTTGGATCGAAGCTGCTGGTTTCGCTTGCTTCGCGAACAGAACTTCGGGTTAACGATGGAACACCGTCGTATTCGCGCACAATATCCTTGGACAAAAACAATAGTCCAGGAGATTCACCAATATTCTTGAACTTTCGATTGAATTTGGGCAGTTGTGCAGCTTGGGCTATCCGTCCAAGCATGGTTGACTCCATGGAGCATTTTGGCCTAATTCAGGCTCCAAACCCAGTCGCCGATGGTAAGGGAACTTTCAATACTTCGCTAGCCAAGTGTCAGATAGCTCTGGATCTCATCATGATTCCGGTTATTGATTTCCTAAGAGAAGGTTGCCGTGGCATAATATCATCCAGCCTTTGGCTTTCCTTATTTGCTGGCGAATGTTTCTTTGCTTCCTTCTTTTTTCTTTCTTTCTTCATCATCGGAAGTTCAGTGATTCCAATGGCATCCAGCCACGGCTCAGCAAATAATTTCACCCTAAATAGAGCTGCGAGGTCTCCATGGTTATGACATAGTTGAGTCGACGTTTCTAGGTTTCTTCTCTTTTCTGTTTCATGTCAATAGGGCACCCATCGTGGAAGACTTTTTGCTAGATCTGGCTGCGAATCTGTGTCGAGTGCCTCCAGGGCTGATCACAGTGTGATCTATTCGATGTGGAAGTAAATCAGAATTTGGATGTCTTGGGCCTTATCCCTTAGATTCAGCTCGCTATGTCGAGTAGGAATACGTTCAGCACAGCCTTGTTGATGACAAGCGCATGATTCACAAACACCCTCTCTTTGCTTACAGACAGACAGTCTCTCCAGAAGACGTCGCAATGTCGATCATTTGTGCGAACTATTGCTTCCGTCTTGCTGTTACGAAGTAGTCAATTTCTTTGATCCACGTCCCCTGGCCGAGACCTATATCAACTGGAATCATATCGGACTCTACTCTTGGTCAACTGGCAGGATTCTATAGCTAAGTAATCCAGCTATCTATGATCCAGCTACCCACTTTAGACAATTCTCCAACAGGGCAAGCTTGCATTTATTCTCAGCCCTGCGATCTGTGGTGGCATGAAGCAAACAGATGACGCTTAGGATAGCCTTGTTAATCAACTAGGTACTACGGATGCACCATAAGTACAGCCTCAAGACTGGACTTGTTGCGGGGCTGCGCTTGCTTTAAGATCCATCTAGGTACGCGGGAATGGAGTGTGGGAATAATTCCGCTAACAACTCGCCCTGCTGTGTCTTCCACATCTTCTTGCGAAAGCCTTCTCCAAAATGGGTGGCTTCTTTGCCAGTTAGGCCGCCGGGCGTCTGGAAAAAAAAAACTCATCGAGCCTCAACAGACAAGTCATCCTCGGTCAAAGCTTCCCGAGAGTTTGATAGCCGGTCTGAAAGATTAGCCAGCCTCATCTCGGCACGATCCTCAGTAGCATGACTCGAGGCTGGTCCAAGCCTCTCAGCTGGAGATCAATTGCATTATATCTTATCACATGAGCTTGCGAGACCGATGCAAGTCAGGGAGCCCCAACGTCCAACACTAAGTTGAAGTCTATCTCAATGGTTCATCCAAAGCATCATTGTCGCCAAGCTAAATCATCAGGAACCGCGCAGCTTGGCATATCGGAGCGCTTACTAAGATCTAGTGAATCTTCATAGACAAATAAATCGTAGTGCAGTGCTGCAGTCCTCGAAGAGATATGAACCCTACAGAAGTATGTGATATAAGTACGTCTGCCACACCCGACCGTTTGAAAGTGAAATATGTGGTTTTCATGACAAAACCCGTCGAGTCACCTCAAGCGTCAACGATGTTAACCTATATTGTCTTCCTTGCGTAAGAACGCCGCATCTGGAACTCACTGAGCCAAAGAATACATGTACTGACGCTCACTAAGAAATCTCGCGGCGGGTACCCTCGCCCAGCGGGAGATCAGCTGCTTCTGTCGGGAACAGGCATCCAAGAAAGTCCGCGTTGAGTGGACAACATCTGCATGCCACGACCACGGATACATGAGTAAGTCATTCCCCGAATATCATGATAGTCGAAACAGACTGCTAACAAAAGGCACAGGAGGCGATGCAGTAAGCCAACGATCCAATATCCCCACTGCTATCCAAGGTCCGCCCTTTGCTAATTGTGCTTTCTTTCTTCACACAGTGCATTATCGTATCCAACCCCGTGCGAAACAACGACTTCCAAAATGATTGCCTCGAGATCAATGGCTTGCAAACTGCAGAGTGCGGACCATGAGCTGACTTTCTCCAAGGACGGTCTATCGCAGAAGGACATGTTGAGACTGGAAGGCTGAAACGTTGTACATTAAGCACTGAATGAGGACATTCAGACAAGCGGCGGCTGGCAAGGATCAAGCCAATACAATCAAGGATTCAACATTGATACCAACAATCATACCGATAGTCACAGTGACATTCAGACCGATTCCAGTTTCCCGGGGCTATCTGTTCCAGACGTGTTGGACTAATTTGCAGACTCAAGGGTGAACTCCTTTACCACAACTGAACCCCCAAGAGACTTCGTAGCATAGTTGAAAACTGCGAAACGGAATGCTAGGAAAAACTGCCACCTGTTGTGGAGCGGGTAGTCCGGTCCAAGCTGAGTGAAGTTCTCTCCGTCGAGGCTGTACAAGAGCTGGCTCGGGTTATCTGCCTCAACCCCAAAGGTCGGATGCACATCTGCGACTATGCGTAGGTAGATGTCGGCAGAACCGTCGGCAACCCCTGATAGGTCAACTTCAGACTCGGTGGCTGTGGCTACGATCGTGCCATTGGAGGTAGTCTGCCAGCCAGAGCTCTCGGACAAGATAAGATCATGCACCGCGACGAGCTTTAGGGCGTCGCCCTCCTTCCGCAAACCAATGTAAGCTGACTCGTCACGGAAGATTGAGACGCCAGCTACGTCGCCGTCAGCCATGTTGCCGAGGTTCAGTCGGAAAGTGCCGCTGCTCTTTGGGCCCTGGATTCTGTGGGCAAGAGTGTTCCTCGCTCTGTATAAATCGTCTGTGATAGTTGCTGTGTATAACGTGAGGCCGTGCGGTCCGAGCTCCCAGGCAGAGTTGTCTGGGTTGTGGTTGAAAGCCCATTCGGCTGAGAGGACAGAGCTATCGAAGTTGTCGGTATACGCTCCAGCTGCCTTTACCGTCTTCTCCATCTGGTCAGGCATGGGATAAGTCTTGCCCCAGCCCCCGGTCTCGTCTGTAACGATGTGAGGCCAGCCTTCTTCGTCCCATGTCAGCGGCGCCAGAACCGGAATGCGGCCACTCGGATACGCGTCCAAGAATGACATATACCACCAGTCACCATCAGCGGTATCTACAATGCCGCCCTGATGAGGTGTTCCGGAGTTCGGAATGGGGGACGCCATTCTATCGAGAACTGTGCGGTTGGTGTAAGGACCCCACGGGTTATCTGCTTTTAACACATGCTGGCCATCTGCAGGCTTGGTCAACCAGATGTAATAGCTGGAACCAATGTGGTAGAACCTCGCTCCTTCCAAATACCGCGCTGGATCGACCCAAACAACCTAGACAGAGAAGTTAGAAATAAGCTTGCATGGCCCAGATTCGGGTCTCACCTCGTTTTTGACCGGCTGCAGTCCATCAGGTGAGAGTTGAGCGATACTGATATTATATCTCCCGTATGCGACATACATAGTATCATCGTCGTCAACAAGTACACCCAAGTCGTAGAAGCACTCGTCGATAGGCGGTTGAGCAGTCCAGGGTCCTGCTGGATCACTCGCGGTGAAGATCCAGGTCTTCATTCCACCAGACTGGATGCATCCATACCAGTAGAACAGGCCATTGCTTTCCCGATACTTCAAAGAAGACGCCCAGATTCCGCCTACATAGGCACTGGTACTGCCATTCAGGTAATACTCCTCTCCAAAGACGAGTTCAGGTACCGAGTGTCCCACATACTCCCAGTCGACAAGGTTGTAACTCTTGAGCACGGGAGCTCCCGGAGAATAATGCATTGTCGAAGCCGTGTAGTAGTATGTGTCGTTGACGCGAATGACCTCCAAATCGGCAAGGTCCTGCCACAGGACAGGATTCGTGAACGTGGTATCCTGGGCTAGGGCCACAGAGGCCGCTAGCACCAAGGCTGGAAGGAGGGAGAACATCTTGTTCGTGGCTGATCTAGATCGTAACGGATCGGTATCAAAGTCTCAGAAACGACTACAGTCATGATAAGCTTATTATTATAGTGCCCGAAGCTGGCTGATTTTGGCTTCTATCAAGGCCGAATATTGACTCTCTTCCCACTCTTTCACACGGGTCGACGTGAATCATTACACAACGCCGAGAAATGATCACTTGCGCACAAATAAGACGATTGCGTGAGGTGTGATCCCGGATCAGATCTATCCTGCAATTGGTGCGCAACATCTAAGTTGGGGTTGATCTGGGGCGGCTAAAGGCGGAGGCTGGGGATGCAACTGATGAGATGAGGGGAACGGATGGAGATTCTCCAGCATCATGCGGGGAAGCGGGCTACGATCATCGACGTCCATTCACATTGATCGGTAAAATAAATGCTTAGCCACGTTTTCGAGGACGGCAGACGATGGATGGAATGGAACTTGTGCAGTAGATCTTGAGGTTGCATAGGAATTTCACTTTCCATCACAATTGAAGTCCTTACGGCCTCGTGCCATCCGGCTTTATTGCTTACCTTACCCGAAATCCCACTACGTTGAACAAACCTCGGAGTCGTTGACTGGACGAACATGATCTATAGGGCTGTATGAGATGGCAAATGTTGCAAAAAGTAAGACAGAGCAAGCGATTGTTATCTAGAGCGCATCCAAGGTGCTATGAGAAGGGGGTCGTCGGGACGGTCATTAAACCGCTTCAGTAAGGGCGAATAATCCGTCATCGACTTGATTCCATCAACTTCCGGGCACCAACAGCTTTGACCTGCCCTCAATCTTCTCACTTTACTTACATAATGACCCTCGTCATCAAATGAGGTAACAACTTCTAGTCGATATCGCTTTCATCAATGCTAAGCGCGCGGTTGCCTCCGAGTTTACGAGTCATTGTTGGCAAAAGGGGCGAAAATTCGATCCTGCTTCCAGAGGCCAAATCATGCTTCGTCGTGGTCCGCAACAGCCCTCGAAAATGAAAGGAACAGAACGATCAGAGGACTCATCATCACATGCACTCTCCATCTGGTGATGCGACACAGTGAAGAGAGCAGTAGCCCATGTGTGGAAAGCGCTGCCAGTAACTAGCATGAATTTGAGTCAGGGTGAATATACTCTGAGCATAAGGATGTCATTACCCAACGACTTTCGTCTATCCTGTACAGTCATCCTCCTCTCATGGCAAGCTTGAAAAAGCATATCAATTCAAGTGCTGTTGGACACTACAATGCTTCATCAACTCTGTATTCTCGTATTTGTGACTCACAAAGAATTTATTTCATTCGATAACAAGCTAAGACTTTCATCTGCCCCAACTGACGAAGCACGCGTGAGGGTTTACAGAGGGGATAGCAGGTGGCCTGGCCACGAATGTTCTTTTCAGCGATGTAATAGTCGTTTCCTAAAAGGGGAGTTCCCAAGAGGTTACTGTCGTGTGGGCATGAAATAACTTGATCCAGGCGGCTTAGATGTAGATGCCACGTCGGATATGATCCGACATAGAGACGCAATTCCTCAATTCGCCTCCGCTAAGAGAGCAACCCTTCCTAAAGCTTCTAGGCGAGTCCATTCGATCCAGCGAATCCTCGGCGAGTACGGCGGTGCCGCTTGAACAAACGCGACCCGCCGTTCCACTCCAAGCTTGACAGCATCTCAACTCCGCAGAAATTCTCAAAAATAGACCACCGAGCTTGACGCGGCCTACTATCATGAGGGCATTCGCGCCAAGACTGCATGACTGACAGCAACATGCCAGCGAGATCGATGGATTGCAATATGAGATAAGGCTTTGAATGCAGAAATGGGAAGTCTGGTCCGCTTTTGCCCCCTTCACGACCCCTTTTTGGACAACACGAGGTTGCGTTTTTGTTGTGGCTACCGCTCTCCTGGGTTTCCTCTTGTTCGTTTGAACGTTGTCCTGGTATAAAGAGTGAGCACCGCCTCAAGGTTGCGACACGGCGGACTGATCGGAAAGCCCGGGACTCCTGGGTAGCATGGCGTGGCTTTAGGTCATGTGGACCCCTCCGCGATCTCCACACGGAGTCTGAGTTCATCAGTCCGAGACCGATCTGGGAGATACCCAGGAGATATTCGGTCGAAAGTGGAGAAGCCTTCCACCGGGTTTACAAGATGTAAAGGAAACTCTCACCATTGTGAACGATCAAGCAAGCTGTCAAAGTTGAGCATCTACAGTTATCGTAACTTCATCTAGGTGTTGGCATCATCGGGAGGCAGGTGAGCAGAAATGCTCTGACGGAAAATTCCGACGCAAACAGTCGAGCCAGGCTTTGCGAGAGATGAGACGATGGTTCGGACGGTGAAGGTGGGGTGACCTTGAATGAGGCTCAAACCTTGATTGATTGCCCCGGCTATATGCTCCGCGTAATACCCCGTCGACGTTGGACCGCGACCACGGAGCCATCCAGTACTTCGACTTTTTCTTTTAGGAGACTTCAGGCTATGAAATGGTTGTCTTAACTGGAAGTTTGTTATCTGAGTTTTTTGAGAGGCACTATTGTCTCCAAGTGCTAAAGTCTTTGGGTCGGAAATGCCAATGCTGGGCCATCGTCAGCTCGCAAGCGCCAAAGTCATGAAATCGAAGGCAGCCACGTCACTTAATGAAAAGTAAAAATTGTACGGAAGGGACATTGAGTGAACTCATATCAACATTCTAGAAACATCGTCTTGACCTCCTGGCAGCCCCAGCACAGTTGCAAGGGCCTCCCCAGACCCTACGTCTGGCACGAGTCAATCAGGGGGCCGCGATCTCCAGAAATTTAAGTTTACTTGCTTGGCTTGCTAGGAACACGATCATGCCCGAGTCCTCGAGTGACCCAAGCCCACGGCTCGGGAAATACCTCTCACTCACAGCGCGAACTCACTGCTCGCAACAGCCTCGTTTACCGTCGCTTGTTGTCTCGCGCCTTGACACACTGCGAATTAGCCTGAACAAAACACGTAGAGCTCCATCACACAGCCCCTCCTTGGACAAGCCCCTAACCAATATGCCCCCACAAACAGACACTGCCGTTGCCAAGTGCTCCTTCACGGGATCTAGAATGCTAGCGTCCGAACTGTTGGTTCCCTCTTCTCTCAGGGGCTGTTGATTTCCATATAAGTAGGGCGAGAGATCGTCGAATACTACAAGCCTCTTAGGTAGTCATCATCGGCATCCAGCTTCTCGATCCAGTCTCCCGCTATACCAACACAATCGTTTCGACACTACCAACTTTCATTCCTTCGCTCAACTTCAATAATCTTGATTCTTCCAAATCAACCACAATGCAGTTCACTTCCGCCCTCTTCTCCGTCCTCGCCATTGCCGGCCTGGCCGCTGCCCTTCCTGTAAGCTGCCTCAACTTCCAGCATCATATCAGTTGAAACGATCTTCCACACCACGGACGACCAAATTCAGCTACGATTTACACACAAGCGAACATGAATCCAAACTAACAACCAAACAGCAGGCAACTCCCACCGCCACGGCCTCGGCCACCGCTACCCCTACCTGCTCCCCCGGCCCCACCATCGACTACACCGTCGTCGCCAACGACACCCTGACTATCATCTCCCAGAAGTACAGCTCTGGCATCTGCGACATCGCCAACGCCAGCAACCTCACCAACCCCAACTTCATCGCCCTCGGCCAGGTCCTCAAGGTTCCCACCTACGTCTGCAACCCCGACAACACCTCCTGCTTGTCCAAGCCCGGCACCGGTACCTGCGTTGAGGGCGGCGCCGCCACCTACACCATCGTTGCCGGCGACACCTTCTTCATTGTTGCCGAGCGTCTCGGCCTTGATGTCAACGCTCTCCTCGCTGTCAACCAGGGTGTCGACCCTCTTCTGCTCCAAGTTGGCGATGTCATCAACGTTCCCGTTTGTTAAAGAGCTTTTACGCTAGGGATCTCTTGCATTTGTCTCGCGACAGGAACATTATATTGACGAAAGTGTCTGATTTGAACGTGGGGAGTGGTATAGATGGTAGCTCACCGCATTAAAATTGAACTGGATACAATCATTCGCCTGCTGCCATCCACTTATCATGTGAAACGTGGGTGTCTTTGAATCATCCAGTCAAGACCGAGAGCTCCTTTGTCATCACCCCTGCCACCCGTGTCCTACCAGTGCTACTGATAGATATTAGTACAAAGCTGAGGGGGTCTTGTTCTTTTCAAAGGTAGTCATTTGGACACCTCCGATTCAATGAAACTGATCAAGGTAGCATCATGCATTGTTGTACTGATAAAATGATTTGGGATACCATTGCTTGACTTATTTAGACCCCGAGATATCAGATCTTACCGCTATCCAGCCGACGCTCAGATGTGTAGAGACAGTAAATAGACTTTCCTTTGCAAGAGCACTTGACGTACAGAAACCTTCCCACAGTTTACTGGTTGTAGTACATGTAAATATCCTTTATCTTGAAGTCGGCCTGGGTGGCAGGGGGTCCGGCACTCCAGCCCTTGTCACCGTTGGACCAGTTGTTAAAGACCCAAGGACCAGTAGCGGAGGGCACATCGTCGGTAGTAGTCCATACCTGGACACCATCAACGTACCAGGTGACGCGCCCAGGAGTCCAGTCGAGACGGTACTCGTGCTCGGTGGTAGTCGGGTCAGCAGGTGGTGAGATAGCGTTGTATGTTTTAACGCCGTCGCCGTCAGCATCCTGGTTTGTGAGCCAGAGTTTGCGAGTTCCCTGATTGCTGAGGGAAGCCGGATCGGAAAGCCACTCGATGTCAGTCTCTTGGCTATCACTCTGGTAAAAGAAAGCTCCTGAAATCTGTTGTTAGTACCAACCGGCAAATCCTGGAGCTTGAATGCGGGACCTACCGTTGCAGACTCCAGCAGGCTCACTGAAGATAGCAACAGTACGAACAGAAGCGTACTTGACGTTAAAGGTCGTGGAAACCTCGGCAGAGCTGTAAGGCTTGGCTGTCTGACCACCAGGAACTTTAAGATTCATATAACCACTGCCTACAACGACATTGGCTGCGTCAAAGCGATGGGTTGGCGGGTCAGAAATGTTCCAAGTGCTCTTGTAGAGGCCACTGGGGAGAGTAGTGGCACTCGCGAAGTTGAAAATCTGGCGCTTGGCATATGCGTAGCCGTCGACGACGTATTGGCCATTTGTAACAGTCGGCGCAGGAGACCGAGTCAAAGCCAGAACTGGGTTGACTGCCACAAGGGCAGATGCAATAAGTGAGGAGCGCATTGTGATGAGAACAAACTATGAGAATAGGGTCTTTAGTCTGAATAGCTTGGGTATCTCTTCCATCCTTTCTATTTCTCCGGCAGCAACACTGAATTACTTATAGTCCTCAGAATCAGCATCTCCTTCACTTTCTGAGGCCTAGCCAGGCTCCAGAGTCTGGGCACGTCATGATCAGTTCCTCGATCATGAGGACGCAACGTTGCCTGAATCCTGTCACGTAAGTCCACTGCATTTCGAATCTCCCCTGCATAGTATTTGAGGACCTGCTTGAAGGAAGGCGAGGGGATCCGAGGAGACGAATGACGCTCTCGCGAACCAACAGGGTCATTAGAGGGGGTTGCGCACTCTCTCAAGGGATGAAAATTGGAAATCACTCAAGGCTCAGCACAGCCAAGAACAAGTGGCCCCTCCCTACCACCAATCGCAACATCTCGCTGCGAAACATGGAGCACACCTCTTCACACCATTTCGAGCAGTTCTCTCATTGCCAAGTCCGAACATGAAGGGTCTATGAGGTTGGATTTACGCTGACGGATGTGGCGTTGTCATGCGAATGCACAGCTGGCATTCTCCCTTGGCTAGATCGGCTCGGAGTTTCCATACGATATTACCGGGTTCTAGGGAAGCCTTCACCATTTACTCCCTTGATAATGCCACCGGCCGAGAAAAAGTCCGCACTTGACCGCCATCGCAACCTTCATCAGGGCGAGTAGTGAGACATTCTAGATCCCGCGTTCGATGGCGGTAAACTGCAGCGATGGCAAGTTGCATGACTGAGGTCGATGAGGAATCATCCACGCGCCGGCGATGGCGATACTTTCATTCTGAGGATCGAACCCCCGGTTTCTCGGACTAGAGGCCCGCAGCCGCTCCCTTGACGGGCTGTCCCGCCCAGCTGCCGGGGTTACACGCGTTTACCGACTGGTCTACTTTATCTCACGTCAGTGCAGGCACCTCGGTTTCTATCTGACCACCCCTGATATGTCGGTCAGCAATGTTGCTATTTTACCTATTGAAGGAACCACATGATGAAGAATTAAGGCTCATGAATCGTCGCATTCCTCGCCCATCCACCCATGAAGACGGGTTGCTGATGATGCTCCGATGGCCTGGAAAAATGCATGGTCACATTGCATCAAATCCTAACCATTGGGTCATGGGCAAGATGGGATGAACTGACACTATGTGGAATAGGAAGGTGGGGGGAAAGAGACGATCGCCTTGTCTCGGTTCCTCGCGGAGTCGCCTGACTGGTGGGACCAAGCTGCAAGGTGGTGGGCGAGAAAATCATTCCGCCAGCCTCGGCCTGCTTCGAATGTGACAGAATCGATAAATGTGATCACTGTCTCAGAGTAGATGATGTAACGGCCTCAGATCTTGAGTCCAGACCATGGTGAGCGACTGAAGCAAGGCTGTAGGCTGCCCGGATTCATGCGGGTTGCACGGCGCAGCTGGAAGGCCGGCTGGGCCTTCGAAGAAATCCACCTCACTTGGCAAAATGCAACAGAAAGCTCCTCGAAGGATCAATATCATAAGTGCCCCACCAGCAATACGAGTCGTTCGGTGAGGGCCTGGAGTTGAGATAGACCCCGATGTACACTCCTTGAAGCGTAACTTGGTCCATTTAGATTAACCCTTCGTCCTTCAAAGGTCTGTGAGGGTATTTGTCGAGTCAAATACCATAGCCACTCATTAGCTGATTATCAATGATGCGTCCATATCTAGTTATGTTTCTCAGTATACCGATTCTCGTGGTGGAGAGATGAGTGCCCATAACACACCACCTACCACCTCGTATGAAGGAACCCATGTTAGACATTTCTACACTTTATTCTTAGTAGGCAATGGTACTCTGGGACTGATAAATTTGCTCATTATACATTTGATGGCCCCAAGGTCACCACGTTATTGGAACCACTTCTACAAACAAATATGCAATTTACTAAGTATTTATGAATACTACTCCACCATATCCTGACTTTCGCTCCTTTGAGTTGTGTGGTTCTCCTACCTATTCCCCTTCCACCCTATTTCGAAGTACCCGCCGCTCTCTTCCGCATTGTTCCTCGAGTTAGATGGCTCAAGGGAGCTGGTAAGTTCTTCAGCTTCTTTTTATTATTCATGGCCGCAGGCACAAACTGCTTTTGAGCTGCGAGAAGGAGTGTTTGCTGAGCTACAGTTTGACCTGTGCCTTCCTCTGAGATGACGGAAAGAGGTCGGTGGGGAGTGTATGGTGGAGGATCGTAGCTGACAGGCCATACTGCGGCATAAGACTGCGAGGGGTTTCTGGCGTTGACCACATGCAAGTGATTGCTCCCGTCGACAGATGATGCAGAAGGTTCTGTCTGGCTACTGCTGGCTTCGCTTCGCAGAGGGCTTTGGGGGCCGGATCTACTGGAGCTGGGACTCGGTGTGTTCAACTGCGATCCCTCAGATGGCTTATGCATCGTAGTGCCGCTATAGTGGGACGTGGCACCGGGGCTAGTGTCTCGAGAGGTTGACTGGCTGAAGGGAACGGGTTTGCGCCTGATCTGGAGTGTCGGGGGCTGACTTTGAAGATGGAGATGCCACTGATCACCATATTTCTCTCGATAGGCGGCCTCGACGATTTGGCTGGCGAGGGCCTCCTCTCTCATTCTCTCTTCTGCCATAGTTTGCGTGAATTGAAGAAGGTGTTGATTTTCTAGCTCGATGGGGGTGAACTTCATGGGAGCGCTATAAGTAGTCGGACCAACTGCGGCTGGGGACTGTGGCATAGGCTCTTGTACATGGCTGGAAGCTTGAGGAGGAGGCTTGGGGTTTCTCGTCCCGGAACGACGGTATCTGAAATATGCTAGAATTTGCATGGTTGTGGTTTTCGAAGAAGTAATGTGCAGTTATGATCATTTGAAAATGAATTAGTGATATCGCTTTCCAAGTGATGGAGTGTGGATAGGATGTGGCACAGACGTCGGTTAAAGGATGGAGGGGTGGGTAGTGAGAAGAAGTAAAGGGGATTTTGATATAGCATAGGGCAAGTCCCTTCGGAGATAGATCCAGAATAGTCCCATAAGGCGTACAGAACGACTCTGATACTTACCATCGCGGCCTGGGTTACAACATGGGGTAGCGGGCGTTAGAGTTGATATTTGACTTTACGTGAAATTCGGAGAAAGCTCATTTCGACAAAACCCAGATCAATCTTCAAGGCACGAACAGCGCATGGTGTTTCATGAAGCGAAGCTTCCTCCGTTGACATTCCTCAAGGACCGTCTACCTCAGTTCTATCAGAGCTTCGCGCCAGCCTCGCGCTTGACAAGTGCCCTTAGATCCTTGCGCAGAATCTTTCCAGAGGGACTCTTTGGGATGGCATCGATGAAAATGACGCCTCCACGAAGCTTTTTGTAACTAGCAACCTGATCTGCCACCCACTTCTGGATTTCTTCCGGAGAAATCTGTCTCTTATCGGCGACTACATAAGCTCTGGGAGAATGTCAGTGAACTGGTCTGGCCGACAGCGTTAAGAGTTGCGTACCTTGGGAGTTCGGTGCCTTCGCCGTCGACGCCAATGACTGCCGCATCTTGGATCTTTGGGTGCGTGACCAGCAATGCTTCGAGTTCAGCTGGAGCCACCTGGAACCCGTTGTACTTGATGAGTTCCTGGGGATTGTCAGCTTTGGTTCCATCTACGATATCGCCAATACCAGGAAGAAAATGTTACGAACCTTCTTCCGATCAACAAAGTAAAACTTTCCATTCTTGAACGAGAGTCGGTCGCCCGTGCAGAACCAGCCATCAACAAACGCCTCATTATTGGCCTTGTCGTTCTTGTAGTATCCCTTAGTGATGATTGGCCCGCGGCACCACATCTCTCCAGGCTGCCCAACCTCGACGTCTTTTCCCTCATCATCGACTAACCGAGCCTCGCAGTTGGCCACAATCATGGAGACACTCCCAGTATCATCTGTGAGATGGCGGGGCAGGATCGTGAATCCGCCGGTTGTTTCGCTGAGACCCCACGTCTGGCCGAGAACCGCTTTCCCCTTGCCCATTTTTCGCTGTGCTTCGGCTTGTGTTTCGCCTCCCAGGGCAGCGGCTCCCGTGAGGGCGAATTCGACGGTGTCAAGGTGGTCTTTAACCAAGGGTGATTTCGCAATCATGAGGTAGATGGGCGGCACGCTGAAGAAAGATGTGATTTTGTACTTTTTCGCGTAGTCCAGGAATTCTACAAAGTTAAACTTCTTCATCCAGTAAACGATGCCACCCATGAAAGTCTGGTTGACGATGTAGGCCTGGAGACCCGAGATGTGAGCTGCGGGTAAGTGTGCGAGCGTGATGTACTCCATCTTTGGATGCGTCTTGTAGTACTCTATCGTCGGCGTTGAGATGAACATGGTCTGCGCAATCATGTTTGCGTGGGAAATCTTGACCGCCTTGGGGATACCGGTGGTTCCACTGCTATAAATGTAGCAGCCAACAGTGTTCTCAAGCCTTGTTTGATCTGTCACCCGTTCCCAGTCGAGCTCCTGCGATGAAAGAGGTACTCTCTTATCCGTTTTGGCCTCGAAGAGCTGGAACTCGTGGCTGTCACCAATGTAGAGAATCCGATCATCGGGGAGTCCTGCAGCTGATCCACCAGCAGCGGCGAGCGCCTTGAGGTCGGGGCTGCAGATAACCATCTTGCTCTCGGTGAGGTTGATCTGGCGCGCAACCTCTGGCGGGGTGGAGGACGGTGTAGACGCCGCGACAGTGCCGCCCGCTGCCATGATGCCGTAGAAAACGGTGGGGGCCATGTAGTGGCCTGTGAAGATGACCTGCACCACATCACCCTTGTTGATGCCGTACTGGTGGCGGAGGGTGTGACCGAGCTGTTTGAGAGCCTTTACTAGGCGGGACTTGGTGATTGATCTGGGTGGATCTGCCGCGTCGGCGTGGAGGACTGTGTCATCGCGCAGTCTTTCGTTTGGTGAGTCTGCTATTCGTCAGTACGCGCGTTTGGCGTCTGGCCGAGGTTGACGATGTGTTTGGGAGGTTTGCATGACCGTGAGACTCACCGAAGAGGAATGTGAGGAGGTCGACTTTGGGGAGATCGATGTGATCCGGGGATTTGTAAATAGTCTGGCCGCCCCGCTTCTCTACTACAGTAGCCATCTTGAGTGTTGAAGATATTGTAAGGTTAAGAAGGTGTCGTGATGGTAATGGTCTCGGCCTGCAGCGTAGGTAGATATATCGTATTCAGAGCTCTGCTCTACTCTATTCTCAGCCTGTCGTGTCCTCGCGTCAACATAGAAAGGGGAGAGGTAGGTGGGATGGAGATAAGGAGCTTCAAGAAGATTAAATTGGAGTCAGGGTCAGAGACGTTGGGGGAAGTGATAGTCAGAGGTCAATGCACGCGGAACGAATTACTACTCAATAAATCAGAGGTGAAGAAGTGAGATTTTGGAGAAGAGCTGACCGAGAAAAGAAGATGTTGTGTGAATCGAGCTGCTAACTAAGGTAGCTTTCCCCGCATTGTATTTGTTATCAAGATCCGGGCCCGTCTCATGCACCGAAGCCGTGGCAAGCCGCAGGTTCCATAGTCCCCGCGCACGCGTTTCGCAAAATCATAGCTAATTAGAATGGCCGCCCACTGCCGAGGGTGATTCTAGGTCTGGGAGGACCGTTGCTCTGCCCGCTCGTCAACGTTCCAGTCTGCTTACTCGTTGGGGTAAACGCTTCGTTAGCGTCGTGTCTCCGAAGCTTGCCAGCGTGTTGGCTGCGCCCTGACGCCCTTTGGTGGGGGAGAGCAAGCTTGACCGGGGTCTTCCGGTCGGTGTGTGTGTTTTGCCCTTTTGCCTTTGGGCTGTGGATGTGCGGGGAGATTCCGTGGCGTTGAGCTATGATCCCTGCTCTTTGTGCGAGCTTGTGCCGGATTTGAATCGAGGTTGACGAGTCAAAAGATCGAGGCATCCGATGTACAAGCGTTACTTCAGCTGAATCGTTTACCATTGACAAGACCTCCGAATAGTAGGAATGACTCCAAGTGTGCGCATAGTCTTGCGCTACGTCATAAATCAATACTCAGGGCTCATAAATCCCAAATCCCCGAGAAACGCTCGCCGACCCATGTCTCTGGATCCAGGTGAACGGCGACTGCGAAAGACATCAAGTGGTACCCAGGGAGAAACCACTATTGGTCAATGGCATGTATTCTTAATCGGACAAGAAGTAGTACTTGTAATTCCTTCTCTCCATACACCTAAGTACTTTACCTATCGCTATGTCCTCTCATCAAGTAGCTGAATCCTACAAGAGAACATGAAGAAACTCATCGAGAGCTAGGTGGTGACACTTTCTCGTAGCCTCCTTCAAAAACATCCACCTCCGTCTTATCAAACTGCCTCGTCGCGGTGTTGTTATGAAAGAGATAATCCAGCTCCTCGTACGTGCGACCCTTCGTCTCCGGCAGCCGGAAAAATGCCCACACAAACGTGAGAAACGCCGAGGTTCCCCAGACGAAACCTGTAGTACCCTTGAGGTCCAGCGCGTTCGGATTGATAAAAAATGGCTGAAAGGCGTTTGCCAGTAGATTCGTCACATAGTAGGTGGACCTCGCGACACAAATGGTCTTCTGTCGTAGACGCGTAGATCCAACCTCGGCGGGGATAGCCCACCCAAGCTGACCAACTGATAGCTGGAAGATAAAAGTCCACACAAGAGTAAGACAGGCTTGGATCCAGCCTATGGGTGAGGATGGTGCATTCGGTAACCGGCCTATCCTGTCGAGGATGCCGATGATGAAGAGTATCGTGGACATGCTGAACATGCCCCATAGATAGATGCGGCGACGGCCGAAGTACGGCATCAGCGCAACCCAGTTGACGACGGTCCCCACCAGAGCCAGCGCGGTACCACCGACGTTGAGGTTGTAGTCATCCTGCGGGTTTAGCCCGGCTTGCTGAAAGAAGTAGACTGAGTTGTAGGCGAAGCTCGAGCCGGAGAGCACTTGGCCCGCGAATGCTACGCAGGCAATTTCTGTGCGACGGCGTTCGACGCCGCGGAAGCAGTCCCAGTAGGTTGTTCCTGTTTGGTGCTCCTGCTCCATTCTATCGGTTTCTATGATTTCACGTAGACGGACTTGAGCGTCTAGGTTGTTAACTTTTCGCCTCTGGAGGCGTAGTAGAGCCTTCTCCGCCTGATCGAGCTGGCCGGTCCGGACCAGATGCCAAGGGGATTCCGGTGCAAATACCAGTAGCGGGATAAGCAGCACCGGCCAGGACCACTGCAACGCAAACGGAATCCTATAGGACCACTCGTCTTTCCGCGGCAGTAGGCCCGCGAGTACAGCCGCAGACATGAGCTGACCGATGATGAAGCACATATTGGTCCACGTAGTCAGATACACCCGCAGCGTCAACGGCAAGACCTCAGACGCATACGCGGGTGCTGAGGATGCGAAGACGCCCCAGGGTAGGCCGCACGCGATCTGGCCAAGCATGAGCATGGTCTTATTGGTTGCGAAAAAGGTGATGAAGATGCAGCCGGAGAGCACGAAGAGAGAGCTGATGAGGGCTGTCTTTTGGCCGCACCGCTCGACGAGGAAGCCGTTGGCGATGACGCCGATGATGCAGCCAAAGGTGCTGCTGTTACCAAGAACGGCTTGCCAGAGCGCAGAGAGCTGGTCTCGGCCTTCGTTGTCCTTGCCGTCGCCAAATTTCTTTGCGAATTCTGGGTGGGCAAAGAAGCTGCCGATGAGGATGGTGTCGTAGCCTATGAACTCATTAGCGTGGAGTACTCACGCAGTCCACCCTAAGATTAAACCCACCTTCCATGATCACACACAAAGACACGACGAGACTCCAGAACACGGCCATTGGGTAGGCGCGAATGGCATCTCGTGGGGTCATGTTCCGCTCGGCGTTGATGGCATCCTGGAACCGTTGATCCATCTCTGACCGGGACTTAGCCGGACGAGAGCCCGAGCCGGCGGATGGTCCGGCTGTGGAGAGCTCTTCGAGCTCGATGTCATCCGAAAGAAGAGATACGGCATCGCCATCGGATAGAAGTGCGAAAGCTTCGTCGTCGGCATCGTTGGGATCGGACGTTGAGTCAAAGGACGACCTCGAAGAGCTAGAGCCTGGCCCTGAGTGTCCTGAGGGGAGCGGCTGGAAGCGGGCGCCATCGCGAGAGGCGGAGGCCATTATGAGCCACGTTGAAGCTTATCGGCCCGGTGATCACAAGAGGGTGCCCTGCGAGGCTCAAGGCTGTGAATTCGTAGCTCGCTCAGTTGCCCATGGCCGTAGGGTGTTCGAAACAGGCTGAGAGCTGGTGGTCAACGCTCCGGTGTGAAGTGAAGCGATCTCATCACACTTCCACTTCCACAAGGTGAGTGACGTTTCAATGCGACGGGAGATTCAGCTACTTCGACCTTCGATACGTCGTTGTTAGCTGCACAAAGATGAACATGAATGAGCGCATGCTGCGTCCCCGAATGCCGTCAGCGATGCGCTGCCGGATGAGCTGGGAGAGCACAGGCGCGTTTCAGAGAAGTCCCGACTATTGCCAGCTGGTGACAGACGCAGCCGGAGACATTTCGAGATTGCGAAAATGCAATGGCCGGTCGGCTCGCAAAGTTAATTCCTGCATGGTGAGCAGCAGGTCATCTTTCGCTGAACAGAACCACCGTCCGCGAATTATTTCTCGACCTTACTAGACCATGAGATACTCAATACCAGCTGACAAAGACAAGTAGTGACGCCTGCAGCCTGATCCTTTCCCGGCACGAAAGTCCTGGGCATGTTATTCCAAGAAACAGTGGGTTGTCTCACAAACCTCACAACGACAGGAGCTGGATTACTCAGATTTGGGGTGCCTACGGAGAGGAATTGCCCCAAATCAACAAAATGGGCAATTCAAAAGTCCGAAGTCTCGGAGCTGAAGCATCCCAACGTGGCTAATTTACCCCCGAACCGCGCGGTGTGGACACCAACCAGCCACATCTGGCCAGGTTTCGGACCCTTTTAAGTTAGCTGATCCCAGGAGCTTAGCAATCAGCCACTCCATTTGTAAGTTGTCAGCAGCACTTTGGGTGTTGTCTGTGCTCGCCGGATGCGTTTTCATGGTGGTGGAGGATTCAATGTCTCTGAAGGCTTACACACTATCCGGGTGCTGGAAGCAATAATGCATTATTTGTTGAGCACGGAAACGGGGACACTACTTGTTCCTCATTGGAATCTGTCAGTATGTCAGAAATATTAAAGGATGGCATCTGCCCTTTTGTGGATGAAGGAGAGAAGCCGAACACCACAGATCAATCACTCAAACGCAAGGACAAACCAAGTAGCGAAGCCCAAAAACCAACTTCTACTATAAATCGTCAAACATCATTCGGCATTAAATCGCGTCAAAGTCAAAATTCTATCTAAAAATGTCTGGACAACAAGGACGCAAGATCGCTATCGTCGGTGCCAGTGGTAACCTCGGCGGCTTCACCCTCAACGCCCTCCTCGACAAGGGCATCCACACCATCACCGCCGTCACCCGCGCCGAATCTTCCGCCACGCTGCCAGCCGGCGTCATCGTCAAGAAAGGCGACTATTCAGACGAAGAATTCCTGGTCTCCGCGTTCCAGGGCCAAGATGTGCTCATTCTGCAACTCGGCTTCGACAGCTTCATGACGGGTCAGGCACCTCTCATCCGCGCCGCAGCCAAGGCCGGCGTCAAGTGGGTCTTGCCTACCGAATTCGGCTCCGACCCCGCGCCGTCCAAGTTGCTCGAGGTCAGCCCCATGGTCGCCGGCAAGAAACAGTTCCGCGATTTGACCGAGGAGCTAGGCCTGAGCTGGATCGCCATCGTCAACAACCCCTGGTTCGACTGGTCTCTTGGTCAAGGATTCTGGGGCATCGATATTAAGAACCGCTTTGCTAAGCTGTTTGACGGCGGAAACACGAAGTTTATCACCACCACTATTGGAATGACCGGACAGGCCACCGCCGGTGTTTTGAGCTTGCCTGATGCTGAGCTTGAGCAGTTCAGGAATAAGCCTGTGTACTTGAAGTCTTTTTACATCAGCCAGAGGGATATGCTTGATAGCATCCTGCGAGCTACGGGCACCAAGGAGGCGGACTGGAAGGTTGAGGTTTTGGATGCAGAGGCTGTTGTGGCTGATTCAAATGAGAAATTCAGGCAGGGTGATCACATGGCTATGTTGGTTGGTTTTTATGTCAATCACATGCGTGAGGGCTGGGGTGGTGACTACAGCGCCAAGGTCACCGATATGAGCAAGCTTGGTGTCTCAGAGGAAGACCTGGACGAGGTTGTCAGGAGGGTTGTGAAGGAAATCGGGGCGTAGTGTATCCCCAACTGAATTTCTCGCAAGTAATATCGTACTTGAGTACTCTACTTTAGCAACCACTGGATTTTACATGTAGTCCTATTCAACTGATCTGAACAGGTGCGTCTACATCGTGCATGGCTCTAACTTCAATTGTGCATTTGATACCGTTCAACTTTTCTAAGTGAGGAATAAGAAGTTAGATTCTAAGATAGTTAAGTGCCTAGGAACAATTGTCATTGCTGCCAATTGACCCACGTGTACACCAGAAAAACCAGCTTTTCACAGATATCATAAAAAATCTACCTACCAAGCTTATGGGAGTTGAAAACCTCAGACTTCCCACTTCGCCATGTACCAGCCCAGATCGCGTACTTTCCACGAGTCGGTACTTCTTCCCCCTCTACCAGCAACGATACCCTTCCGAGCCTCAACACACGCCCTCTCAACAGTGCCAATAAGACCTGCTGGGCCAGAACTGTACACCCAAGCATGTCCGACGGAATCCACTTTTGTGTGCTGGCCGGCAATGAGAGCTCCACGGATACATGAGGTGGGATCCAAACGGCCACTTTCTGAACTCACGTGGGCAACCACAGTAAGCTCTGGAACCGAAGAAGCTGCCTCTTGAAGTTGAGCCCACTCCGTGATCGCTGTAGCCTCCTTATGACGCACTGCCCATACGAGAGTGAAGGTTGAGTTCGTTGGCCTCTTCTCCAACCACCATGATGTTAGACTCAAGGCGCCGGTGATTCCTGTTCCACCTACAACACATACGATGTGGGAGGCACTCTTGAATCTGTCGTCGTCGACACTGTAGGGCCCTTCAATTCGGACTTCAATAGCTGTGCTCTCAAATAGTTGAGGAACGAGGGCGCCCAACTTCCAAGTCCATTCCCTGTCCAGCCTCTTTTGCTTCTTTCCGGTAGTGGGTTGCAAGAGGAAAGTAGGACCAGCTTCGGTGGAAGCAGAAACTGCAGCGGTGAATGCGTGGTTCTGGAATCTGCTGATGGATGGGATGCTGAGATAGTAGTAGCTAAGAGGTTCGTGCAGAGTTTCTCCCTTCTCCTGGACGAGGTCAAAAGTGCTCGCTGATGCTTTCTTTGAGACTGGCAGGTGTGTGGATATCCTGAGCCAATTATTGCCTGCATTTTTGAGAGTCGCACCGGTCTTCGAGGCGAGACCGCCCGTCTGTCCGCCAAAGAGTCTACATGCCCAGTCGGCGACCCAGAGGAACAGTCCGGGAAGCAGGAGGTAAAAGTCGGTACTGGCATGGATGCATGCTGCGACGAAGATGATCAGACCGAATATGACATGGGTGTAGTAAAAGAAGTTGTAGTGGGATCTCCGAATCCATGGAAGCGAGGTGACGATGATCAACCACACAGGTAAGATGGCAGCTATGCCGGTGTAGGTGGTCATGGTGAACCATTCGCTTCTTTGCTTACTCTCCGACAGAGTTATTGCTGGGTTACCCGTTGCAAATGCTTCCTCCTTTGCTTCATCACCCTCACTGCTGGAATCCGTTGCGTACAGCTACGACTTGTTAGGAATTGCACAATTATATCAGCAGTCAGACTGAGACTTACAATGTAGGTAACTCCATGCGCAGTGGCCGATGCCGAGAAGAGATATGCAACAATCTTGTGCGCATATAGCAGCGTACTGTGATGCAACGAGAACCCCCTTCCAAGCAGACTGTTTCTAGAAACCGGAATCACCAACAGTCCGAGAAGAATATCGGCGTAATGACCAGTCACTCCCGTAATTGTGAGTCTAAGTTTAGCACTCGCCCATCCCAAGGGGTCTGCTCTGAACCCCCAGAAATCTCGTTGAGCTGGCAGCCAGAAGAGAGTCGTGGACGCAACCACAACGACTATCCAGATACACGCCAACAAACCACCAAAAGTGACTCGTTTGCCTCCCAAAGATATGCGCATGAGATGGTAACCGCTCAGGGCATGTGCCCACGTGGTATAAGATCGGAGGAGGAGGAAGCAGCCGAAGCCGGCGACTAAGCCGGAATAGACCAAAATATGTAATCTAGTCTCGAATTCGAAGTAGTCCTCGGAGCAAAATGTTGCATAACATGGTGCGAAGGTGAGTGCGATTGTTCCTGCTGATGAAACGACAAATGTTAGGAGTAACAGCAGGATGTGCACTGGTTGTTTCATGGTTGCTGATGATTGAAGAAAGACGTTGACGGTAGTTGCAGTATGGTTAGAACACAAGTATCAAAGAAGAAGAGGTAGTGTGATTTCATTCGATCTACTTGAACTGGAATATCGTCAGTCCTTTAAGCCCAGTGGTGAGCGAAGAGTTCGTCAGCAAAGACACTCCGTAAAGTTCAGATTGATTAACCTCGACTTGGCACTCATCTGAGCCCTCCTCTATCTTTGTAAATTATAGCAAGTGTGAGAGGCTTCTCCAGAAGTTGCATGCTTGCCAAGATAAATCGTGTTAGGAGAGACCATGTCATGGGTAGTTTTGTATCATGACGGGGAATAAAGTCAAAGTCCGACGGAGTTCTTGAGTCGTGAGTGCGCCCAGCGGGTGAGAAGCACTGGAGTTGAGAATCCTTACGACGAGTGCCAAGAAGAAATCGGCATTGTAAGCCACTGAAAAGTGTCCGAAGAGGGACTAAGTCTCTGCCTAGAATGTGGAGGTATAAGCCTCTTACCACCAACCCGGACCAGGAGACTACGGAGAACCCTACACATAGACAGCATACCTATCTAGGAGCTATGGTAACTAATCCTGCCTGCCAGTTCTGCAAACAGATGACTGTTTGAGGAAAATCATCCTGAATCTACCAGAATCTACCAGAATCTGGACTATCTACTAGTAGGTAAGTTCATAGCCTGGCTGTCTCTATGACTCAAAGACTTGCCCCAATGCCTTGGCCTCAAATTTCTGTCTCGAGATGACACAAAAACACGTGAAGTGCCCTCAATTCCAGTCATCGCTCAGTCTTTCGAAACTCATGCTGCGTCGTACGAGGTTGCGATTGAGTTCACAAAAGACAATACAGGGGGTTACGTCTGTCACAGCACGAAGACCTTTCAAACAATTCATTGTAGTCCGTGACTTGATGCTGCCAATGACTTTCTAACTTTCTTGCAACTTCAAGAGTTCCGTGATTAAGTAACTACCAGTACTGTAACGGGCAGGTGGTAACCGCGACAGAATTGGAATGAATATTCTGGGTGCTGTTTCGGCGCTCAACCAAATTCTATAAAACTTTCTGTGACTGCCGTAGAGTTGATCAAGCAAACGCACAATTCAATTGATGTTGGCAAAGTTGGCCTCTGTAAAGTAGTTCGCGTAATCAACGCACAACCGAGACGCGTTCTTGCACAAGTTGTGAATTTCTGAGTTTTGCGTTGTTTGGTTCAAGTTCGGATAAGAAGTCCCAAATGAAGCCGTTGGCTTCGGTCAAGACTCCTCCTCGGGTAGGGCGGACTTGGCAGCTACGAAGCTACTACCTAATAGGCAGGTCGGATGATTTGACCCTGCATTCAAGACCCTGCGATTTTAGCTCTTCGGGATGATTGTAATTTTGTTCACCGGATTCGCCAGGGGCAGACGCCCGGTCTTCGTGAGAAAATTGAAGTCAAGCCTTCTGTCGGAGCCGGTATCCCGACGAGTCTTTTGGAAGGCAGCAGTTTATGTGTCAGTCAGCAGTTTATGTGTCAGTCAGCAGGCTTAAGCTTATTTTGCTAGCCCTACTGGCGAACGGGGATGTGGCCTAATGTAGATAGCTAATTCAGTGGAGCTTAGGAAATAACGAGGGGATTTGGTTGTCTTTAAGGAAGTCAGCGCCCACTCGTCAATGGGTTCGCTTGCAACTGATTGTAGTTGGGTCTTTGCAACATGTTTGGGTCATCGCCTTGGAGGAATGGGTTCCTATTAGCCCTTGTTGTTGGGCAGCATCGTAAGAAGACATGACATGAGGCCTGCCCGTCACTTGACTAACAACCCTTTGAAACAACAGAAGTCCTTGGCCAGGAGTGTGGTTCCGTGGTGATCACGTCACAAGCGGATGCAGATGGACTGCGGAACTGTCCCGAGATCTTCGGAAATGTTACTGTCACCACCGGAGCATCCACTCAGGAAACCGCCCTCGAGGGAGTCAAGGTTATTCATGGCGACCTTGTGAACAACTCTAAATGCCCACAAGTATCAGCGCAGTGCATCGGATATAACCAGAATATAACAAGCATCTCTTCCAGTACCATCACAAGAGTCAATGGCTCGATAATATTAGCATACGACGGATGGATCTCAGGCCTCAGCTTTCCAGAGCTGAAATAGGTCGGCGAAAACTTCGTGCTTCACAAACTGGAAAGCTTGAAGTATCTCGACGTCGACCGATTGGAGTCAGTGGGATATATGCGACTCATGTACGCACCCAAATTGACATATTTGAAATTGAGCGCCTTTCGAAATATCACCGGTATCACGCATCGCGACGGTTCGATTGATGGTAGATCCATGGAGCTCGGGTTAGGCGGTCTCGAGTCTCTCGACGCATTCTTCAAGGAACCGCAACTCAGCGTTGACGATGTTATCATCTACAACTCAGGCAAAGTCAAGCGCCTTCAGATCGGCGCCGCCAAGATTGGCACGCTAAAGTTCGACTATGTCTCATACGGGGGGCCAAACAATCTAACGTTGGTGCTGGGCGGGTCTGGTATCACTGAACAGACAATTGGCAGCATTAAAACAACATACAGCCTCAACGGCATTGAGCGGCTAGCAAATCTCAAGACGTTGAGTGTGGGTGGCTTTAGTAGCTTCGGTGCCAACTTTTATCAGCATCTCGATTTACCTTTCGACCATCTGGGCAATCTCACAATCAGGAACGAACGGGAATTGATGTGGCTTTCGGTTCCACCACAGGCAGCCCAGTGGAAAATTTCAGTCTCAACGTCGGACACAACACCAATTTGAATTTGTCAACAGAGTATCGAGTCTCTGAAAAGGGTGAGATGATACGATCGTGGTACTGGCCCCAGCCAAATATGGGAGAAAGTTATCTGAGGGGTAATTTGTCTAGCCAGTTTTTGTAAGCTCTTTCGTGTCTTTGATGATGGTGTGGGACGAGAAATACTAATGATATGTTGAAGCGATTCATACTTTCAATTTCGGAACAATCTCAGCAAAGAGGCACTCGTCAACTGGACGGAAGACCTTGAGATATATGCGGAAGGTTCTTTTTCATGTGAGCCTTTCGAAAAGCTTGAGAAAGAGACAAGCGGGCAATATCATGTAGTTTGCTCCGCACAGGATCGCATTGATGTGCACACAGGAGGTTTGGCTCAGGCCAAAACTCTTACGTTTGGATGGATCGTGACTGGGGTGATTTTAGCAATCGGAATTGTACTTGTCTGAGCATAGATACTTTACTTTTCGGTGAGGTGTCCGGCCAACGATGGAGGGATTCCATGCAGTCAGCGAGTCACTCGATCCAAGCAGTGATCACCTAGAACTGCTCAGCTTCTAATAATAGATTCTCTGACTCCTTTCTACCCCGCTCACACCGTTTCCGAGTGACGTTAAGTCATACATACCGGTACTGTAATCTGACCACAACTTACATAGGTACCTTGCACGCTACCGGGTGGCCTTACGGCTTGATGCTGCTTAGAACTACTCATAAACTCAAACAGCGTCTGGTGAGCTACCTAAAGAAGTATGCAGCGTGGAGAAGGTACTGTGTGAATCTTCTCCGGTCTCCAGTCTTCCTCCATTTTCAGTCGCCTACAGATAATAGATGACTTTGCCGCCAAGTACGGCTGGAGAAGAAAGGGGGCCGGGAAGACTGCACCAAAGATTTCTGGTCCCTCAAGACCTCAACCTGAGGCATGGCATATGCCACAAGCACAAAGTGCAGTGTACTCATGCACATGAGCGGCGGGGATTGGGGCTTAACCAGGCCTATCAGATGAGACTTCCCCCGTCACATCGCTCGATTACGTCAGTCTAGGTTCAATACTGCCGGAAGCCTTTCTGCCAAACAGCCTGATTAACAAACGTTTCTCGCAGACTTCATAAAAGGTCAAGGGAGCCTAGTGTTTCCCTCTCATCCGCGTGCTTCTCTCATGACGGTTCCAAACCTCAGCAGCTCCAAAATTCACCAGTCAAGAGTCATTGTCTACACAGAATGTCTACTACATCAAACACGATACCCACGCTCATCAGCATGGAGACAACGACGATAGCGTATTGCACGTTTGGAATTGCGCGGCGGCAGCAGTGACGAGGACCACCACTGGCCCCTTCACTGGCTGGATCGGGGACGATGTTCCCAAGCTACGCTATTCTCCCGGAGTTATTGTCAACTTAGTCGAGGCTTTTGTGGACAATTGCACACGCTATTCCGATTGTGAAGTGACTGTTTACCCGATCCCAGACATCTCTGGCCACGGGGTAAATTCAATAGCCTTTCAGGGATATTCGAGTCATTATTGACATAGGATACAGGTGCTCACGGCCGTTGTGGTGTCCGCCTATTTAGTTTTCGTTCTCATTCTATGTGCTCACTGGTTTGGAGCCTTGCCTAAGGTTCTTGCTCGCCATCTTGACCAAAGGCTCTTTTTTGCTCGCACAGAGCAGCTGGACGACAGATGGAGAAGCATTGTTATGGAGCTAGTACTGATGCTCAGCGATCAACAGCTTCTAACCCGTCTCACCATCCTCATAGCCGGTTACACTCAAACACTCAAGTATTGGGGGGCAATCTTAGCGTCTATCCTTGGAACACCGTTATATATCTGGCGTGGCTGAGTTCAACAGTTCATCTCATGTCGTTATCAGTACTTCGAGATCGACTTCGGATCAACAAGACTATACGCTCTATCCGAGTGTCCACCATAATTTTGATACTTGGACTCCTTCTCGTGGCTCTTATTCCCACTGTCTCATCGAAATGGCCAGGCAATATACACGATGACTCATTGTCCCAGGAATCCATTCAAACGGGTTTGCCAGTCCGTTGTTTCTGGGATCGCGGATATATGGTCCCAAAAAAGATAGCGATGCTTGGGTTTCGTATGTTTCTCTCCTCGTCGCCTTCGCCTGGAAACTATGTCAATTTTTTTGATAGTAGTAGAGAATGGGTACGCTTTTGGGGAAGATCCCAGCTAGAGTACTTTCTCGAGATGATTGCAAAGCGCGCACTACAGAAACCGCCAGGTTGGCGTAAACAAGCCACGTATAAGGCGATTGTCAGCATCTACATTGTTTCAGTTGCTTGGCTGGAGCTCTTGGAATCATTTATGCTCACTTTAATCCTACTCGCATTTACTTTGGCGTGGGGTACCTTCCAGCTTTTCTCTAGTAACAGTCAAGTTGGGAAGGAAATTCGGTCAGCTGAGCTAGAGATGGGCTTCGGTCAACTACATCCTGAACTCCTTCTTTCGCAACCTGTATTCGTGGCTCTCCAGATATATTTAGGTAAGTGTGAGATCTTCCGGACTCAACGTTGAACCGGAGTTCTGTCACAGATTTTGTACTGACTATTGCTTAAAAGAGCAAAGAGAACCCCGGGCCACCCCTTTTTCAGCAACAGTCTCTGTCGGAAGCTCTACGATTCATTCGTATCCAACAGCAATCACAACAGTAACAAACCAATCAACCGTACTCCAGAGCCATCGCGGGCTACTATCAGCTTCAGAAAAGGCTTCCGGAGAGCTTCATGACCCATTCATTAGTCATCTCTACCAATCGAAAACTTTCCGACACCTTATCATCTATATTTCTGTAACCTTGCTTGGGCCTGTGGCAGTAATCATTGTGTTAGCTTTCTGGAGGAGTTATGGTCTGGCATTTACGATACCTCCTATCGTCTTCCTTCCATATGTGGTCTTTCCTTTGTATTTTCATCCGAAGTCCAACCGACTGAAGTATACACTACCGGACTCAACTTATATAGCGAAGTCACTGAGTTACGATAGCCCAATTCAATATTTTCAACCCTCGTCAACTTGCGACCATCGCGTTTGCGTTGCTGGACACAATCTTTACGCAAATGATATGTCCCTTCAAGACGCAAAAGACCTATGGTTTCACCTGCATTGGCAGAGTCTTTTCCAGCCTTCTTTACAAAGGAGGGTCCAATGTTCCTGAGATCTTTGGAACAGGATCAGTGTGGATTCGATAGTTTGTCTGAGAACCTCATCTTCCCAGCCCGTCAACGTGTCATCACAACTAGCCCGAGTTTCCATAGATATATGACTGTTTTGCCAAAGCCAGTTACTTCAGTAAGACAATTATTGCGATTCGCGTTTCCTCATTCTATAGATGTTTTTCTCTTTTTTTTTGAAGCGCATTATCACACGCACGCACGGAAATACACAGGAGATAAAGAAATGGGCTCGCTCCAAGTCTCTTCCTTGTTTCGCATGGACAATGTGGCTCCTCGGGGTTAGGCTGGTAATACTAGGTAGAGCTCCTGCGAGGCCTGTGGAGAATTAGTCCCGACCCCCGGCCTGAGTCGAGCTATTCGATCGGCGAGATCGCGCTAGAGAGGTGATTTCATATGCACTCATCGACAGTCCATGTAATCGAACATATCTGACACATCTTATCATACTGAATCTATACAAGGTTCTCAGTTTGACTTTGAGATACATAAATAATGATGGATCGCATACAAGACGAACATGTCGCTGAGAGCGATCTACTTACTGTACTTGGCGAAGTGATTACCTACAGCTACCATATATATAGCTATACACATTGTACACATCTGGCCACCATGAATCCCTGGAGAGTCTATTTCTCATAGAATGCGAATCAGCGCGAGGATCATATTTTGAAGGTTTACTTTGTTTAAGTCTACATCATACCTATTTCTCCCCAAACAAAATGCCGACTGGCTAATGTAGGAGGAACCGATGTCCGCTGGACGATGATTTGTTATTGCTCCATAATGGTGTAGTGTAGTCTAGTGCCATTATGTGTTAGGTGTAAATGTGACTTAGACCTCCACTGATTGTGTGAAGTGACTTGTATTGTGTGCAGAGTTAAACAAGTACTTCCTTTATGTCGTAATGGCTTCAACCATCCGTGGCCTTACTACATGTCACGTAACCTCGGTTATATAATTACCGAGCTCCATACTCGCTCGTACCCTCTATTTCAGGGCGAGCTTCGTGCCTATTTCTTACTTCTAATAGATAACCGTTCTCTATATTCAACGTCGATGCCCCTATCGTGACTATACGACACTTTGCTTTACTTAAGCGGGCACCGGCGTCTTCCTGTTGCTAAACACAATGTTGCTTGAGTGCTAGCCTCAGAACACAGATATCAGGCGCCGGCAGATCTCAAATAACATCCAAATCTAGGAACGTTGCTCAATAGAGAAAACAAAGCACATCCGTCAAACAGTCTCTCGTTTACGACGCGACGCTGCTGAGGATGTGTCGACTAAGGCGGCATCCCCGCTAATTAATGATGCAGAGCCGAAGAACCGGAGCAACGGCCCCGCAGCGCCAAGACCACCAATAACCTCCAGAACCCGGCGCACGTGTGAGCCGCGGTTCAAGATATGCCATTCATAAAGAGAACTTATTTCCGTGCCTTGCAAGCCTGGTAAACTCATGCCCATTTCAGCACATGCACGATTGATAAGAAGAGGGGTTCACGAATGCTACTCTGCGATAATCCCTGGTGATTGTCGTCATTGAGAGAAGACTAACGATTCTTGATCTCCGGTGAAGGGATTCGGTGTCCAATCACTGCTGAGATGATTACCCACGAGCCCGGCCGTCTGAAGAACGCACGTGGCGAGCGTCCTTTCAGAGCGAGAAACAAACGGCCTGAGATGGAAGCTGCGGAAGCTCATCCTAGTATTCTCACGCATGTAAACTTTTGTAAACAGAAGCTCATAAATGGCGGCTTCCGCCGTCAAAGCTTAATGATGTTCCTTTCTTGGCAACCAAAAGGTCAACGCTTCGTGGTCAATCCATTCGCGTCTCAATTTTCTAGAGCGTGATAGCCACAGTCATCATGGTTCAGCCCATCTTTGCTGTCTTGGCTCTAGCCACTACGGCATCGGCTGCCTTCACAGGTAACCTCAACTACCTGTCGCCGTCGAAGCACCATGCGTCACTTGGTGTCTCCATCAACAAGGTCGCTAAGCGCACCTACGCCAACTCCCAGTGGGATCCTGCCAAGCTGAACTTCACGCACGGCGTGGCTTCCGGTGATCCGTACGAGGACAGCGTCATCCTGTGGACGCGAGCTGCTCCGACAGCTGACAATGACAAGAGCAACTTGACTGTCAGCGGCTACGTTCCTCTGTACGACCACAGCACCGAGGATTATGTCAAGAAGAGCGACTCTCCGGTCTGCGTTGATTGGAAAATTAGCACGAGCAAGACTCTCGATGCTGTTATTGATTCGGGTACTGCTTACACGAGCTCTGACGTGGATTACACCGTCAAGGTTGAAGCCAAGCGATTGGCGCCTTTCACGGTCTACTGTGAGTGACCACCGTTCAACTCGCCCAAGGAGGGTAATTGACTTGCAGTGAAGACTATCAGTTTGGTATTTGCAACTCAAACAAGACGTCCCCGATTGGTCGCACAAAGACGATTCCTTCAAAGAACTCCCGAGTTGAAACACCAATCAAGCTTGCCGTCTACTCATGCAGCAACTACCGTACGTCGTCGTGAAATCTCCATTCCAGAAGCCCTAGAACCATTCGACTGACTTTGTGAAGCTTTCGGTTTCTTCAACGCGTACGGCAACCCAGTCCGAAAGGATTCGGTCGACTACGTGATTCATCTTGGAGACTACATCTACGAGTACGGCAATGGCGAGTATGGTTGGGGCAACTCAATCGGAAGAATCCCTCTTCCCGATCGCCAGATCTTCACGTCAGTAGCTTGTGTTACTTCCCTAGGGAACATTCGAAGTTGACTGGTGGCAGTTTGTATGACTACCGCAAGCGCATCGCAACCTACAGAACCGATCTGGACTTGGTAGCCAGCCACCAGAGCTTCCCCTGGATCCCGGTTTGGGACGACCACGGTTCGTAGCAGATGTCCTTCGTCATGCGCCATGTTGACTAAACGGCGACAGAGGTTTCGGACAACACGTGGCGAGATGGTGCCTCTGAACTTAACAACACTGAGGATTCTTTCATTGCCGATGGAGGTGTCTCGGTCGATCAGCGCAAGATGAACGCCGTTCGAGCATACTTTGAGTGGAGTACGTCTGAACCTTTGACTCCGTCTTAGCAGCGATACTTGACTAATGCCATCAAAGTGCCCATTCGCCAGGTCGATATGGATGATAACCTCCGCATCTGGAGAGAGTTCAACTTCGGCAACCTGTTCGATCTTGTGATGTTGGATACTCGCCAGTACGATCGCGCTGTCAGTTTCACTCTTCTCTTATAGGAATGTTAGGTTCTTGCTAATCCTCTAGATCACGGATGTCTACACCAATACCGATTACATCCACGCCATCTCCAACGACGCAAGCCGCTCCCTCATGGGCCCGCGCCAGGAAGCCTGGTTCTACAAAACCCTCCGCCAAAGCTCGACCCGCGGCGCAACCTGGCGCGTCATTGGCAACCAAATCATCTTCAGCCGCATGAACGAGAGCCTGGCCCTCGGCGCCGAGAACCCGATGAACTACGACCAGTGGGACGGATATCAGGCGAACCGCAACCGCACCTTCCAGGTCCTGTACGAACAGAACGTAGGCAACAACATCTTTCTCGCGGGTGACTCGCACGCCTCGTGGGTATCGGATCTTGTCTGGCTTGGCGAGCACGAGTACGATCCGAAGACGGGTTCTGGTTCCGTCGGTGTCGAGTTTGCGGGCTCGGCTGTGAGCTCGCCGTGCCCTGCTGGGCAGAACATTTCGCTGGCGGCGGCGAATGCGGGATCTGCGTGGCTTACGGCTGCGAACCGCGAGTTGCAGTGGCAAGATCTGTTTTACAGGGGCTACTATGAGCTCAGCATTGACTACGATGCTGTGAATGCCTCATTCTTTGGTATTCCTACGACGAGGATCAAGCAGGGATACGAGATCTCGCTCGCCAACTTTACTGTGCTGGCTGGCGAGAATAAGTTGCATCGTTTGAACGGTACCGCGGCTATTGGAGGTATTGCTGAGAGTGGTAGCTTGAAGAACGGTCGTGTTGTGCAGACGAACCTGACGCATGATACTGGCAGCGGCGCGTACCTCAAGTACAACTCGCCTTGAGTCGGTGTTTGTGGAGAAGACTTGAAGGTTCATTATCGATATCACCTCAACTTATTGCATCCCTCTGCCGATGACTAGCTCTTATGAAGTTGAGCAATTTGAAACGGGCCTAGAAACCTCAACCATGATTACCTTGTTGTGAGTACCCTTACATGCGACCAATAAAGCGTCGGTGCTCTGCTTAGCATGAACAATATCCTTGTGAACAGGTCACTCGATATATAGTGTACGGAGGTGAGGCATGAAAGTTTGACTTAATTCGAAAAGTCACCTAGACTCCAAGAAACACCTAAAGCTACTCCTGACATTGAATCGTGCAGAGGATATCTCAATATTGCCACCAAATTGCCACCGAAACCGCAACCCAATGCAAGCCTGAACACCTTCCTTGTGCCCATCCTTAAGGATTTGAATGCACTTCTGAAGCACTTCGATCAGTGAAGTCTGAGCTCCCCACGCGCGGTGACGTTGCCGCTAGCCGAGCCGCCAATGAGCATGCTGTTGAACACATTCGCAGCAGTCTCATCCTGAGTAGCAGCAACAGCCGCAGTTTGAGCCTTGTTGCAGCTCTCAATGGTAGCAGCAGGCGCCTTGCAGCTGTCAGACAGACGCTGGCAGATGAAGCCAGCAATAATACCGATCTTCTGCGCAGAGCCGTGGTTGAAGTCGCCCTGGTTGTTGGCGATGAAGGCGGCGGCCTGGCGATCGGGCAAGCCGTCCTTGAAGACGACGGAAGGGTCGCTACAGGAACCGAAGTCGGTGGCCTGGCGCTTGAAGAAGCGCTTGCGGAGGTTGGCCTGGGCGCGGCACTGAGTATTCTGTTCGTCGCACTGGGAAACTTCGCCGTCGAGCTGGCCGCTGTTGACGGCGCGGGCGCAGGCGTTGTGCTGGACGTCGCATGATCGGCCTAGGGCGGCACCCTTTCCGACAAAGGTGTCGCCGTTGACGGAGAAGGGACGGTCGCCAGAGCTCTGGATGACCGGAGGAGGGGCGCCACCGAGAGAGCCGGTGAAAGTCTGGACGTTGTTGCCGCTACCAGTGTTGGCGTTGCCGCTGTTGGCATTGCCGTTGTTGTTCGAGTTGTTTCCGTTGTTTCCACCGGCAGTGCCGTTGTTGGCCTGAGTTTGGGCTGCGCCGTTGTTAGAGCTGGTTGCGTCGCAAGAAGCGTCGTTGGCGTTGGCGTTGGTGTTGGTGTTGGTGTTGGTGTTAGAGTTGGAGTTTGTGTTGCCGCTGGTAGGCGTGGCGCTGTTCTCAGCCTTGGCAGGAGTGCTTGAAGTCTGTCCCCCCGTAGCACCTCCGGTCTGGCCGGCGACGGCGAGGCCAGTGATGTCGATGTGAGTTGCTTTCAGCTCACCAGTACCGCCGGTGACAGTCTGAGTAACACCCTTAGCAGCGGCGGTGATCTCGTCGGGAGTGGCATCAAGGACAAGCTTCTTCTCAGTGAAGATGCATCCGGTAGGGTCGGTGTCAGTGTCACAGCTGAGACCCTTGAAGGTAGTGTCGGACTTGTCACCAGGGGCGAAGGTGCCGCTCTCGAGAGCCAGCATGGGGTCACCGCCGACTGCGGCCAACTGCTTGGCCAGCGCGAGAGCAACCTCCTTGTTGTTGGCCGCAGCGCCGTCGGCAGCAGGATCCTGGTGCTTCTTGGAAAGGGCGGCGATCTCAGCGTTGACAGGCTTGTCGGTGCAAGCCGCGCTATTCACACCCACGCCCGCGGTATTGCGCTCAAGAGTCTGGTAGACGAGAGCGGCAGACATACCGCGGATATCCTTGGCGGCTTTGGCATTGGTGAAGGCCTGATCGGCGGTCTCCTGTTGCAGGCAGGCCAAGTTGGTAACCTGTCCAGCGCCCGTCTTGGCAGCTGCGTCTCCGAGGAGGCCGAAGACGGGGTCGGCGATGGCCTTGGGGTTCTCCTTGTTCAGGAACTCGCGGGTAATGTTGAGGAAGATCTCGTGAGAGTGCTCCTGGGGAACCTCACGCTTGCTGACACGTCTCAGATGGTGGTGACGGTGGTAGGGACTGGCCGCCACGAGACCGACGAGGGTCGAAGTGGCGAAAGCAATAGTCTGGTACTTCATCTTGATCGAGGTTTGGATTATCGACGGTCGAGAGTGATTAAGACAGAAAAGACCGGCCTTCTGCGTGATGTCGACTGACGTAGTTTGAAGCGAAGAGTTGATTGTAAGATAGTATAGTAAAACGAGGTCAAATCTGCAGGCGATGCAAAGAATGGAAGAGCTCACAGAACTCGAGGTTGAAAAGAATGAAACGAAACGGTGCAAAGAGAATGTCGTATGAAGATGAGAAGCTATAGCCAAGAAGAAGAAATCTGGTGCCGAGAGGGAGATCAGCCAGGTTTATAAAGAAGATAGGATGGAAAACATGATCAGAGCAGATCCCTGGTGCATCAGTGGAATTCAGACGGTCCAGAGCAAGAGCCTCATGCTCGGCCAGCATTGGCTAGCACACCGTTGCGATGAGACTCCAAAAGTTCAGACAGACGACGCTCTCCCCGGGATATGGAGGCCGAGGGGAACAAGAGTCGAGACAACATGAGACGAGCCGAATCGGTTAAGACGGCGACTTAGAAGATTGTCAGGTACAGGAATCTATCGGACCCGAAATCATGGTATGGCATGTGCCGGGGGGTTCAAAGAACGGACGCGACGGGTGACCATGTCATCGCCAAGTCAACCACTCATGAAGCAACTCTGGTGGAGGCGCGATGCCATCATGGTCCGAATCGGGCGCGATGGCTAGCGAACGACGGTGGTGTGGCTACATTTGCGTTCATTATTGCAACATGGGTCGCGATATCGGCAGAGTTTTTGGAAGTCTTGCGACGGATGGTGGGCGCATTCGGTAAGGCGCCGTAGACATCAGACGCCTCGACAACGATGTGGACGGAAAGATGAGGCGGAAGATCAGACAGATTCAGCCGCAGGTTGTCATAGAGCAAGTTTCGCCTGGGGTAAGGGTGGGAACGTTCTGCGATGGTGGCATGGGTGGGAGGGGGAGAGGGGAGAGAAGAAGGGGGAGGGTCTTCACCCGTGCGTCTCAAGAGGACCACCGCCGCTTATCAAAGCCGAGTTCCCCACGACCAAATGCTTAACTCATTCCAAAGCCAATAGCAAACCTCGGTGGCCTCCGGGTCGCAAGCTCGCCGGGCGGGTAACTGGTTTATAAGGGGTCACTTTCGCATTCTCTTAGGGCTTAGCGCAGGGCCTACCCGCGCTACAGATGTCTGGAAAGCTTGATTACTGCACATTTCTGCAGGCGAAATGTACTCCAGATGTGCCTCTTCTCCCTGAAGATGCGCTCTCTGGGGACAAGGTCACCCTATTCGGCATGTCGCTCCGAGCAGCGGATGGGCTTCAACCGATCTTGCTCAGCGGATTCTCTGGCCGCAATTCCTGGCCTGCTATGATCCGACTCCAGATGATATTGCTGTCTGTCTTTGCATTCTCTGAAAATGGGGAAAGTTGCCGCTAGTTGGTAAGCTTATTGTGCTAGACAAGCGGGCATGCCCCTCAGTGCTTGCAGCAAATTTAGTTGTCATTGGAACTCAAAAAGAGTCTCGACAACCTTACAAATGCAATTAACCCCCTAGAACATTGCCGCTCAGTTCACTTCTTCTCTGCGGGAATGTGATTATGACACCATCCCTCCATCTGGCCAGAACTCTGTTCAACCTGTCGCGGGACCAACGCCTGTCAAGGCTTCTGCGGCAACGAAAGTGGAGCCTTGGACTCGTTGCCTGCCATAAGATCTTCTGTTTCAGGCGATCAGAGACTTCAGACGCATCAGTGCCAAAGGGGGGGGGATCTCAGACACCACCACCATGCGGCCCCAGCCACCCTCACGCGTCACGTCTGACTGGCAGGAAACCATCGCATAGGGCGTCCATCAGAGCGGGGATGATTTACGTATTGGCAAGCAATCATCTCACATCATCCCCTCTTGCGTAGTATGATCTCCCTCGCCCTTCGGAGTTCGGCCTACAGCACCGCGAAGTTCTCAATCGATTTTGGGGTGAGATGACTCGACCCTCATCCAGGGTGAGTGAGTTCAACAAATTTGCATGGCCATCGGACGGCCGCAAGATCGGACGCTCTGGTGACCTAATTGTTCTCGACATCAACGACAAAGAACGGTCGGTTCCATCCTCGGACACACCTAGAAGTATCCTTTCTTTTGTTCTTATTGACATTGATGGATTTTCACCTTGGATGTCTTGAGAATATCTCTAGTCTAACGAGATGGATAACCTCAAGTGATAATTGCATCCAACTACATCCCAGAAATCTAGTGGTTGAGCCTGTATGATCTGAGCTCACATTCAAACCGGATGCCTGCTTCGATGCGAAGAAGCTATTTGCAGATGTATCTCAGTTTGCTTGACCTTTCGATAATTCTCGTCGGTTCCCTTTACTTCAGTTACGGGACCTTATTGGAGTTAAGATAGGTACCTTCTTTGGACCATCAGGCACACGATGCTTTCTGGCCCGTCGACGATCAAACAATATCAAAGACGGCGTATCGTGAACTTTATCAGGTGTTATCATGCCCTGGCATGCGACCACTTGTTTCTGGCTCCGTCATCAATCCGAACTCACCGGCCGAACTCTTATGGGCGGACTTTCCAAGAGAATCTCAAGTTTGTTTCCTTTGCGAAAGAGGAGCTTCGTCCCATTCTAGACATCTGAAGTCTGGCAAAGCTCTCAATATGCAGCATACGAAACGCTGCTTATGAACATTGTGTGATGAACTGCCGTTCATGCTTCCATGGCATGCACTGAATCGCCGAAACATGCCCCAGCGAAAAGCTGTCACGCCTGCTGCGTTTCTTCTGCCATCTTTCGGCCTTCACATTAGAACCTCTGACGTTTGACAGCACTTGGCAGTGGAGACCTCAATACACTACAATTCTTGAACACCTTCAGTCTCGACATTCCTATGCATCCTACGCGTCCATTTGGCTTATCAGGCATTACCTCTCATGATACATCAATGCGGATTGTGTAGTCGTCGCCGTTCTGGCCCACCACAGTCACCGTCACACCCAGATCTGTCGAGGTGTATGAGCTCGCGCCCCCGCCATTCAAGCTCAACGGCGCATTGTCAAGATTATCGTTGATGCAAGAAGCCGTTCCCCAGCCGGGATTCCCATCTAGAACTCGAATCGGACCCTCGCCAGTACCGAGGTCCGTCGTTACAGTGTAGAGCAAGACGCCAGTCGTACACGAGTTGAGGTTGTTGCCCTCCTTCGACCTAACCTCGGCCACCAGTGCCATCGTCTCATTCTGCTTCACAACGACGGCCTTCATGCCGCCCGTAGTTTCAAGTGGCGTGAGTCTATGTGTCGTTGATGAAGTAATGTTACTGCCGTTGAGGGGAGCGGCCGAGGGAACGACGCATTCGATTTGACCGTCCGAGAGCCAGCCTAGCCTCCACTTGTCCCATGCGAAGTAATCCGGGCTGGAAGCCCCCACGTTGGCCATCATGTCCCAGTTGCCGGCGTACATGCCGGTGTAGCCCGTCGGTATGGGGTACAGATCCGGCAAGCAGAAGGTATGGCCCGTCTCGTGATTCACCGCCTTGTAACCCCACCAATCGAACGTGTCAATGCCCATTGTGACAGCCTTTCTCGCAATGTAATTCACATCCTTGGTATATGCGCCACCGGTGAGAGCTGCAGACAGCTCAATGTCCGTCGCATTTCTGGTCGGGATGACGTAGAAGATATCAGTCAGAGGGCCCTCGGTGCTATTGACCTTGGGAACCGGCGTGTTGGTGACAGCCAGCCACTGCTCCAGAGCGTCTTGTACGTAGGCATAGTGAGCTTGCTGCGATAAAGGTCTGACAAAGTTGTAGTCTGCTGCGTTCTTGGGCATGCGGTAAAATTGGCTCGTGTCTGCGGTGATGTTCAGCGACAGCTGGCCGTACGATGACGTGTTAAACCATTGCTGGGCTTGAGGTATCAGGAGGTCGTAGACTTCTTGCGGAGAAGCTTCTGAAGCAGTCTGGTCCGGAAAGTCGATGAAGATGAGGATCGCATTGACGGTGCCCTTGCTGGGAGCGCAATCGTACCTGTAGCCAAAGCCAGAGCTGAAGAAGACGCCGTTCGTCGCTGGCAATTTGCAGGATGAGATGTCGGCTCTTCGGTTGATAGATGAGCTCGAGGCGAGTGCTGTGCCAGTAAGCAGAGTTGCTCCCTGCAACAATAGGTTATTCGAGGCTCTCATCTCGCGGAGGTCTGAGTGGTCCAACAGCAGCGGCAGCAGGTCGATCGACCGAGTTAGCAGCCGGACGCAAACGCCATGTTTGTGATATGGGAATGTGCCATTTTTAGTACAAATATTGACGTTCATCTCCGGAGCAGCCCGCGTGAGCGAAGGGCCCTTTTAGGTTCTATGTATAGTGTTTTTTAATATCGGTGTATAAGCCCCCGCTGGATACGAGATGATCTCGCGTTCGCCCCAGGTTGAGCCGCTCTGCTCCACTGGAAATTAAGCTTTCCCAGCGGTCGGATGAAATCTACACCGGTTGATGGCAATAACTGAACTCATCAAAATGTTGCCGCCATCAGCACCAAAGCGCCTTTGATCATCACCAGCGCTGCTGGGGGCAAATTACACAATGACGTCAGTGTGTAGCTAATACGAAAGTCATCTTTCCTCAGTTGTGAGACGAGAGGGAAGAACAGCCATCTTCGGGTCTTCGTTTGGTACAATGAAAGATATTTGTTTTCAGGCTGGCCAGCCTCTATTAAAGCACTAACAAACCAAGCCTCTCCGCATGTCGAAAATCCCTATGTATTCCGCATCGGATCAAAGATGGCTTGGCCATTCTCAGTTCGCCGCTGCCGCCGCTGGTTTGCGTCCATGGATCGACCACCTAGAGAGAAAAGGTCAGAAAGCATGCCTTTGAGACAGAATGATAGGGGGGTTAGGAGAGTCATACACGTTGAAGTAAGCGTGGATCTGTCTATCCGAGAGCTCCTTACGAGCCTCCATCGCAATAACATGGACCTCTGCCTGGCTCATGTCCAGAGCTCGCGTCAGCGGCGCCATGAGAAGACCATCCAAATTCGGCGAAAGGTTCTCGAGATTCCACTCGCCAAGGTTCTTGTGTTTTTTGTCCTTGGGCCACGTATTCGTGGGCCACTTGAAACGCTGCACCTGGATATCTTCGAATCCAACCTCGGCGAGCAGGGTCTCGAAGCGACTGAACTCTTCGAAAGGGGATCCCATCTTTTCAAGAGCCTCAAAGCAAAGTTCAAACGCCTTCATGAGCTTACTCTCCTTTGGAATCGTGTCATCATCTGATAAGGGGAAGAAGTCGATATCGTTCAGCTCGAGATATCCACCAGGGGTGAGGTTACTGAATGATCCCCGAGTGATTAGCAACTAGACACCCACGGCATGGGCAGTATTGAGGTGACTAACTCAAAGCTGCTCTGGAGGAATTTTTGCCAGTCGCGGATGCTGCCCTTCATCATTCTGCTGTGAATGTAGTCAAAGGGCTCACTGAAAGTCCATGGTTCCTCGATATCATCGATCTCGAATCGAACATTCGGAGGTACGCTAGTAGTCTCGTTAGCGATTCTGCAAGAAGAGAAACTCGTGCTGGAAAGCATATGTCATACAAGTTTGGCTGGGAAGCCGACAAGTCCACACCGATGACCTAGACAAGAATGCACATCATGAACACTCTGTATTCCAGAATCAAAATGGTAGCGAGCTTAACGAACCTCAGCCTCAGGGTGGTCCTCTCCAAATTCAATTGCCCATAGGCCGGTGCCTGTGCCGACGTCGAGCACGCGACCGACTTTCGAGTCCTCTCGGGATGGCGGCGCAGTTCCAAGATAGTAGTCAAAGGTCAAAAGGTAAAGATTATGTACAAGGTCTAAGCCAGCGCGTCAGTCAGAGATGAACTGCCGTCAACTTAGGAGGGGAACGTGCAACCTACCAAGTCTGTCCTTCTCTCGCTCATCGTTGGGCGCCCAGTACTCTGTAACGATTAGTCTTTTATAGCCTCGATTTATTTGGTTTGCTCTTACTCCCTTCTTTGTACTTGTGGTATGTTCTCCCGTTTTCCAATCTAGACTCAAGAATTGAGTCTGCTACGGTTGACGTGGACGACGCGATGCTACCCTGAAGTCACCTAGTCAGCTTGCTTCTGCGGGCACTTCCTAGTGCATCTTTCTAAAGACTTACACCATTCAACGAGGAATTTTCATCGGTGAACTACGGTGTACATGCAGTATTCAGTAAATGGCCATCCCTCGACGGATTCCGAAGACATCTCACCTCATCGGCCGCGATGGCACCAGCTGGTGGGGGCGTGGGGCTATGATTGTCGTCGTTACACATTTTGCCCTCCACTGTCGAGCACAAATGATATGAAATGTCCGATGCGTATGAGCTCAGCCAGAATTGGGCAGAGTGAATGTAACGGTCGTTGAGCACCAGATCCGCCTGCTAGGAACTATGTCTGTGCAATGTCGGGTATGGGAAGATTCCACAATGCGAAACCGATGAGAAATATCTTTAGGACGGGTCCGCCGTAAATTTACCCCTCTTCTTGGCCAGACATCTGGAGACAACTGTGCAGATATGCATGTTGATCTGTCCAGTCGGATCCAACCAGCTATCTGCAACAAAACCCTGGTACTCGGGGAGCAGTTTCCAGAAGCGGCAGCTAGCTCGCGGCACAGTAGACATCATTGCTCGTTGTCTGTGGCGGTGTAAACGAACCACTCCACATGCGTCCAACACTCCGGTCGCTTTGTTTACGTGCTAGCGGTACCCGATGCCCAGAGTGAACCACGGAATGGATGCTTCGGCGGTCTCGATCTGTGAGAGACGGGATACATCGATATGGCGGGCAAGGCGCAATGTTCACCCCAACAGTTCCTGTGTCTAGTTGTTATCATGGTTGTCTTCACTGATTCAATTTAGGTTGTATCCTGAATTTGCTGCCGATTCCCGCTCGCGATCCCGCATGCGCACAGTAAGGCCATCGCAACATCATATCAAACAAAACACAAAGGCAGCCGCCTAGCTAATCCTCAGCATCCCGTGGATCGTGCCTCTTCCAAAACTCCTCATATTCGTCCCAAGACTGAGAAGGGAAAGCCAGGGGCACTGTGATTGGAGCGAACGGAATACCTTTGTCTGCAAATTCCCGGAGACGTGCCTGAGTGTTTGGTCGCGTGTTGTTTACACTGTAAACCGAGATTTTGTGACAGGAACTGGTCACATGCAAGCCCCAATTCCAAGCTGTGCGTACATCAGGCGGTTGAGTATTGAGAGAATTGTCCCAACAGCGACAGACGACCTCAATCCAGCCTTCTACGTCGCAAGGAAGGTCGATCTCCCAGGTTCGCCAGGTCCACTTGCGCTTCTTGGAGAGATTCTCGACCGGTACAGTGTACCAATTGAACCCCCCGTCAGCTGAGAGCTCAACCCGCTCTGGCCAGCGACCCCCACCTGAGTAGGCCCATCCCTTGCAGCGAATTTTGCCGTTGTGTATGACGACCTGCTTGGTCCAAGGCGACATGATGGCAGAACTAACTGGCATTTCCTGAATTTGTATGCCGTCCGTCATTTTGAGGTTATGCTTGCCGACTTGTTGAGGGAAGTAAAGGTACTCTTGGCTCTGAACAGGCGCACGTGTAGGGTTCTTTATGGCCTTGATACGGTAAAGCCACTTGACGCTTCGTGCTCCAATGTAACCAAACACGACGATGCGAAGGGGATATCCATGAATGCGAGGAAGAACGTCGCCATTCATCTCCCAGGCCAGCATAACCTCGTTTGCCCTCACTTTAGACCAAGGAACGCTGACGAGATAGTTCATGGTCTTGTCATCTTTGAAGTAGGTGTCCGCGCCGTAGAATTCGAGATGTTTTGCCCCTTCAACGAGTCCACCGCAGGCTTTGACGACCTTTTTGAGACTGATGCCAATGTACTTGGCAGTTCCGATCGCACCTTCAGCCCAGGGCGCTTGAGGCACCTCGTCACCCTGGCCGGGGTACTTGAGAATCTGCTCGATACGTCGGGTTCCCGAGCATTGCATCGTCACTGTCTTCTCCATCCGCGGAAACTTGGTTTCGTCCATGAGGTCATCCAAAGTGAACGATCTCGGGTTCGCTACAAGTCCATCCAGCAGAAAGCTGTAGTGCTCTTTATCAATGATCGGAATACCGCCGTGGTTTCGGACGAAGTGGAGGGGATTCGGAGTAATCTCTTTGTCGGTCACGAGGCGCTTGGGCGGCTCGCCGTTGTAAGGAAACTGGAGAAGATGGAGCATATCGACGTGCTTCTCCTTAAGCACAATATTCCAGGAGTCGTCGGGAATGCGAGACAGAGCGCCGCCAACCGCCTTGTGCCACATCTTCCAATGAGTACCAGGAAGGACAGGATTGCTAGCTGGAATAGGACCGAGCTGGAACTCTGGATTTGGGGGGAATGTCTGGGAAGTCAAGATCTTATGGGCCGCTGCCTTCTTCTCCGGATAATTTTCCCACTCGACAAAGCTATTTTGAATCCGAACTTGTCAGCTGCTGTATACATGCAGTCATAGTGTCTGTACTCGAAGGCGGGTTGTGCTTAAATCGCTGGAAGTGACTCACCCTGTCCAACCTTGCCGCTCCTCGGTGAACAACTCGCTCGGGTCGCCTACTTTCTTTATGGCGGCGTCATCTTTCGTTAGGACACCAAAGATTTGAGGGGGAAGAGCCTTGGTTTGCGGTCCTGTCATGTCAAGGACGGGAAGTTCCGCCCCAGCCAGTCCCTGCTCAATCTTCCATTCATCGGGTCTGTTAGTGGTCTTCATGATATCTGGCTCACTTCTGAAGTGGCAGTATCGAGTCTCAAAAGGGTGATACTCGTCGGAGCCCCTTCATTATTTGAGAGTGGTGGCAGGATGCCCCGGGTTTGTAACTCGAACGCTTCTATGCGTACTTTCTGTCACGTCCATCATGCCGAGCTTCACGTTTTGGACCTCTCGAGAATCTGAGACCGAGGTGTTTGCTTTCAACTCCAACCGACAGTTTAGGTTCTGAGCGCATCAGTAATTGAAGCTCCATTAGGCCAATGATAGCTGTCCGAGCTTAGACAGAGTTCAGCACGTCGCATTGACCGAAAGCCTAACTCGGCATCAACGCTGATGCACGGAAACAGGGATTCAATCCGACTGGACTTAATCATCAGGCAAACTTTCGATTCAATACAAGGGCACAAAGGAATTTCAATCCTGTCTAGTAGGTTCTGGCGTTAGTTTTGCCGCTGCCGTTCGAGGAGGCTCCAAGCATCTGCCCAAGCCCCGAACAACCTCAACATTTCTTGGATATCAATGCCAGCCAGTGATCGGAGCGAGCAAGATATTGAAGTGTGACAAGAGAATATGAGCGCCCCGGAAAGTAGAAATTAGTTAGATTAGCGGGTGTCTGACCTGTCAAAAAGGGTTGAACCTTTGTTCCTGGTCCGATTTTCTAGGCTGGTGTCAAGAGTAGGCTCAAGTCCCTCTCGAATCAAAGCGTGTCTGCGCTGTGCGTCATCTGCTGCCATGGCCTTCCACATACCCCTCCTCGTGACCTGGCTCGTTACTATCCTCAGTACCACTCATGTCTGAGTCTATTGGCTTTCGTCCATAAATCGACCATCTAGAAGCGGAATGTCAGCTAATATGATTACCTTCGAATCTCCAAGTTGAAGGACGGCCTAGAGACATGACAACCTACATAGAAAAGTAAGCATGAATGTTTCGGTCGCAGAAGTCTCTGCGGTTCTCAGCCATTAATACCAAGACCTCGTTCTTGGTCCAACGGAGCGCCCTCGTGAGCGGCGCCATACAAATCGCCTCCCATCCTTGTGTGAGATTCTCATTATGCCAAACCCCAAGCTCTTTGTGTCGGGGTTCCTTCGGCCAAGACTTGGTGGGCCACTTGAAGTGGTGCATTGTCACACCAGTGAAACCTGTCTCCATGAGAACCGCTTTTAATGCCCTGGGGTCTTGATACGGGCGTTCAAATAGCTCTGAGGCCTCTTGGAGCATCTCGACGGTCCGAGAGATGGAGTGCTCCGGTTTCAAGGTGCCGCCATCAGAGAGTGGCTTGACATCAATCTCATTTAACTCCAGATATCCACCGGGATTGAGGTTGCTGTGCGTTTATGGTGATGAGTTACTTGGAGCTGCTTGATGTTGTAAACTTTGTCATCTCAAGAGACTTACTCATAACAGTTTCTTATATACTCCCGCCAGTCCCTGATTGAAGAATTCATCATCCGGCTGTGTATGTAGTCGAAAGGTCGTGAGTAGGTCCACGGCTCTTCGAGGTCGTCAATGAGAAATTTCACATTTTTTGGTGTACTAAGTAATTAGCATTTGCCGGTTCTCGCGTCAAAGATATTTGTGATCAGGTTGCCTACAAAGTTGGTTGTGCAGCTGAAAGATCGATACCCCGAACCTGCATCGCCAGTCAGCGTTTCAAGTTCTATTTCACGTACAAGTAACACTCGTGGAATGACTAACCTCCGAATCAGGATGCTCATCACCATAGTCGATGGCCCATATTCCACTCCCTGTGCCTACATCCAGAACTCTACCAACTTTACTTCCTGGATCATTCGGTGGGGCTGTACCGAGTCTATCGTCAAATGTAAGTCGGAACAAAGTGTGCTGCAGGTCTGTCCTTGTAATTAGTATGATCAGCATGTCTGTTGAATGGGAACTGACCCAATCTTTCGGTCTCTCTTTCATCATTGGGCAAGTTATATTCTATTCCGTTACGTCAGCAAATTCGTTTCTTGAGGACTTGTTGTACAGAGCACATGGAGTTCAAGTAAGCTTTAATTTGGACGGTTGAAAGACTCACTGCCATCTTTGTACTTATGATAGGTTCTACCGTTTTCGATGCGAAATCCGAAGATTGAGCTGGTGGCACTTATACTTGACGAAGCTACACTTCCCTGATAGAAGGTCAGACTCGAGCTCTTCACGGCCAGGCAACTCCTAGCTTTCATTTTATACACCTAATATCGGGACTTGCCGATCCATCTTCTTCTACCTCATTCTAAGAGGTAATTAGCATCTTCTCGTGTCTACCTGAGCCAACGATGATGCGGTATGCGTACCTGATCATCAGCCTCGATGATGACCTCGCTATCACTCACATTGTTGGGTGGCGTGGGTGGAGGTGCTGCATCTACATCGATGGCAGAATCGACGCCCATAGTGCGACAGGAAGCTGGACGAGAATACATATTGTAGGGATCTGTGCCGGAAAAGGTCTTTTTCGCGGGTTTCCAATGGGCGGCTGCGGATGACTTTTCTCGGTGATGAACTCTGTTGGATGACAGGATGGCGTTGAGGTTCAAGTGCACGTGAGTGTCGCTACCAACGCTGTGGGCCATCCAGCCCCCCTGGTCTGAGGCCGTGTATTCATCAACGGGCGTCGCTTCTGCATGAAGATAATCCTCCTTGAAGAAGAACGAATAAGGACTCAACAAACAGCAGGGGAAGTATCGCTCCTGCAGCTACAGGTGCGGGCAACCAATTGTTGTTGGAGATTTATGGACCCTTGCGAAGCGACCTTGCGTCCAGCTTGCATCCAACACAACGAACAGAACCAACACGATCAACAAGATACTGCCATCATCCTGCTATCGTTGTGGACTTCTATTTCGATTCTGGGCGAACAAATTGAGTACGACCTCGGTATTTCTCTGCAAGAGGATTTTGCGATTAGCTAACTTTTTGGGAGCCCCAAATGCTCAAGGGAACTCAAGCAACATCCAACATCCATTGTGCCGTTCATTTAGTATGGCTTCCCATCGCCGACTTCAGAGCGGGGCTGCATCTCTGACGAAAATCTCTCACCGTAATACGAGACGTCACGAAAATGGCGCGAATTGCGGTTGATATCAATATTGACACTTGCCACGGAGTTGCTCAGCCTGTTTTACTCTCGTTAAGATCATGGAGCTTTCAATGATAGAAGCAGAAAACCTCAATATCGCTGTATTTGTTTCCAACGGGCTTGTTCCAGCTACTCGTCCCAAATCGCAGTGACGACTTCACCTACGTGATCTATGTGAGCAACAATAGACCCGAGCTTTCCAGTGTCCATAGCCCTCTTCATGATTGCCACTCGAGACGAGGTCTGCAAACAGCGACCAGATCCCCCTTCTTATTCATTTTGAAATGTCTCGGCCATATTCCTCCCGCAGGTGCTAATTGTACAAAGGACAAGGTGCCATTTTCCAGGGGCTTGAAAACGGCGAAAGAGTCTGAAGGCTCTTGTGTCTGATTGTTCGAGTTGAGATTGGGTGTTTGGAAAGACGAATCATTGCGATTGGAGGCAATGATGAATGTGTTGTCAGGCTGTAGACTCCATTGTCAGCTGGATGGAGCCATGTCATGTTATGACCAAAGAGCCGGATTTGTTTACAGAAACCTCAATCTCCGCCGCAATTCCATTGAGAGCTGCCGGTGCGGAGCCGTACGAGCTGATGATACCAACCTGCTCAAAAGCAATGACGCCTGTAGATGGATATGTGACACGGAATGATGTGATGGTGCTGTCGAGTTCAGCTGGAACATGTAGATACAGAGGGCCTCCTCGGGTGAAATTCGCATTCGGTGCCCAGAACACGCCGTGACGCGGACCTGACCCCGAAGGCCACTGTATGTGTCTATCTCGGTCAAGAGATTTGTGACTTTGTCGAAAGAGTAAATTCGAAGAAGGTCAGAACCAAGATCCAACACAACAATCAACTCCCCAGTCAGGTCTAAGATTGCATGATGAGGGCGGGGTACGCTCTGCGTGGACTTTGGTCCTGCAAGCGACGTGTATACAAACGTCTGATTCAAGCTGATTTGACCATTGGAGGGTGCGTTCCATGTTGTAACACAGCTCCCAGCCCTTGTAGTCAGTGTCAGTGTCAGCACCGGTGTCTTGGGAAGAATCAAAAGGTGAATGGCCTACAGGTGAGCAGCAACCATTCCCCTATTCTCGCCGATGTTATAGAACGTGCTGCTGACGGGGCCGATGGTTGTGTTTTCGCTCGCGATTGGTGTCAATCTCCCGTCTTGCGCCACGTTGAAAGTGTTCACTTAACTAGGTCTGTGTAGACAGTAGAGAACATGATGAGGCTTGTCAAGTTTTAGCCATACTGCTTGTGGGCCGCAAGAGTTCGCAACATAAGTTTGCTCCAATTCGTAGCGACCATCCTCGTGAGACAGCTTCAAAGAAGTCAGGGGCGCCATCATTGGCTCCTGAGAAAAGGTTGACGATGCTGGTGCAGGCTACCGCGACGAGGGAAACGATTAGATATCTTGCGATCATGATTTCAAGAGTATAGCCTCTTTTATCTAATTTAGCTCCTGAGTATGTCATTATGTCTAATGTGGTCTAAAGAACTTGAGCGGTGAGTCTTTCACATCGATTCTCCGAGCTTGCTTTCTTCCTATTCAGATCCAAGTCCCGTTACGACGTGCCAAGTACAGAAGCGGCAAAATCAGCAGAATATGCCAAGAATTGATACGTCAGCCTATCTACTGATACGAGAGAGACGATCTTCTGGCGAAGTTGAACCTCAAACAGGTACTCAGCAATGGGTTCGGAGTGCTTGTCTTGTGTTCAATTCCTGCACTGTTTGATACTCACACTCTGAGTTGAATCAGTCACTCATGACGAACCAAGACTCACTCATTCCATCTTGCCCTTCCTGGTCACCCATACGATAGTACAGAGGCTGAGGAAAAGTTTCTGTGAAAATCATTCAGGATGTCAAAGTGTGCTGTTGCTACCCTCCATATCTCAGCACAATGACGTTTGATGATTTTTAGTGAAAATTCACCTACCCAAGCGGAAAATTGGTCTCATCAGTTCATTCATCCTATCTCGTTGAGGCGTCCTAACCCCGGCACGTCAGCAGGTTGCATATGATGTAGTTCCACTTAAACATTAGCCCCGATCATTTTTAGCTTCCCTGATCCGGTTCAGCCACCACAAAGGTCGTAGAGCCGAACAATGGCCGGACTACCCTGAGCTTCTTCCGTGGATTCAATTGTCACCGACAGGTCTTGAGTGCTTCCATAGTACCCAGTCCCAGACGTCATCGCGTCATTGGACGAATGCAAAATCCTTTCGGCGACCGACAACGTAGTTGCTGATCACGGCCTGGATCTAAGCTTCATCCTAAGTAGGTCGTTGAGACCCTGGTTCTGAGCCGTTGCGGGTGAGGGGTTTCATGCAACCTGCTGACACTCTTGAACTTTGACAACATTACATTCCTGGCGAGAGACACCACGTTGAATAGACCCCCGAAAAACCCGACTTCCGAGCTTCCATTGCGGTTCCCTTCTCTTCAGTTCGCCGCACTTGTTCACGAATGTCTTCACGGTCATCTCATGACTGTATTCATGGTTGGAAGTTGGCGTGTGGCTCTCACCTTGTAACTTAGATCCAAGACCGGCAGTATAATCCAGGAGACACCCTCTGTCGGACACGCCTATTTGACTAAACAACATCTACGGGAGGAGCCGCACAACGGGGCTTTGCGCTAAAACATGATCGGCATCCGCCCCCTTTCCTCGTCCTGGGTTCCATGGATTACTATCTAAACGTGTGGTTCTTTCTGCAGTGTCGTCTTCTGCATCATCATGCATCCAGTCACTTTTGAGATGAGCTCCATTTAGGAGCTCCTTGGCAGGCCGCGTGGATGCGACTTCGGGCTTGACCCATTTGTGCAACATTCGGCGGTGACATTTGGCAAGGCACTTACGGATGCCTGTCCGGACGTAGCATGTTGATTCCGATGCTGAGTCGCCCATAAAAATAGGCAGTTGAAGAGCATCTTCTTAGTGTCAATTCAAAAGCCCGTGGGTTGCGCGGGGTCCACTTGATAGCCCTGATCCCGCATGACGACAGTCTTTTTTGCCGCTTGCATATATGAAATGGATCCCAGCCTGAGCTATCAACATACAGCTATATCCAGCTTCTTTCCTAAAGCAGCAGCTCGATGTGGATTGCTACGATACCTTGTATGCTGGTGACGAAGTATCATCGACATCAATCAGGCCCCCGAAGACACGGGCTTAGTGCAGTGACTTCGTTTGGACATAGATAAATGCAGCAACGATCCTTCGAAGTGAATCGAATATTCCTCACACTCATTCCATTCATTGTTCAGACTGAGAATTCTTATCCAGAAATCGTTACCATGGCAATCGGGTTCATCCTCGGCCTCCTCGCCCAGACACGATTGGGTTTTGCGTCTGAAACCTCGATAACTGCGGGCTGCAGTCAAGCAGTGAGATATCCTCATAATCATGAGCCCTCTTAAGACTTCCCTGTACTAATCGATCCGCTAGTGCTCTCAACTGATGGAGGAGTTCGGCTCTGCCGTCCATTTAGGTAGTAACGATCCCTCCTTCGCGATATGGGACATGAAGCAGCAGGAGGTCCTCCCCGCCTGCCGCGTAGAGCCGACCACCGCGTCTCAGGTCTCGAGAGTCGTCGAGATCACTGTCAACAACTGGTGTCGCTTCGCAATCAAAGGCGGCGGACACATGACAAATCTGGATGCCTCCAACTCAGTCGGCGGTATCACAATTGACTTGCACCTCATGGACCACATTGAGATCTCAGAAGACCGCACCAAAGCTAATCTCGGACCTGGTCATGTTCTTCGCGACGCTTATTTGGCATTGGAGAAGCATAATATCACGATGGTAGGCGGAAGAACTGCGGATGTTGGACTTCCCGGTTTCACGATCGGCGGTGGACTCTCCGATCTTGGACCGCAATACGGCTTGGCTGTGGATAATGTGTGGGAGTATCAAGTAAGCACCTCGACTTTATAGGGAACACACGTTATGTTACCTTCCAGCAAGTTCTGAGCTAACTCAACATAAAACAGCTTGTGCTGCCCAATGCCACCGTTGTCAATGTCTCGGAAACTGTCCACCCAGACCTGTACTTTGCTTTGCGAGGAGGTGGCAATAATTTCGGCATCATAACCAACTTTCGTTCGCGGCTTGTACCGCAAGGACAGAAATGGGGTGGTGCAAGGACCTACCATACCAACTTCACCGACCAGCTCGTTGATCAGTCTTATCAACTTGCGACCAACTTGGCTGCCGACACGTATATGTCCTTCTGGACTCGCAACTCTTACGATGTTGCCAACGACCGATTCAGCATAAGCGTCTCGCAAGCGTACTATGAGCCTATCGTTGAACCACCCGTCTTCACTGAGTTGAACAAAATTCCCTATGAGACGAGCAATCTTCGAGTCGATTGGATGAGCAACCACAGTCTCGACAGCGTATCTCCGCATGGACTACGGTAAGCCGACCTCCAGGCCCTCAGGACTTCTGCTGGCCCATTAAGACAAGTTCTAACTAGGCGGTAGCCGTGTCTATGCTTCTATCACTTTCCGCCCTTCCCGTGTTTTGCACAAGCATTTGATCAACATTTACTCGGAAGAGGTTGAGGGTGTTAAGACCACACCAGGTCTCTCGTCCTCACTTGTTGTTCAGGCCTTGCACAAAAATGCTATCGATGCCATGAAAGTCAGAGGAGGGAACGCTCTCGGCGTCGTGTCCGATGGCCCGCTGATGAGTATGCTTTCCGTCATTTTCCTTACCTCCTACATCCTATCTATCAAAGCGGAACACATGCTGACTGTCCTTACCGCCAAAAAGTTGCGCTTCTCACTCTTGGATGGTCTAACTCGGAGGATGATGCGGCCATGTACGCCTATGCCGACCGAATTATCAATCGAGGCAAGGCAGAAGCCGAGTCGATGGACTTACTGCATCCTTGGCTGTACATCAACTATGCGAATCACAATCAAGACCCATTTTCGGGATACGGAGAGAAGAATAAGAACAGGCTCCGAGAGATCCAGAGATCAATTGACCCGCGGGGAATCTTCACTTCCCAAGGCCTGGTTAGAGGATCTTTCAAGCTCAACTGAGTCTTGTTAAGGTCTTCCCAATTCACAGGCTACCTACCTTAGATAGAATGATAGGTTTCAACAGACGCCTTCAGAAACGCGTGCTCTATGTACATAGACGGATCTTGAGTCTAATTATAATGAAAGGCGATATGTCTCGGCTGGACTCAGCTAAATGCCGCTGTTCCAATCTCAGAGTACGACTCAAAGATACTTGTGTCTTGGACAGATCGTCATTTCACATATACCAGTTCACGAATGGACAGAAACAGTGGCTCATGCCCCGCGTTTGAACGAGCAGGTCGTCATAGAATGAGGCACGACGTCGATTGCTGCCGACATTTGTGACGCCTTAAGGCACAAAAATTGAACGCGGCTAGCCGGATGTGACCATTCGGATGCAGTGTGGTCATGCCATCGTGGCCGGGCCGGTAAAGTTTTAGGTGGTCGGAGCCTGCCGGGCCGGTTGACCCACATCATATGGGGCCGGGCCGGCCGGGGAGTGAGGGAATTCCCGCGCCATTCCGCGCGCATGATGGGATAGAAGGGCAACCTGGAGTAATCATGACTAACAGAATAGAGCCGAGGATGATTGTCGACTAATCGAGCCCAACTGCACTCATAGAGTGCCGACTGAGGGGAAGTTGCTTCATCTGCGGGGTTGTATTTAAACTGCCCTCCGTAGTCCCGAGGCATTCACTAGCGCCAATATCTCCTGCATGAGCCTCGGTGGGTTTGATGCACGACCGGCAGCCGGATCGCCGTCGATTCGCATCCCCGCAATGCTCCGAAGCTCGGCTGAGATCGCTGCGAGAATGGGGTGATTTAACAAGAGTAAGGGTTTCGCAAATATGGCCAACGACGAATCTGACGGCGGGATATATAAGAACAAATCTCCGTGTTGAAGCGTCTCAAACTAGCTGTTCCACTTTTCTTTTCCCCTCTCAGCAGATTACCAGAGGCCAAAGATAAGTGCGCATCACCTCACCCAAGGCACAAAATGGCAGACGTCTTCGCAAAGCTCCAGGACAAGAGCCTGCTGGTCTCTTCCGGTCTCGTCGCCGGCGAGTGGAAGAATGGTCAGGATGGCAAGACCTTCCCCGTGTACGAACCGTCAAGCGCAACGGTACTTCAAGAATGCGCCAACTTGAGCCGACAAGACTTCATCGATGCCATTGAGAGCGCTAAGAAGGGGTCAGCCAAGTTTCACGAGTCAACAACAGCAAAGGAACGAGGCGCCCTACTCAGGAAATGGTTCGACTTGGTCATTGCTAATGCTGACGACTGTGAGTGGTTTTGCAGCAGGAGGCTCATGCTAAGGAATTGATGCACTAACGCGCACCCAGTGGCTCTGATTCTATCTTTGGAGAATGGCAAGACCTTTGCCGAGGCCAGAGGCGAGGTCGTTTACGCCGCCTCGTTCATCTCTTGGTTCGCTGAAGAAGCGACACGGTCATATGGCGACACTATCCCTTCATCCTACGCCAACACCACCGTCTTGACCTTCAAGGAACCCGTAGGTGTCTGTGGAATCATCACCCCCTGGAACTTTCCCGCAGCCATGATCACCCGCAAGATCGCCCCGGCCTTTGCGGCGGGGTGCTCAGTCATCATCAAACCACCAAGCGAAACACCATTCAGCGCTCTGGCTCTGGCCAAGCTGGCGCTCGCTGCTGGAATTCCGTCAGATATCATTCACGTGGTGCCGACCAAGGACAGAGAGGCGTCGATGGAGCTCGCCAACAACCCTATCGTGAAGAAGCTCAGTTTCACTGGATCGACTGGGGTCGGCAAGATGCTCACCAAGGTTGCGGCGGGTACGATGAAGCGTGTGAGCATGGAGTTGGGTGGCAATGCCCCGTTCATCGTGTTTGATGATGCGGATATCGACCAGGCGGTTGAGGGTGCTTTAATTTGCAAGTTCAGATGTTCCGGTCAGACATGCGTGGTAAGTCCATCTCAATGCGACAACGTCCAGGTTACCCGACTGACAAACATTCTCAGTGCGCAAACAGGTTGCTCGTCCACGAGGCGGTCAAGGACCAATTCATCGAGAAACTCGTAGCCCGCGTAAATCAGTACAAACTGGGCCGCGGAATCGACGAGGGCATCACACAAGGCCCCCTTGTTAACGCCGCCGCCGTCCAAAAGGTCGACGCCCACGTCCAAGACGCGCTGAAGAAGGGTGCCGTTCTCCACACGGGCGGCAAGGTACCAGAAGGTCTCAAGGGGTACTTCTACGAGCCTACGGTGATCAGCGGGGTCACGACCGACATGGAGGTCGCACACGATGAGACCTTTGGCCCGCTGGCGGCCATTTTCTCCTTCAAGACGGAGGCAGAGGCCGTGGAGCTGGCGAATGCTACAGAGTACGGCCTGGCAGGCTACTTCTTCAGCAAAGATATTTCCCGAGTCATGCGCGTGGCGAGACGGTTGGAGTGCGGCATGCTGGGCGTCAACACCGGCCTCATCAGCGCGGCGGAGGCACCGTTTGGTGGTGTGAAGGAGAGTGGACTTGGCCGGGAGGGTAGCAAGTATGGACTGGCAGAGTATCAGAACATCAAGTCTGTGACGATTGGCAACCTTGGATTTAACTAAGAGTCATGCATGTTTGCTTCTGATAGTGGGCAAATCCGGGGTTTGGGTTGGGCGTTTCTTCTGATGACATAGTCTGCGGGATGGTATATTGGCACAAAACAAAAATGTCGAGGTTCTGATTCAAGTGTTTATCCCATCTTTGCGCCGTTTGATACAGCATGATGACGTCCGTTTCCACAAAGTTGCTCCCCGCGCTGATCTTCCCATGCACAGACGAAGCTAGAATCAGCCTACCCCATGCTGCTGCCACGCATGTTTTCCTGATTGAACTTGGTTGAAAGCTCTAATTAGACTCTTTGCGAGCAATTAAAAGAGATGTGGTCAAAAATCTAATCTCCCTGAATGATTTCATACAATCTCCCGGAACTCTGCACAAAACTCCAGACGCAACCTTTCCCAAACCATGCACCCGTCCAAAAGCACCGCAGAAACAAGATTCCCTATCCCATAATCTCATTATCACACCAATGATGCAGCCGACCTTTTCTATCCAGCTATGACAACTCCAGTCTTATTAGCTTGCTTTTCCAGATATCCCCGATGCTCCGGTTGAATAACAACCAACTCCGTTTTTGTTACGCCGGCGGCCACTGCGCCCTTGGCCAGCTCCTCTTCTATCCTCTTCAAACATTGGTTTGCGGGAGATGGCTTATGTACAGTCAAGAGCTTGACGGCGCCAATGGCCTTCTCCAAAGACTCCACATTTCCTCTGTATGATTCGCAAGGGCTCGGCAGGGTAATGTCGACCTTTCCCTTGGCGAGACACCTCACCAGTGACCCGAGAAGCATGCTGTTGCACTCCTCGGCGTCTGGTGAGCTGTGGTAGTAACCCTTCATGTATCTGCATCCGTCTTTGAGACATCGGTAAAGGAGGACAAAGTGGTCCAAGTAGGCCGATACTAATGCCTGGCGGTGCTTGGCGATGGTTTCTGTTGGTTGTCTTGTCAGTGGTTTGACTACATGACGGAGAAGATTGGCACAGAAAACCTACCAAAAACTTCCGGGGGCCGAAGGTAGACAATCTTTTCGAGAGGAAAGTTGTATCCCTCTGGCCCGGGCTTCCAGATGCGCGCCAAGTGTCCAAATACGATCCTCCCTTGCAGGTCAATCATTGACTCGTAGGTAATCTTCTTGTACATGGTCGCAAAGACCTCGGTGTCTCCTAGCTCCCACGCAACGCATAGTAGGTGCGCATTGTCGGTCTGGTGCTTGACGCCCTGCATCCACGAGCGCGCCCATGGGCGAACGATGACGGTCATGTCGTACTTCTCCGTGATTGTGAGGACGTTGTAGAGACGCATCAATGGTAGCTTTTCCGGAACGAGGTTGAAGTGACCGTGAACGATGTTTAGTACGATTTCCATTGCTTCTGGCGAGTCCTCGGGCAGCTCGACGGACCACTCTCCGGCACCCTCTAGCGGGCGGGACTCCAAAAAGCGACCGAATAACATGGCCTTGAGGACAGGGGAGCTCCGACCAAGTGCCCTTGAGCAAACGACGAAATCTTGTGGGTGGTCTTCAACGTCGCCGCCGATGGAGAGTCTCAGGTCGCCGTTGTCATCGAGGTAAATTGTCGGCGCTGAACCTAACTGAGCCACTTCCTGTGTTGGTTCCGTCACTTCTGTGATCTCAGTCACCGATTCCGTTACCACCACAGTGGAGGAAGCCATCTTGCTGGTGATGACAGCTCCATCGAGGGTATGATAAGGCAAGGAGAAGGAGGCGCCCCCGAAGAGGCTGTTGGCCGGAGCTGTTGAACACATCGCGAATGTGCTATAAGATCATCTGAGGTGTCGTCCAAAGAATTCTGCCCACAACAGACCCCGTGAGAACGAAAGAGCGACGGGATCGCGCTCAGTTTATCATTGTTTGACGGACGCGCGAGATCTAGGGTATCACACACTCGACGAACGGACCGGGATGTCGTCGCTTCGGCAGAGGCATAAAGGGGACCGCAGATCACAACGTTGATGCTCCGATGTCATGACTAGTCTTTGTTCGGGAATCGGTCCCCTCTTTTTTCTAACTTTAGGCGAGATATGGGGGGACGGCGCAAGTTTTTGGGACGAAAGGTATCTTAAACAATGCGTTATACCTGTTGGTCCCAATGATCGTTTGCTGCCCGACCGGGCGAAAGACTCACGAGGCATGAACCCGTTGAGTGTCAAGGCATGTACACAAATGACAGTAATTAGGAAGGGAAATACATGTCATGGAAAGGGAAGAAAGCAAGCTGCCCTCTCACAAACGACGGTGCTCCAGCGCGGGTGCGACCCCGGGAGCCTTGGAAAATCGTAATATTGTCGCTTTCAAGAAAATCCGGGTTCTTTGTGAGATGCAAACAAGGAACACGGTGGAACGGAGGTCGGAACAAGCAAGATGTTGAAAAGCAGGGCAGAAAAACGGCGTTCGGACCCTTGCTCGGCCAGGATGGTGGCCCCTTTGGTTCCCGTTACGCCAGGGCGGTTATGTGGGTGTTGTGGTCCCTTGCTTCCGTACCACATTGCAAACAAAAGAGGCCTGGCGATGAAACCCCGGGCGGCTATCCTGACTCGGGAGCCCTGGTGTTATTGCAACAACTCTTGCGACGAAGAGGCATAGCTTGGTGTGCGAGGTTGGTTTGGCAGCACGAGCCGATGTGAGACCTTTTTAGACCTCTACTCTGCCGGATTGCAAAACGTGGTTGTCGTCATTGCACGTTTCCCGGCAAACCCTAACCGTCCTGAACTTTTTGATATGTCACCCCCCTCTTGACTGGAGTTGAGTCCGAGGTCTCCCAGCCCATGAATCGTCAACATTTCGCGCCGCCTTGGAAGTCCACTCGCAAAATGACTTTGGTACCTGAGTCCGGGCTACCCTGGACGAGTTTCTATATAGAAATCTTGTCAGCCCGAAAGTTGGAATATCTAGGAACGGGTTGACCCCCGCAACCCCCGCCTTCAGGGTCCTACACACCACAATGGGAATCGTATCATTTCCTACTTGAGCCGGCAGGGCACCCCTCCATCTGCAGACTGTCCCAATTGAACTCCGAGCTTCCCTGCGCAAGTGCCGTCCGTCTCCAAGGCACGCGACACTAAAGAATTTTGACTGCGAGCTTGGCTGTTAGCGCCGTTCGGGCGGCGGACCCGAATTCTTGAAAGTAGCGTGATATTCCAGTGAGAGTCGCTGACTTGAGAATGCGACCTTCCCTACAGGACGGCATTGAAGCCAAGTTTTCTACCTCGCCTTCTTTTTTGACTTCGATAATCTCGGTGAGCCGGCTCGGAATCAAGGCAGCGCCAGTGTTCCCTGTTTGTTGTGTCCCGGTCAGCATGACTGACCTCTTGCGTCCCCACAAATGTGCACGACATTCTTCGTTTCCACATGATTAAGGCTGTGTATTGTGCACTAGGAGGTCCCGATGTGGAGATGTCCCCAGAGGTCAAGGGACGAAAGGGGGGCTACGGGGAAGACGTCCACTTACACAGCTCTCCTCTCCATCTTCTCGCATCGTAAACTTGGCAGAGAAGTACAGGAGATTCGGTAGATGCTTTTCCCTGGTGGATCACAACAGCTTCTGCTCCCTCCTTTGTTTTGACGCGCTCCAACGCGCCAGGATCGTCTGGTCTCAATTTCAACGACCCCTTACACTGCTTGTGTTGTAGTCTACGGTCTACCGAGACCCTCGGACCGACGGGTTTGAGGAAGAGGGTTGGGCGTTGAGTCGAGTCGCACAACCCTTACTCACGACGTGCATTCAGACATCATTCATAGAGCACAAGGCCGGCTAGTAATACGACCTCCTTGGTGAAGTCGACGGCGAAGGCACCAGGGGTTTGAAGGTTATTCACAGCAGACCAGTACTAGTCAGCTTGTCCATCTTGTGAGCAGGAGTTCTATGCAGCGGGATGAGAGTTCACCTCAAAGTATTCGTATCAGATGGCGCGACCACAATGTGGTGCCGAGCACAGCAGATTACTTGCAGCTATCGTTCTGCGTCTCACTCTTCTGCTTTGTGCCTGGCGTCCCGCTTGAAGTCTGTCCACCTTGCCTCAATGGTTACAAGACACGCGGCTAAATTTGCCAGCCTACTTACTCAAGTATACTCACCAGTCCACAGCGATTGCAACCCTGTACTTTATTCATCTAATCATGTGGTGCATCCGAATGATGCTGAGATTCATATTCAAATTTCCAAACATTAGGTAGGGGGCATAGCATCTTTGGAGAATCATTCTTGACAGCTTGAAGAAACGCCGTTTACCTGCTTTGTGTTACGCCAGCAAGCGACGGCAACTCGCATGATGGCGAGGATCACAGATATCTGTTTGCAATCGCCCTGAGCCAGTGCATCTTTGTGCTTCTACCGGAATGACGTCTCGTGTGGAACTGAGGCTAGCGAAAAGTCTCATCAGCAAGATGCCTTGCCATCGTTATTCTTCTCTCTTGGACAACCTATGAGGTCGTTTTGATCACACACTATTAGGTTCCTCTCACTACAGCCATCCAAGGCCCGGATAAACAGACATCTGAAACCACGCGAAGCTGGCAATGTTGATGAGGTCTGCATACTCATCCTGCAGAAAAGACGTTGCAAGCTGCAGCTCAGCTACCCCAGCTGGTTACCTTACACTGCAAGGTCGACACCAAAGAAAGGGTCATCTCTGGGTATGCGTAGCGATGCGGGGGATCTGTAGGGACATGGGCATATGTCACTGTATGTTTGCCAGGCTCCAGTTTTTCCCGGGTCGTCTGCGTATTAATGATCGCCTCGCTTAATTCATTGGTGTTACCTGAGTTTGAAATCAGCCTTTTCGTCCCACTTGAAGTGAGACTGTAAGAAAGATGGCATCGGGTAGGTGAATGGCAGGTTAATTTGAACTCCGAGTTCCTCGAGCTGGGGTTACAGATGAGATATGATGCCAGAAAGACCCTTGTCACTCGTCAAGGCATTGGAGGTATTCAGAAACTCTTTGTCTTTGGCTTTTCATCTTTCGGTCAATTACACTCATGAATCCATAGCTTGGCCTTCTATTCCGTCAGCCATAACCAAGAGGTACAGAAGGTAGGCAAGGACAAGACCTTTACCAAGATGCAGCAAAGCTACGATCCCGGGACTTTCAAGCAACAAACATTACATCATCTGGCTTGAGATCGAATTGTGATGTGTTCCGCGGACTCGGTCCTTTTCAAAATGGTGGGTGGCTAATACAAAGAAACTTGACGGCAATCAATCAGACACTTGGATCGCAACAAGACCGTGGAGGAGGTCGATTTAGAGACTTATGATGCAATGCGATCACGAGAATATCAGTGAATCTTTTATTCGTAAACCGCTGACGTTTATTGAGAAAAGAAATAACCTTCCCTCCATGTGCTGTTTGCCTGTCAGAGTTTCCAAAAACCCCTTAGTGAATGTGTTGATACCTGTGACGGTACGTACCTAAGCAGTTAGATGTGGTAAGTTCAGACTTAGGAGAAGCATGTCATCCTGTGCAACACGCCAATAAGCCTCCCTTCATTTCAACAGAAACAACATCTCTAAAACGTCAATAACCCCATCTGACAGTCATGAGCGCCATCACGAGCCTATCAAAATTCGTCAAGCCTCAAGGCAGACAGTGGATGAGCGTAGCCTCAATTGAAGTTGAGGTGCCTGGTGCCTGATGGGAGGCAACCATAGGGGGGCTTTGGCCTCAGGGCGGCTGTGAGTGGCTGAGAAGGTTAAGCGAGACGGCAGTCCCACTGTAACGTCCTTGCATTGGCCCGTGCCCAGCTGTCGGCAGTGACGTGCGTTTAGGCTCGATCAAAGTTCCCTCTCGACACGGTAGACGGCCCATGCTCAACCATCCCTCAACCATCTTGGGATTTCTATCGATCAGGAATCTAGGAAAATTCCGAAAAAGCCTCCTACAATTGTATCATGGCAGACTCAGTCCTGGATTGGTCTCGAACTCAAAAATGTACTTCGCTTCCCACCAGAACTCTCGAACTATCAATCACAGGTTACTCCGTCGAGGATAAGACGCCACCATGGCTGCAACGGTGCTCTCTGGTCGGCTTTGACTCACCGGCATCTGGGGCTGAGTAGTCCTAGATCCCCAAAATCAGCACGTACGCACAGTACCTTTGCCTTTGCAGATAGATCGGATCAGCCACTAGGACAACGCCGAGGCCAATCTCATGCCCCATGGGCCGCGAACCAATATGCCTCGAGTCCTATCATCTGCACCATTGTCGAGCCTGATGCAGCTTATGTGGCATGAGCTGTCAGGCTTCAGGCTCCAACATCAAAGCAATAAGGCTTCCATTTGAAAAGCGGTTGATCTGCTTGCTTCATCCCATCTCGTATCTAACCAGCTTCTCTCTCCCTCTCTCTACTCAGTCTGCATCCTCGGCCATAGATACTCCACCATATCCCTTCATAGCGCGAACGAGTCGCCAATATGCATCTGAGCGACATTCGCGACGTGTTCGACAAGGAGAACCTCTCGGAAAAGGCATGGCAGTTGCGTTGCAAGCTTCTTCCCCACAAAGAAGAAGTTGGGCGTCCCATTTCCGATATCGAGGGGAGTCTCTCCGACGACGACCCAAAGAAGCAGCAGTCACCCAAAAACCCCACCTTCGGCGTCGATGCCACCGTCAAGACCTACTATGAGGGCAAGAATAGCTGCAATGGCATTTACGACTGGGTCGACTTTCCTCCCAAGCAGATGAGCAAGAAGGCCGCCGAGAGCCAAGACCGGCCCGCCATCAAAGTCTACAAGATCAAGGACATCGAGAAACCCATCATGGCAGGGCGGTACTCCTTGACCTATCACCAAATCGCTATCCAGAACCCGACTCTCGTCGCTGCCCTGGAGCCCATCTTCAAGAAGGAAGATGTTCACCTCGACCCTAGCGATACGGCCACCTTTGAGGCCCCGTTCCGACCTCTCTTCTTTTGCTATGATGAGATCCTAGACCTGTACAAGTCGACAGACGACAGCTCGCTCAAGGGGTATTTGCAGCTCCTGGTGCGGACCCTGGACGACATGCTAGGCGAGACGCGCGAGAAGAAGCGCAAGCTCCAGGCCAGCGGTCTGATCAACTTCAAGATGGCTTGGACTTACTTTCCGCGAAACTCCGTCGTCTACAGCAGCGCCCAGAACACGGAGCTGTTGTGCAAGGTAGAAGATACATCATACGAGAGGACTGATCGGGGCGTCTTCCTGAACATCAAGTGCAAGATTCTCACTTTCAATGGGGAGAGCTTTGTGTGGTCCGACCAAGAGCTCCATATCCCCAAGTTCTCGGGGAACCGGCCGATACTAGAGCTCAATCACTACCCTCTGCAGTTTCACCTGAACAAAGAAGAACTACTCCAGAGAATCCTCACGAGGGGCAAGAAGGTCTTGAATCTTCAGGGGTTGACGTATTGTACCTACAACGGCATTGCCATGGGCCCGAAGAGCAAGCACAATGTAGAGGGCAGAATCCTCATTGATGTTGTCGGGTTCAACAAGTACGAACGGACTCAGGGCAAGAGAGAAAACGACGACGCCGAGACGCGACGGAACCGTGTGACCAAGAAGCGCATTCTCTACGATGATCACGGCGAGCCAGAATTTGAATCAGAGGCGAAGGAGAAGAAGCCAGAGGTCAAAAACGGCAGACATCTCGGGGAGAAGGCGCAGTTGAAGAACAAAGAAGAGATGCTCGCTCGTCCGGACGACCTCGTCTTCATGTCTCCACTGATTGAGGGGTTCGCCTTGAAGAACAAGCTTTGGCGTACGTTGCTCATCTCGAAATTCCAAATTCAATTTATTAACATGTACAGTTGGTTTCTACGTGGAGGATATCGAGCCCATCGTCTGGAACGCCCAAGCATACGACCATCTAGTCTACGACGAGCAGCAAAAGGACCTGGTCCTGTCCTTCGTCGAGAATCACGGCCACGCAAACAAGAGCGCGATGGAAGATGTCATCGTTGGCAAAGGCCAAGGCCTCATCATCCTCCTCAGCGGCCCACCGGGAACTGGCAAGACACTCACAGCCGAAGCGGTCGCAGACAGAAATCAACGCCCGTTGTTCTACCTGCAGGCCGAGGACCTCGGCATCAACCCATCGACGCTAGGCGAGAAGATCAAGCGGGTATTCGAGATGGCGACCGAATGGAACGCTGTGATTCTACTCGATGAGGCAGACGTGTTCATGGCGGAGCGGAACCCCAACGACATCGCGCGCAACGAGCTTGTATCGATCTTTCTACGCGAGTTGGAGTACTTCCGGGGAATCATCTTCTTGACTACGAACCTGTACAACACCATCGATACAGCGTTTCGGAGTAGAGTGAGCTTGCACCTGTTGTTCAAGGCGCTGAGCCCGGATGCAAGGGAGCTCATCTGGCGGAAGTTTCTTGGAAGGCTATCTCAGCAAGAACTAAGTGATGAAAGGAAAGGCCCGAGGAAGTTGCTCTCGGACGAGGATATCAAGGAGCTTGGGCATTGGCAACTCAATGGCCGTGAGATTAAGACGGCTGTCAAGATGGTGTCTAAGTGGTGCGATCACAAGAACTATGAAATGAGTCTGGCTAGACTGGAGAATGGCATTCGGGTGACGAGTCCCCATGCTTCGAAGCAAAAGGAGTCGGATGAGGACGATGATTTGTATAGTTAACATGGCTGGATAGGAATAACCTTGGATATCATGGTCCGGTTAATTTTACGTACCGCAGCACACTGCTTAATGCTTTCCTTTCCTGTTGACTTGAACAATCGGAGCTTCTCCATAGACGCTTCCGAATCTGGGTGCTGGAGGTCCATAGGTGCACCTTCCCTCAGTTAGCGCACAAAGTACCCGGCGCCGGCCCCACAATCCACTAAATCAACTTCGTCTCAAGGACAACGTCCCACGGATACGTCTCCCTTTCACCCCAACAACACCATACGAACAATCCGGCCCATTTCCCCGGATATCTCATTCGTGGCACAGATATCTTGGCAGAGACTTTCCAGCTTTTCCAGGAAAGATGACAAACATGGACGTCGATTCATCACCCAATCGACGACCCAACACCCGCACCTTGGCCAGCCCACCAGCTGGGGGCACTTCGACGCCAACGACAGCATCCAGACGCTTCCGTTCGGCTTCTCAAGCCGAGGCTGCTCGCACATCCAATGCGTGCCAGATTTGCCGGGACAAGAAGGTCAAGTGCTCTGGTCAGCGCCCGTGCAAGTATTGTGCCAAGCGGGGCCTGGATTGTGTGTTTTCCGCTTCGGAGAAGAGGAAACTGTATTCCGTCTCGTACGTTCTGCCCCTGGTCCACCTACGGTGCTCACTGTCGACGTCAAAGAAGGCGCAGAAATGGCTGAGAATGATGTTTCATGATATAGACAGATTAGGGAGCTCGAGGACAAAGTCGCCTATTATGAGCGACGAAGAGGAGAGAGGTCGGCTCTCGACGCCGCTTCTTTGACGCCCCCGGCTATAGCACCGGCACCGGCGTCGTCATCAGTGCAGCTGCACGATGTCGAAGATTCTTCGAATGAGATCACGGTAATGCATATGTATGACCATCTACATGGTAATATCCCATGCCAATCACCCGCTGCACTGGGCCAGCCTGGGCCGATAATGTCTCAGTCAACATCATCTGGCACACTTGAGAGGACGAGAACTTCCGAGGCCCAGGCCCAGACTACATCATCACCTGCTCGTACAGGTAGAGGTAAGTGCTTTTTTATATACTGTCTATGAGGCGACCTTTCGGGCCTCGGATACTGATCCCGGCGAATAGCAATCGCACCCGAGTCCGCCCTCTCCTCAAGCGAGACCTTCGGGTCCGAGATCAAGACCCTCCTCGTTTCCCGCTCCAACCCCGGCTCCACCGCCAGCCCGCGGTCCATCATCAACGCCGCGACTCCGCTTCCGCATATTGACAGACGCGCACTAGAGATCGCGATCGGAAGTCAGTGGCCGCCGGAAGAGGAGGCCCACGCGATGCTCGACATCGTCATCTTTAACGTTGGTATTTCGCAGCAGCTTTTTGACGTACGTGCCTTTTCGGACAATCTGTCCGTCTTGTACCACGACTCCAGTGCCGATGTGCGGTTGACAGAGACTTGGATTGTGGAAGCACTGCTTGTCTTTGCGGTCGGGAGGCTACTGCAGGGACGGGATGATGAGGATGGAGAGCTTCCGGGGACGATGTACTTCAGGGAAGCAATAAAGAGGACGCCTTTGCTGAGTGATTTGCGGAAGCATGGGACTATTGGGGTGGAAATCATGGCTTTGACCGCATTATACCTTCAAATTTCGGATCGGAAAGATGATGCATATCTGCATGTAAGTTGAGCCCAAATTGGAGCCCTGGAGTTGCAGCTGCTGACGTGTGTAGTCTAATACTGCCTTACGACTAGCCATCAGCCATGGTATGCATCGATCCAATAGTTCTCAGAATCCACGCCGCTCGGAAAATGTCCACCGGAACAGGTTATGGTGGTCCATCTACATGCAAGAAAGGTACATCCCCATCATGAGGCCATGCACCAACGTCAAGCTCCCATGCAGCTAACTTTTCACCTAGGAGGTTATGCGCCGCAGGCGGATTCCCCATGTCCATTGAAGACTACGCGATAACAACAAAGTATCCGTATGAGGTGTTGGGATTCCCATCCGCCATAGCATTGGACGTCAATGTTCAAGCGGCGAGGATAACCGGAAAAATAACCGCCAGTCTGTTGCATCGCAACCCGCATGTGCTGGAATGGGACTGACTCCATGATAGCAATCTACTCACAAAGAGACGAGCCTGAGACGACTTTCATCAATAATGTCCAAGATATTCTACACTCCTTGTACGAAGTGGAAAAGAACATGCCATCCGAGTACTCAATGGAGATCAAGCCCTCTGGGCTGACCGTTGCAGGACGTCCCTTCATGGAAGCCGCGACCACAGTCTCGAGAACTAGCTCCAGCTTACACATCTCGGTCTACTCGGTACTCGAAGGTCACTGCCTATAGAAAGAATATGTTCACTAACACATGTAGGCTGTAATACATACCGTTCGGCCAATCCTACTGTACATGGCTCGAAATAGTCGCGACCCAGATCGCGAAGACCACAGCGGTGTCAGGCCTGCACTCGTACGACTTGCAGAGATTTGTGTTGAGACAGCAAGCAAGATACTTGTCATCCTGCAAGAACTTCGGAAGAGTAAAATACTCGGTGAGTCTGGCTTTCCTTCTCCAATACGCTTCTTTTTGTTAACGGTATCTGGTACATAGCAAAGAACGCTTTTCTCGACCTAGACGCAACATTCTCCGTGGGATATGTATTTGTCCTCGTTCAGGCCATAAATCCTGGTAAAGGGCTTGGGCACCAAGGTATCGACGGATCAAGGGCCATTCTCAGGTACCTTGCCGCCCTGGGTAATCGACCTGCAGCCAGACGCTTGGCAGAACTCGACCAGATGTGTTCGCATCTCGCCCTACCTGTCTATCAATCTGGCATTCAGGCCCCCGAGGAATCATTCATGGACCTCATGGCCCAGCCCTTTTCATTCTCGACTAGCTACAGAAACAGTGATGCGGCCCCAGAAGGACCATCAACAAGTGAAGGTTCGGCAAGAGCGAACATCCAGGGACTATCATCAAGCGTCCAGGATAGCACTGATTCAACGTCGGAAGTCCATGACATGGATGGTCAGCACGACTTTGGCTTCAGTGGCGCTGACTTGGCGAGTATACCTCTGGAGGGCGAGAACAGCCTGTACTGGGTCTACCACACCCCCGGGTTCTCGTTCACTGGAGTCGAGCAGACGGATTGGGAAGCCTTAGAGAACCAGATTCCGTGGCAGCAATGATAGCTGGATCCTTCGGCCTCCAATGAAAGATAGTCCACCGCAAAGGGCCTGGTACCCGGAATCCACCTCTTCAACGTGTCCCGGTGACTTGTCAATGTGGAGAGAAGCTGTTCTAACGCGGACACGTCTAGCTCAACGCCATCAGTCCGAGCCCGAAGAACCTGACATGTAGAAGTCCTCGGGTGTAGTTCCCGAGGGCAAGTGGACCCACGGTCTCTGCCCCGGGCTGTTGCACACGATACAGCCAGCCGATAGCAGAGGACTCTGGCTTCGTATCCCGAGCAACTCGCTGAACTGCACCTTTCCAGATTGCCGGTTTGCGGAGAGTCTGGGGCAAACCCCGCAATCCTCTGAGCTCCACGATGAATCAAGCGCTTCCCCAGATAATCACCCCGGAATTGGGAGCACTAGAGGATGAGGAAGCACGCATCCCCGGGCTACTTAAGTTTCTCCTGGCTGTCGATTTAAATCTCAATTCTCCAGTCCTGAGACTTCTGACGGGACACCATCTTGTCAGGCCTCCACGCTCCATTGTACTGGGCCGAAGAATTGACACAGTCGCCGCCGACTACTTGGCCGTGCCACCTTACCGAAAGATAGCTTTCGAATTTCAACAACATTGACTTGACAGTTGGCCACTGAAGTACGACGAGATGGCGAGCACGAAAGACGATCCGCAAACCGTTATGGCTGAAGAGCTCGAGATGACCAAGAAGCAAGACGAGGAACATGTAGCATTTGAGCAAATTAGCCCCGAGGAAGAGGCTGCTCTCGTTCGAAAGCTTGACCGAGTTCTGATGCCCCTAATGGCCTTTGTCTACTTCTTCCAGTGTAAGTATCTCTCGATCAACACTCTCACAAACCTTCGGACTGACCATACCCCCTGACAGATCTCGATAAGCAGTCCATCAACTACGCCTCAGTCTTTGGTCTTCGCAAAGACCTCAGCCTTTCAGGCCAAGACTTCTCCTGGATTATATCCCTCTTCTACTTTGGCCAGCTTTGCTCCGAGTATCCCGCCGCCTACCTCATGGGCCGTCTTCCCATCACACTTTTCGTCGGCGTCACAATCATCGCCTGGGGCGCCGTCGAAATGACCCTCGGCGCCACACATAACTTCTCAGACCTTGCGGCGGCTCGATTCTTTCTGGGCTTCGCTGAAGGCGCCGTATCCCCGGCCTTCATCATCATTACATCAAACTGGTACCGCCGTCGCGAGCACCCGATCCGCGTTGCGACGTGGGTGTCCATGTCGGGTGTTTCGCAGATTCTCGGCGCGCTGATGATGTACGGTATCGGCGGCGCCGCGAAAATGGCGCTGGAGAAGTGGAGGGTGATGTTTCTTGTCAGCGGCGGGTTGACGGCGGCGTGTGGCGTTGCCTTTTGTTTGCTTATGCCGAGAGATACAACCACGGCCTGGTTCCTTAACGAGAGGGAAAGGGAGATCGCGACGCGGAGGTTGGCTCTTGATCGCGGGACCAGAGACCGCGCGGAGTTCAATACGAAGCAGATGTATGAGGCGTTGAGGCAGCCCACGACGTGGTTGTATTTCATGATGGCTCTTTGCATCACACTGACAACTCCTATTCTCAAGGTATGTAGTCCGCCTCCTCTTTGGGTGAACGCACCTAACACCTGGTAAAACAGTTTTCCTCCCTCGTCATTAACGGCTTCGGCTACTCCCCCTTCACAACAATGCTCGTCGGTCTCCCCGGAGGCGCAATCAGCTTCGTCACAATCTGGGCCAGCGCCCTTATCCCGCGATTCTTCCCAGGCACGCGAGTCTACACCTCTATCGGCCTTTCCCTCATCCCGCTCTTGGGCTCCGCCATGCTCCTCGCGCTGCCGCTGCACGGGGCAGAGTGGGGCATCGTGGCAAGCACCTGGCTCGCGGCTTGCTGCAGCGCGCTCCTGAGCTCCACAGCGTCGATGATGGCATCCAACGTCAAGGGCAACACCAAGAAGAGTGTCGTCAGTGCCGGGTTTTTTATCGTGTACTGCGTCGGTTGCATTGTCTCTCCGCAGGCTTGGACTGAAGGGGACGCGCCACGGTATACCAAGGGGTGCATACTGAGCATTGCGAGCTGGGTGGGGTTAATTATCACCTATGCTGTGTATGGAATTGTTTTGAAGAGGGAAAATGCGACGAGGGACCGGCTTGCTGCAGAGGGGAGGTATGAGTATGATGTCGGGGGCCATGATGGGGGCGCGGAGGCGGTGCAGATGGGTGTTGCGGTTGATTCTGATTTGACGGATGTGCAGGACAAGGCGTTCCGTTATAACTTGTGAGACTGAGCGCGAGATGTGCATTTCTTTCCGAGAATTGATGGAAGATGGCTGGAACTTTTCACACATTCTGTTTGGATCCACGCTCGGGGTAGAACGACATTCTAAGGTAGTTGCAAGTTTATCTTGTTTACGTCCATCCGTTTCCAGCACCTGCCTTCTCAGAGCGCATCTACCCATAAGGAAGTCCATCGCTTCTATGAAGCCAGAGACTCGCTGGGCTACTGCGTCTTCTTCGTCTTTGCGAGTGTCTTCTTGCGCTGCTTGATCATGTAGGTGTACATGGTATAAGATCCTAGCCAAGACAAATGTATCAGCATCAAGGAAACAAGTTGTGGGAAGTCTCAATGATGGGGTAGGAGTAGGGCCTACCGGGGATATACAACAGCAAGCAGAAGTAGAACAGAGGCGGGATGAGAGCGCTGATGCGCGAAGCGGGCTCGATGGCGAGGTACAGCAGCCAGAATTCCGAGGCGATGCCGATGGGGTAGAGGGGGTAGAACATGGTGTATCTTTTTATCATTAGTCCAGATTGCCCGCGTTTGCCCTGCTTTACTAAGACAGGGGAAAGCAGGAAGAGAGTGCGTGAACGTACCGCACCCAGATAAGCGCATCAGACGCCTTGCCGTGGAGGTTCAGAGCCAGATAGGCGTAGCGCACGGTATCGGCCGTCGCCCAGGAAAGCAGGAGGGTCAGGTAGGCTGTGGAGGAGGCTGTAGTGGCGGGGAAGCTGTAACAGACCATCCAGACTATGATTGTGCGGGCGACTACTTGGAGGGCTGTTGTGCCGACTGGGGATTTGACGAGGCCTAGGATTAACTTAGTTAGTCTTGCGTGCGTGATGTATCGTATCCCGATTTATCGGCTGAGTAGCTTGGGAGGATTGTGGAGGGAGGTAGGGAGTTACGAACCCACGGCAGAATGGACCACTTCAATGAGGGTCAGCGTCTGCACCCATCGCGAGCGAGGTTCTGCGGCGCTGTAGACGGCGAAGGTACCCTCGGACAAGGCGGTTGAGACGACGGTGAGGAGGATGGATGCCCATAGCGCTGCGAAGAGGGTGTTGTAGAGAGTCAGGTATGCGACTCTTGGGCTGCTGCCGCTTTTTTGTGAATCTTTTGGAGCCATTGCGCTGGTTAGAGAGGTATAGAATCGCACGAGTCACGTCACGGTTGTGAATAGCCTCAGTTTTCACTTTCTGGGTGCATGTGAATGGAGGAGCTCGGGCCATCAATTGACTTTTTTTCTTTTTTCGCTGCGACGTGGTCTGCGGGTTCTCCTTGACATCCCTGTCTCTGCTTGGCCGTGGTGTGATGACTAAGACATTCAATTTGCGCAGAAATCATCCACCGCGAGAGACTAAGGTACGGCAAGGAACCACAGGGGATGAATTTGGGACTCAGGAAAGACGTCGGAGGAGAAGAAGCCGTCTGGCCGGGTAAGCCGCAAGGGATGAGTAAGAAGAAGCCGAAACCCCCTGCTAGTTGGTACGTATCCTTCTGTCCTGTCCTTCGGCTGTCAAATGCGGGTGGTGAATTGGCCAATGATGCGGCGGTGTTTGGCAAGCTACGGATCCACTCGGGCTGCTTGTCCCGGGATGCGGATGCGGAGCCTTTCCGATTTCTTCCCAGGTGGTTACCGGGGGCCACCGAACGCGCCGCTGCTTTTGTGGTGTTGGTTTTGAGCTCTGGATGGAGATGACACATCATTAGAGATATGATGGGAAAAGTAAGATAGAAAAACAGATGTAATGCATCTATCATAGTAGATTCCTTCTCAGCTAGTACTTGCCTTGCTACACTAGGTATCGAGAGAAACTGAGGGGTCAAGTGACTTCTGTCAAGGGCATCAAGACCAGAGAGTCCAAATTTAGCACAGAAAACGCAGAAGCTCAGCTGTGATCGATAAACGTCTAGAGTATCTACAATACGTTACTTGCCAATGTATCAACCCGGGTTGTATGAGTGTTCAAGTTGATCTGTCACACTTCATGGCTGGATCTCACAGAGGTACCTTAAGGTGAGTGCCTAAAGCGGCAGGTGATTCTGTCACCGCGCCTAGCAAAGCTCCAACGACAAATTTACACTACGATTTTCCGAGTCCCTTTTCTCTGACCAGGGTCAAAGACTCATTCAACACCACCAGAAACACCAAAGTTCTCGTCGAGGATCGCCGGGCGCTCAACCACCACGCTCTTCTCGTTTCCTCCATCTGCAGCCGCTAAGATGATGCGCTCTCAGCTTCAAGCCGTCGGCCGCCTGGCGAAACCCTCCGCGGCTACTCCCAGACTTGCATCTCGCACCCAGATCACCAGCGCAGCATCAAAACCGACAACCTCAACGACGAGATCCCTTATGACCGCGACGCGCACCCTCTCGAGACCGACCGTCCACGGCTACCCCGCTCTCTCCTCCTCCCAATACCGCTCCTTCACCACCACCCGCATCCAGCATGGCGAGGTTATCATTACCGTCCCGCAAATGGCCGAGTCCATCACCGAAGGCACCATCGCCTCCATTGGCAAGCAGGTCGGCGACCGCGTCGAGGCCGATGAGGAGGTCGCCAGCATCGAGACGGACAAGATCGACGTCGCTGTGAACGCTCCCGAAGAGGGCACCATTGTCGAGCTCTTCGTAGCTGAGGGTGACACCGTCGAGGTCGGACAGAAGCTCGCGCGCATGGAGACGGGCGGCGCACCCGCCGAGAAGAAGGAGGAGTCCCAGCCGGAAAACAAGGAAGAGGCCAAGTCCGAGAGCAAACCCGAGCCCGCCGCCGCGCCCGCCCAGGAGCAGAAGAAGGAGCCCGAGGCGCCCAAGAAGGAGGAGAGCAAGCCCGCGCCAGCGGCACCATCCAAGCCCGCCGCTCCCCAACAGCAGCAGCAGCAGCAGCAGCAACAACAACAAAAGCCCGCGTCCGAGGTTCCCTTTGGCGCGACGGGCTCCTTCTCCCGCGGCGAGCGCGTCGAGAAGCTGCCGCGCATGCGCAAGACCATCGCCACGAAGCTCAAGCAGTCGCAAAACATGACGGCCTCGCTGACTTGCATCGAGGAGGTCGACATGACCAACCTCATGGCCTGGCGCGCCAAGAACAAGGAGGCCGTCATGAAGCGCTACGGCGTCAAGCTCGGCTACATGGGCGCCTTCACCAAGGCGACGTGTCTCGCCGCGGAGCGTGTGCCCCAGATCAACGCCGCCATGGATACCGAGAAGGAGCTTATCACGTACAGGGATTACGTTGATATTAGCATCGCCGTGTCTGCGCCGAAGGGTCTGGTGACGCCTGTCCTGCGTAACGTGGAGAGTTTGGATATCGTTGGTATTGAGCGTGGTGTCGCTGAGCTGGCCGACAAGGTAAGTCCCGCATTACTATCGTGTTCTTAGAGGAGTACAGGCTTTCTAACATTAAACTCTACAGGCTCGCAAGAGCAAGCTCGCCATGCCCGATCTCGAGGGCGGCAACTTCTCCATCAGCAACCCCGGCATCTTTGGCTCCATGTTCGGGACCCCCGTCATCAACTACCCTCAGGCCGCCATCTTCAACATGAACGGCATCAAGGAGCGCGTCGTCGTCGTTGACGGCAAGCTCGAGATCCGCCCCATGATGTACATCACCGTCACCTACGACCACCGCCTTATCGAGCAGCGCGAGGCCGAGGCCTTCCTTGGCGCCGTCAAGGGTTACATCGAGGACCCCTCCAGCCTTCTTCTTTAAGCTTGGAAGAGTGTCTCTATTTGTTTGCGTTGAGGGGAGACAGTTCGTGGGCGAAGGGGCATAGACTGCGCACGGCTACGGTTTCTTGTAGCATCGTGCTGAATTGTATTTTACTTTGTAAATCGGTGGAGTGGGATTGGATTGACAGCATTGCCGTGCGGGCATTGGGGGCGTACAATTGCTGCATCTTAGAAACCTTAGATGGGGGCTCGGGCATAGATAATCCGGGGAATCCAGCGTCCAGCATATTGCCCTTTGCTCACTGTTATTTCTTGCACCTTCGACAACTCTCAAATTACGCAGACTTGATGGAACTTTGGCTATTGACACCAGGCAACGGCCTAACATTAAGGATCGACATCGAAGCCAACTTTTGACCAGAGCTGTCAACATGCCATGTAGTGTTTCTGGGAAACTGGAATTGTAACGCCATTTTTCTTTCGAGCATGATCCAATTCTGATGAAAGAGACAAGTTGCCGCCATTGTTGGCTGTCCGGGTGTAGAAGCCGAGGGGGCTGACTTGGGTGTCACAGCGGATCCACACAAGAGTCTCGGCTTCGATATCCGAGGGCAACTTTCAACCACCTCCAAGCCAACAACAAGCAAAGCACTTGCCTGCGAGGAGCATCGTCTCAATACTGGCTTGAGATCGAACCAAATTTCTTCAGTACATCCGAGTTGCCGACAGCCTGTGTGAATAGCCTACTCGGCTGACTTCCAATTCGACCGACGGCATGGAGATTGGTGCGCCTTCGGCGTGGGGTTTGTCATAGATGTTCCCCGCGTGTAAGTCGCGTCGAACTCGTGGATATGTAGGTACACCTTATGTCCAACCTTCGGTCTTCGACAATCATCGAGAGAGCGAGCATCGATTACGGAGACATGTCACACCGCCCTCAACTCGATTCTCCTATCAAACGTCAAGGTTCCAGATCTACCAGCCTGAAAGCTAATGCCCATCGTCAGTTGAACAACCGGCACGATGATTCGATCCGCCTGCTTCGTCTGTAAAGGTCACACACAACGAAAATTCGTGCACACTAAGACCCCATTCCTTCCTGCTTCGAGCTTTCTCAGCATCGCGTCCCCTCTCAACGGAATCGGAGGGTCAAGAAATCGCCGAACGTTCACGTCTACCAGATCATGTAGACTCGAGCCCTCAAAAGGTAGGCATGCTACAGCTGCAGAAGCAGAGGAACCAAGGGTTCTGCCGGTAAGATCTTGTCCAACAGTTTCTCCATCATGCTTCCGGGACTAACGATCTGCGACCACTCAGAGTCCCATAGACTCGTTCCTTCAGGGAGAAACAGCAAACTACGTCGACGAAATGTATATGTCCTGGAAGAAGGACCCTGAAAACGTCCATGTATCATGGCACACATATTTCCGCAACATGGAAGATCCCTCAGTGCATTCGACGCAAGCTTTTCAGCCACCGCCAGGCATAATCTCGCCCAGGCACACACCGGCTATCAAATCGTCTGTCAGTGCGGATTCGAGTCACGTTGTCGACTCTCTCAAGACCCAGAATATCATTCGTGCGTTTCAGCAGTATGGTCATTCAGCCGCAAAGATCAGCCCTCTCGGCGAAGTCGGCAACACGACAATCAAGCCGCACGACGATATCCCAAGCACAACAAACTTGGGCAAGTACGGCTTCACCGCCGCAGACTTGGACCGCGAAATCGTCCTAGGTCCAGAGCTTCTTCCCCAACTCGCACAGGACCGTAAGACGATGAAACTTCGCGACATCATCGCCACGTGCGAACAGATCTACTGCGGCTCTATTGGAGTCGAATACTACCACGTCTCCGACCCCACCAAGCGCCAATGGCTCCACGAGCGCATAGAAGCATACCACACCTTGCCCCCCTCTCCCGAAGAGAAGAAGCAGATTCTCGACAACTTGATCTGGGCAACCACCCTCGAGCGCTTCCTCGCCGTCAAATTCCCTAACGAAAAGCGTTTCGGCCTTGATGGCGCAGAAGGACTGGCTCCCGGCTTAGCCGCGCTCATCGATCGTTGCGCGGAGGCGCACGGCGTGCAGGATATCGTTATGGGAAGCTGTCACCGCGGAAGGATGAATCTTATGAGCACGGTGTACGGCAAAGACTACGAGACGCTGTTCCGTCAGTTTGCGGGGACGGAGACGTTTGATACGGCGAACGGGCAGACTGGGGATGTCAAGTATCACTTTGGCATGGAGGGCGAGAGGGCGACTGCTGGAGGGAAGACGGTCGGCATCTCCATGTTGCCAAATCCGTCACACTTGGAGGCTGTTGATCCGGTTGCTCAGGGGAAGGCCAAGGCTATGCAGCATCTGAAGGATGATGTTGATCAGTCCAAGGTGATGTTCTTGGCTCTCCACGGCGACGCCGCCTTTTCTGGTCAGGGACCTGTGTACGAGACGCTCAACCTCTCGGCCCTGAAGGGCTATGAAGTTGGCGGCACGATCCGGATCGTTGTGAATAACCAAATTGGTTTTACTACCGACTCTTCAGACTCCAGGTCAACGCCGTACTGCACGGACCTGGCCAAATACATCGAGGCACCGATCTTCCACGTCAACGCCGATGATCCGGAAGCCGTTGTGTTTGTCAGTAAGCTGGCTGCGGACTGGAGAGCCGAATTCCGTTCGGATATCGTCGTTGATGTCGTCTGCTACCGGCGATTTGGGCATAACGAGATTGATCAGGCTAGTTTCACGCAGCCTGAAATGTACAAGAGAATTGCCGAACAGAGATCATTGATGGACCTCTACATCGAGAAGTTGATCAGCGAGGGTGGGATGTCTGCTGAAATGGCGGAGCAGCAGAAGACCTGGGTTTGGGAGCAGCTGGAGGAGAAGCTGGCGAGAAGCAAGCAGCCAGCTGATCGATTTCTGGATGCTACTTCGGAGCCTACTTCAGTCGCTGGCACTACTGCATCTGCGAATACAGTTGATGAAGCCGCGCTCTCGGCAATCACCAAAACAATCACAAGCGTCCCAGAAGGCTTCAATCTCCACCGCAACCTCTCACGTATCCTCGCCGCCAAGAAGCAGGCCTTTGATGACGGCACGGTCGACTGGTCCACAGCAGAAGCCCTCGCCTTCGGAACCCTCCTCCAAGACGGCAAGTCCATTCGCCTCAGCGGCCAAGATGTCGAGCGAGGCACCTTCTCCCAGCGCCATTCCGTCCTGCACGATCAAGTCACCCACGCAGAGTATACGCCCCTGAACAACCTAGACAATCCAGGAGCAAGCACATACAGCGCAATCAACTCCCCGCTCAGCGAGTTCGGCGTGCTAGGGTTCGATTACGGATACTCCCTGGCTGCGCGAGACTCGTTGGTGCTGTGGGAGGCGCAGTTTGGCGACTTTGTAAATAACGCGCAGGTCATTGTCGATCAGTTCATCTCTTCGGGGGAGGCGAAGTGGATGCTCGAGTCTGGGCTTGTCGTGTCTTTACCGCATGGATATGACGGTCAAGGGCCGGAGCATTCTTCTGCTAGGCTGGGTAGGTTCCTGGAGTTGGGCAGCGAGGATGGGCGGGCTTGGCCTGAGGATCTGGGAAGGGCGAGAAGGGAGGGGAATGTGAGGATTGTGTGTATGACGACGCCGGCGAATTTGTTCCATGCGTTGAGGAGGCAGATCTATTCCCCCGAGAAGAAGCGTAAGTTCATGTTCACGTGAGACGATTCGCTTGGAACTGTCTGCTAACACTCTCAGCTCTGATTGTTTTCTTCTCTAAGTCTCTTCTCCGACACCCTGTCGCCAGGTCTCCCGTTTCTGACCTGATGGGCACGTCTACCTTCCAGCCCGTCCTCGAGGACACCGAACACGGACGGGGTAACGTACACCCCCGCGAAGAGATCGACCGCGTCATTCTCTGCAGCGGTCAGGTCTACGCGGCACTGCACAAATATCGTGAGACAAATGGCATCAAGAACGTCGCCATCACGCGCATCGAAGAACTCCATCCCTTTCCCTGGGCCGAAGTCAAGGAGAACCTGGAGTTGTACCCTAATGCGCAAAAGATTGTGTGGTGCCAGGAGGAACCATACAATGGAGGCGCTTGGCAGTACATGCAGGACAGGCTTGAGACTGTGATTGAGAATTCGAGTGTGCTTGGGGGTAAGAAGGTTGTTTACGCTGGACGGGGGACTGGGGCTGCTACTGCGACTGGATCTAAGAAGGTTCACCAAGCTCAGGAGACCAAGTTGCTCGAAGATGCTTTCGAAGGTTAGCTTCGAGACAGGTACATGTAAACATGGGCAAACTGCGTTCGGTTCTCGAATTCTTTCCTCGTCGGTGCGGGAGGTGTTCTAGACTCGGCGGTTGGCGAGCGGAAACTAAGACATCATGTCAGCGGGCCGACCCCTGAGTACTATTGATAAGGACGGTTCCAATGATTGCCGGTTCCCATCGTTTAGTTTTGCGGGGTAAGAGTCGAAATGTCTGAATGCAGGACGAGTTCGGGTCGCAGCTGAAAGCTGGGAGCGCGGGTTAAACTGCTTTCAGTTAGGGTGCCCGCTTGCCAGTTGATTCTCAACGTCAGCTATTCAAAATTCAGCCAGCCTCCGTGGGTGATATGGGCGCGTCTCGATTCAGGTAAAGGTCCATCACTGTCTCGCGTGGTCAAAATATGGGGTGATAGGTTCAAAGTACGAGCAGGGCATTTGCTTCCCGCAAACATAACATTGCACTAGCAGCGGCTGAGAGTGAGACCAATTGAGGAATTTGACACCTTGCCAGACGCCAATGAACGGAGGGAATGTATGAGAGGAAAAAGTACGAGATTTGGCCGCCGATAGTAATGAAGTTCTTGCCATTGACAACTGTATAACTATCCATGGGCCCCGCGCCGGATGTAAGTAAGTCTCTGCTACTCCACAACCAACGACTGAAACAACTTCTTCTATTCCATCTGAAAGTCAGTCCATGTGGACCAAATCAGTAGAGTAATATGGCACCTCCAGAGTCCCCCGACACGACACCAAAAGTCTGTTATAAATACATATGGGCCGAATTCGTGGCCCAGTGGAAGCTCGAAAACGACCTCCAAGCATCAAAGGCCGGCTATGTTGATCTTACAGACAACAAAGAGTTGAAGCCAGAAGCTGCGACCGTCTCCGGATTGGCCGAAACCCTCAAGCCGGTCACTGGAGGCGGCGTCATCCCTCAAAAGCCTGGACACTTCAACGTTGGTATTGTCGGCGCCGGCTCAGCTGGACTATTCACAGCTTTAGCCATTGATTGGATCAACGATACCATCGCAAAAGAAAAGGGACCCGAGCACCTCAACATTACCTACGAAATCTTGGAGGCTTCGGATGAGGAACGATTCGGGGGCAGGCTCTATACCCACCGCTTCAGCAAAGATGGCGTGCACGATTACTACGATGTCGGAGCCATGCGTTTCCCTAGGAACGCGGTCATGGACAGGTATGTTACGGGCACTTCGTCAAGGAGGGGCAGTTTGGGCATGAAATGAGCTCAACTAACACACAACCTTCAGAACCTTCAGCCTTTTCAAGATGTTGGATATCAAAGAGGGTAAATTGGGCGACCGCACGCATGTCGACGATCCTCCGCGACTGATCAAGTATTACCTGAACGATGACAAGAATGTTTGCCCTACGCTCTTCAACAACGTTCGAAAGGTCGGCAATCCATACCCGAAGGATTCAAAAGAGAAAGATCCTTTTGCACTCAATGTGGGCATTGCGAAAGACAAGCAAATTCCAGAGAAGTTAGTCACCAGCTGTTATGGAATTGGTGTAGATTTGAGCAACATCGCTAATTCTGCTTCACCCTTCTCTTCAGTCTTCTGCAAACTAGCCCAGGCGAGCTTTTTGAGGAAGCAATTGGGATTTTCATTGCATACATCAAGAAGTATCTCGATGCCTACATCGACAAGAAGACCCCGATGCCTCGCGCAGCTGAGGAGAAGCTCTGGAAAATCCTGATGAAGTGTGATAAGATGAGTGTCCGCCAGTTCTTACGCACGTGGGTTCCTCTTTGTTCTCGGGTTAGTTGCTGTGGGATGCTGACATTCCAACAGGAAGGGGAAAGTTCCCGGCTTCCCCAAAGACGATGACGTTCCCCACGGCCCAGGCTTGAGCTACAACACCATTCAATGGTTGGAGACTGCCACTTAGTAAGTACTCTCCTCCATTCGGCACCTCAAAGTTGTCATGACTGAATGAATCGCTAATCGCATTTTCCCTAGCGGCACTGGCTGGTACGATCAAAGTCTGACCGAGGCCGTTCTGGAGAGCATTGACTTCTACATCACCGACGATCCCACCAAGACCAAAGAGATTAACAACAACTGGTTTTGCATCGACGGCGGTGCTCAAAAGATTGCGGAAAAGATGCGCAAGAAGATGAAGAACCAATCAGCCATCAGATTCAACACTCAGGTCGTGGGAATGGATGCTAACCTGCAACTCAACGAGCGAGTTACCAAGTCCATGACCGTGATGCTCCGGGACAGTGTCACCGGTGAATCTCTGCGTCCAAGAGACTACTTCACGGTGTTCAGTTCGGCAACTTTAGGATCGATGAACCGAATGGATCTCTCCAAAGCTGGCCTGCTCTGGGATACCAAACAAGCTATCCGCTGCTTAGGCTACGGAGCTTCCTGCAAGGTCGGCATCAAGTTCAAGACCCCCTGGTGGCAGAAAGAGCCGTACAACATCGATCAAGGTGGCCTTGCCCGTACAGACCTGGCTCCCCAAGTCTGCGTTTATCCTTCCTATAACATCAACAAGGACGTCGATCCACGGGACGAGCCTGCAGTTCTTCTCGTCTCCTACACCTGGGGACAGACAGCCCAGCGCCTGGCTAGTCTTATTGCATCGAAGTCGCGCGGCAAATCCAACGCAGACATACTCAAAGAAGAAACTGAGCTGAAGGAAGTCATGCTCCGAGATCTCGCATTCTTGCACACAGAGGACCATAACGACAAGAAAAAACTGGATGCCACTCTGGAGGAGCTCAACAAGCAGTACATGGAACATCACGCCTATGACTGGTACCATGATCCCCACATGGCGGGAGCATTCGCCTACTTTGGCCCTAGCCAGTTCAGTGAGCTGTACCCGGCCATCACCAAGCCCAACGCAGGTGGTCAACTGTACTTCGTCGGCGAGGCAGCTTCCGCACACCACGCCTGGGTTGTTGGAGCGCTCGAGAGTGTTGTACGCGCACTCTACCTGATGTTTGATGCTCTGCACCAGGGCAGTAGGAACGACCCCAAGATGAAGGACACATACCAGGCATACAAATGGGCCATGGACCTTCTCGAGTTCGGTTACATCAAGGACCATCCAGCAAAGGGGGAGAAGTCGGCAGCACCGACAGCCGCCCCGCGTCCTCTGCCGTTCTTCCCACTGCCTGCAGAGATGCCCCGGCGCCGCAGAAGTTTTGGTAACCTAAACCTCAATGAGCCTGATGACTCTAACGACAAGGGCGAGTTCAAGACTGTAGGGGTTCAACCAATAAGTGCTCGGTCTGCGACAACTTCCGAAAGGCCTCATGATCTTTTGATCAGAGAGAGTGCTCGGTTTGACGCCCTTTCTCAACCTCCCGCGGAAACCAAGAGCGCGGAGGCGGCCAGTTCTCCGATCAGAGGGGAATTCTCAGATCATCCTGCCGTGAAAGGCACTGGAGAGGTGCAACTCACGTATGGCGCCGCACTTGTTGCTCTGAGTACGGTCGAGTCGGCCATATTGACTTTGGCCGAATTGACGGGGGATGAGTTGAAAGATCAGTTACAGAAGATATCGGAAGAAACGGCTCTCTAGTAATTGGCACTTTATGTAGTTGTTCTCAAATTAAATAGTTGATGATCATGCGAGCTAGCTTTTGAACTCTCTTTGACCATTCATTGAGTGCAGCCAGCAGATTCACACCGTCAAATCGAATACAAAGTCTTGGTCCCTACTATTTTAAAGGTACTTCGGTACCTCATAACCTGTCTTGGGCTTTGCTGACTGCCAAGAGACCGCGTCGCCAAGCATGAATCCTTCAGTCTTACCCTGGCGCTGAGGTTGACCACTAGAACTGCCATAAACACCAACGTACGTCATTGCTGAATACCAAAGTCCCAATATTGGCGATCTTCAAGGCAAGGCAGAAAATATGAGCGACTTATAAGAAGTGACTGACCTTCCTGCGCCCTTGAGTTGCAACTTGACCTCCCTAACTAACAAGGCGTTTTGTATGAATTCGTCGAACCTTGTCCACCATAGTACTTCGTTAACGTCAATATCTTGATATAATATTATCCAAACCCTTTAGAAAGTCGAGTGAGCTTAATATGAAGCTTCTCATCGGCATCCTTGCGGCAAGCTTGTCGTTTCTGGCAACAGCCGATAGCGCCCGAATCGACCGTATACAAGCGCGACAAAGCAATTTCACTAGGACCAATATCCGCGATGCAGTAGCGCACCCAAATGCCACAGGAAGGTGGCCCATCAATGGCATCGATGTGACGGAGCCACTGCTGGATCCACCGACCGATGACTACGGCCCTGGAAATGGTTGGAGCATCAACATCGCCATTGCAACCAACATATCTGCCGACGACGTCAGCACTTCAGTATCGAATCCCGCAGTCATAACTCTTGAAGGACCAGAGAATACCTTTCAAGGCCTTAACTCGTCGACGAACTACACTGAGAATTATGACATCTGTTCCTTTGCCTGGTTTGAAAACGTCTGGACCGTGAAAGAACTAGAAAAGCTTCAAGATGATGTCAACGGAACCTGCAATGGTGTTGTCTCCGAGGACTGCATTAAGGAGATCAAGGAGGCCCTGGTGCGCCAGCCGTGTCGCACCTTCAGAAGCTTCGAAAAACCTAAGAACTGCCCTCAAGCACTTGAATCCCCTTCGTCGTTTCGAAGTAAGTCACTAACTCCTCTTGAGACCAACCGTGATAGATCGTACATCGGAGACTAATAATCTCGGCCAGGGAACGTGACATTTGATCTTCCCGACGGAACTTCCACCAATGAAAGTTCCTCTTCTCACCTCTTCGGCATCTGGGGACCTTACTCGAACAGATCGGAAGCTGGTCTACGTGATGCGTACGACACAGCTCTTACAAATGTCTACCCTATGCTTCTTGCATACACTTACGAAGATGGGGAGACCCGGTCGAATTACAGTGTATTTCGTTGCGTTCGCGCCAATAACATCGTAGAGGGAAGCCGTGAACCAGATTCGTTTGGAAGCAACAGGAGGAGCTCTGCAGGGCGGGTTTCTTGGTCAAAAGCTTCTGCACTGATCAGCATGCTCCTATCCTTCTCGCTCACTATGCTCCTGTGATTTAAAGAATTCGCACGTAGAGTGTTAGTTTCTCAATACATCAACTGAATTAGCCTACTTTGATACTTTGAATGTTATCATAACGGTCGGCTGGTTGGAGGGCGATTCCCCGTCGTGATTCTGAGTTCCAATTCAGAGCATCGAGCCACCAGTTTTCGTTCCTCACTTCAAATTGAAGTACTTGCTCAGAAGCAAACCAATGATTTGCTAAGTTGTTAAAGATTGCCACGAAGTATGTTTATTCCATCTTCGGAAATTCTGCACGGGCGTAGGCCGAACAACATTTAGAAGGATCATTGAGGCTCCTACTTGTTACCCGGCACACTGTGATTCGCTGCTTGTATCCATTTGATTATCTTGTACTGGCTCAGTCTTGCCTCTTTAATGAATATCACATCTTCTTGTGGGTAATCGGGGTTGCTTTATGCTTAATTCAAGTTTGGCGGCGTCAACGCATGCAGGAGTCTGAAGGTTTATTTTCCGGATCTCGCACCACATCCGGTCACCTGTTTCGCGTCGGAAATGGGTTTCCTTAACTACCGGTAGGTTTGGCTCAACTTACTAAGCCTACCAAGTGGCGCATGCCATCGTTGTTCATGGAGAGTTTCCCGTGTCTCCCACTGCGATTCGTAACCGTCTGAAATACTGTGAGTCTTTTGAGTTTATCAATGGTTAAACTTACATATCAACGAGGCGGGAGCGGACCCCGGCAGTTTCAACTTCAGTGAGTCGCAGTTAGGAGGGCACGGGGAATGTTGACACGGGTCATGCAACTACTCAGTACTAAACAAGTCCTTGTTCCCAATTGTCCATAATGGCCTGATGAGGTGAGCCGCTCACGCTCCCCCGCATCTCGAGTTCTCCATCCTGCTTCTCGACAGGTGTCGCGTCGTTCATTCTAGCCCAGAGGCTGTCCACTTTTACACTGTTGAGTCCGTTATCGAATATGGGTCACGTTGTGACGTTGTGAAGAAATTATGGCCTCTTTTTCGTCATATACCAAACTCGGGCAAGAAGAGGACGTTAGGGAGAGTAAGGAAACGCGGCCTAAGCAACATTTGCCTCGCGGAAAGTTGCATCTCGTGTATATTCTCCTATTAGTCTGCGTGGCTGGTATCAGCAATTGTTTACCACCAATCCTCATGACACGGCCTGTCTATTTTGGAGCCGAGCCACTCAAGTCGGAAATTCGTCGTACGTAAATACGTGCTTCCATCTCGAAGCATAGGTATTTTGAGCTGACGGTGAGCAACAGTGAAAACGTCTACGCGAGTCTTCCAGCAAGACTACGCCTACGCGATGCCGCCTTCCCCCGAGGTCGATGCTGCGTGGTCCTCCCTTCTCCCGCAAAACGGCGGCTTCTTCACGCACCCGACACTTGCACCAACAGAGAGCTGCGTGGCGGTTTTCCATCAGATTCACTGCCTTGACATGCTACGCAAGGCACTTTACGAGGCACGCAATGATACTATGGAACACCCAAAGCACGAGAGAAAGAACCCGGATGACCTCGACGGAAAGATTTATGCGAGCGAGGCGGAGGAGCTCAATGCGTCTCACGACATGGACCATCTAGGACATTGCTTTGATCTCTTGCGCCAAGTCATCATGTGCAAGCCTGTAAGTATACTCTCCCATATCGTGGGAATCTTTCGCCAGTGTTCAGAGGACTGCGTGTTGAAGTTGCCTGGACAGGATCTCACGATCGAAGTTGCCAACGTCGTAGTCGACGGCGTGACGGGTTTCGACACAGAACATCAGTGCATTGACTGAACTTCCCTCTCGCCTAATTTTTCTTGGCATCTGCTGTTAGTGAATGAGTGAGCCTACCACCAAATTACTAACAGCCGAAAACTCTTCACCTCCCCTTGCCGGAGCCCGCATCCGCGATGGCCTCACAGCCGCCGTCGGGCACCGGACTGATGTCGGCCGACCAAGCCGACCCCGAACCAGGCTCCGGGACACCTCCGGAGCCGAACCCCACCTCAAGAGCTAAGCGACGCCGCGACGCCGAGGCACAGCCGACCCGGCCCAGCCTAACGGGAAGCCAGCTTGATGCCACCACCGACGCCCCTACCTCGGCCGAGGGGCCCGCAGCCTCTACCGCATCTGCTCCGAGCGGATCTGCCACAGGGTCCGTCTTGACAGCCCTTGCAGAAGAAGCTAGACAGTACGAGGCACGGAAAGACGTCTTTCTGACCATTGCACGGTCCGTCGACAGCGTTGTCGCCAGCTTTGACGGTTCTAGAAAGCAGATCGCGAAAGAAGCCACTGCCTATGTCATTCAAACCCTCAAGAGACTGATCAATCACGAGACAAGCCCAATAGCGGCCCGGAGTTGGGCGGCTGTCGTCGCACCGATGGCGGGCAACACCACTGCGGCGACCCGGAGCGGCCAGAGCTGCCAGAGCTCTGCCCGCCCGAAGGCCACACTCCCCGCCGAGGATCAGCCGCAGGCGCAGCCGAAGGAGGACCTCCGCATCTTTGCCCGCGTCCCGGAAGAAAGCTTAGCGGCCGCTCGGAAGATCGCACCGTTCGCCGTACGACAGATCGTCTGTAAGGCCGTTGGCCTGGGGCTAGCGGACCTTCCCCACGTCTACCATATCAGCACAGGTTACTCTCTGAAGCCGCGAAACAAGCAAATACAGGAAAGACTACTTACAAGTAAGGCAAAGCTGGCGGAATGCCTCGGCGCCCACCAAGTCGAGACGCCTATCAAGTGGCACACATACGTTGTGCCGCGATGCCCAACAAAACTACACAGCATTGGCGGGGACGTCCTGGACCCAGCCACACTCGTTGAAGATGAGGTCTTCGCACAGACAGGACAGAAGCCTGTCCTTGCTCGACCGTCCCGCCTTGGGCCCAACCCAGTCACGAACGAAATATCTTGGCTCATATCATTCACATCAGAGGTCACGCCCTTCAGGCTCTTCAACCAAAGCGGCAGATCTCTGCCCATCAAAAAACGAAGGACGCTCATCCGACATGACCCCGGCTGCCAGGGCTACCACGCCAACCGGTTCTGCGGACGACGACCGACTTGCAGCAACTGCGGAAGACCTTCCGACTCACACGAAACGGGACCTTGCATGGCCAGGCCCCAGTGTCCCAACTGCTGCGGCCCCTTCCAAGCCGGCCACACAGACTGCCCAGCGAGGCCCTCGGTCGTAAACGGCGTCGTCTCCCTTCCCGGTCGAAAGGAGCGGGCTCGGATCCGGAAGGCCGGCCAGAAAGCATCGGACACTCTGTACAAGGCTACTCGATCCGACAGTAGCCAGGAGGCGGCAGGCGTCCCTACCTCCACCAGCCAGAACCAGCAACCCGGCGCCAAGCGCGCGCGCACGAGAACGCCCTCCGCAAGCTCGATCGTTTGCCTCGGTGACGGAAGCACTGACAGCAGCAGCATGGATGAAGACGAGGCGGACGAAGGCGAAGGCGAAGACTCCCCCGACAACACCTCCATCGACCGTCCCGTGCTACCCATGCCAAGCAGGAGCCAACGGGCAGCACAGAAGCCAAACTACAACGTCGCGAATGCCTACACCCACCTCGAACTCGACTCGGAGACGTAAGCCGAGAGCGGCGACCCCACGGATGCTACGCGTTGCGCAGGGCAACGTCGGAAAGATCTCCCCGGCGCACACGGCTTTCCTGCAGCTCTGCTGGGAGGCTCAGATAGATGTGGTCCTCGTCCAGGAACCCTGGACGGGCTGGAAGGACGGAAACGTGCAACTGAACACGCACCCGGGTTTCGACTCTTTCGTCCCGGTCGACTTCTGGGACAGCGAAGGAACCAGACCAAGAGTATTGACCTACACACGCAAAGGGATAGGGATGACGGTGGAGCAGCAGAGGCCTGTCCACACGAGAGACGTACTGTGGCTGGTGGTCGACAAAACGACGACTATCGTCAACGTGTACAGACAACCCCGCGACCCCCACAGCCGCACAACAGGGATACTGCTAGAACTCAAACCCCCGGAGCGAGCTTTGATCGCGGGTGACTTCAACGCGCATCACTACTCTTGGGAGCCCGGGACGAGGAACGGGAACCGGGGAGATGACATTGCAGGCTGGGCAGACGGCCACAATCTCTCTCTTATCAGCGAAGTTGGGGTGGCAACCCAGGATTGCGGACATGTCCTGGACCTGGCTTTCTCTAATATCCCTTTTGCGCACGCGCAGGTCAGCCCACAGCTACACCCGGGAGCTGACCACGAGGCCATCGTGGCCGTCATACCACTATTCAAACGCCCAGTGTCACAGGGAGAGGGCCACCCGCAGCCACGGCCACTGTCAGTGCCCGACTCGGCGCTGCCTCGGCTGAGAGACCTGATCGAAGGGGGGCTAGCTGCGATGCCCAATCTGGGGGATCAACCTACTCCGGAAGACCTGGACGGGCAGGCAAGTCACATCGTCGAGCTCTTCTCCCGAGCCATTGAGGCGGTCGGCAAGAAGAGAGGAAAACATGGTAAAGGCGCGGCTTGGTGGACGGAGGAATGCGCAGAGGCCCACAGAGCATACCGTGCTGCCCGCAACCAACAAGCCTGGGAGACGGAGCAAGATGCGCACCTTTATCTAATGGAGAAACGAAAGGCGTTCCTGAGCACGGTGAGGAAGGCTAAGCGAGCATACTGGGCCGGAAAGATCGATGGAGTCGCTTCAGACCGGGACCTGTACCAGATCATGGGTTGGCGGAAGGCGAGCCCACTGACCAGAGCACCCCCATTGGTTGTGGACAACCAGACGATCGAGGATACTGACGAAAAGGCCCAAGCGCTTCGGGAAGCCCTTCTCGACAGGTTTAGTGCGGAAGATGACGCACCGGGTAATCCGTTTGACGTACCCGTCGTCCCAAGGCGAGCGATTACTTGGCAGGACAATGTTAGCGGAGAAGAAGTGAAGACGGCCACCTTAACAAAGACAACGACCCCTGGTGTGGACGGGATCACCACGCGCCTCCTCCAGGCCTGCTGGGGCGTCATCTCGGAGCCGGTCAGGCAGCTATTCCAGTCCTGTATGCGGGCCGGCCACTTTCCTCTGCCTTTCCGCAGAGCTGAGGTGGTCATGATCCAGAAGGCCGGCAGGGATGCCTCCAAGCCCGGGTCCTGGCGGCCGATCGCGCTCCTCTCGTGCTTGGGCAAAGGACTCGAGAGACTAATAGCCAGAAGGATGGCTTCTCTGGCGATTGTCGAGCGCATCGTCAGTCCGCAACAGATCGGAGCTCTACAAGGCAGGTCAGCCGTCGATCTGACGACCTGCCTCGCCCACGATATCGAAACGGCCCTCCTAAAAGGGCTCACGGCGACGCTTCTGACTATGGACGTAAAAGGGGCGTTCGACTCCGTCCTTCGGAACCGGCTCGTCATTAGACTGCGTCAGCAGGGATGGCCACACGGCTTGATTAGACTCATCTTCAGCTTCTGCTGCAACCGCATCGCCAGAGTCCGACTGGAAGAAAGCACGACGGAATACTTTCCTCTGTCATGCGGGCTGCCTCAGGGGTCGCCACTATCTCCCATCGTCTTTCTGCTCTACATCGCGGAGATCCTTGAAGACGACCCGGACGCGCGATTCGGGTACGCGGACGACATCGCCACTCTGGCCATCAGCCCCTCCCTGGAGAGCAACGTCGCAATACTCAACCGAAGCGCAGCCGGCATTCTCAGATGGGGCTCGGAGAACAAGGTCTCCTTCGACCCGAGCAAGTGCGAGGTCATCCACTTTACTAGGAAGCACAGCCAGCCAGCGGAGCTGCCAGAGGTCAGGGCGGGGGATTTGGTGGTCAAGGCCTCGACAAATCCTGTACGCTGGCTGGGTGTCTGGTTCGACAAGAGACTGTCCTTCCGGCACCACGTCGACACAAGAGTAGCTGCGGCAAAGAAGGCAGCTCAACACCTGAGGCAGCTTACAAACACAAAGAGAGGACTGCCAGCGGCCGCCGTGCGAAAAGCCGTCGTCTCCTACGTACTGCCGATCGCGCTCTTCGGCGCCGAAACATGGTACGCAGGTATCACGAAGCCGGCTTCGAGAC